AGTCTGTCTGTTACAACTTGAAGCAAATATAATTTTTTACACAAGGCATACAGTATATTATCTACACAAGGTAGACCTTAGTCTAGCAATCCTATTCATTTGCATGTTGTAAATCAACAACACCAACCCAAGAGTTGAGCATCTCCACTCGAGAGTCAGCCAGAAATAGATGGACCTTCTGCACCGAATAATGATAAAACTTGGGATGAAATGATTAAAAAATTGATAGATATAGTGATTTTTGTGTTAAATTAATGATAAAATGAGGCCTTTTTAGAGCTTGTTTAATCTGTGATCATGATTACCTGAGATATAGCAATTTAACGTTATTTCACTCCGTAGAAGAGAACTGCAGGTAGGCATTTCCACAGACTCAGAAATTAATTATCATCAGAAGAGAACAGAGAGGAAGGACACAACCTTCAATAGTGCACCCAAATTCCAGCCCACGAATGTTTTAGATGACTCTCATGGCGCAAGTGGTGCAATTCACTCCGCAGAATCCACCCTCTTATTATTTGCATTCCACGTGCTGCGGAAGGGTAGATAGGTGTAGGTAGCAGGTTCTCCCGGCTGTAGCAGGGACGATCTTTCGTCATCCAATGGCTGATTGCCACGGCAGTTGCACCCTAACTTCTGTCGTTCCTTTCTTGTGGGTTTTGGACCTTCAGCAGTCTCCTCAATCTTGCCGCTTAGCGGTCTCCTCAGCCTCAATATCTCTTAGAGAGAGAGAGAGAGACAGGAGAAAAGAAGGGAAGCACGACAGCAGCAAGAAAGACATGGAGACAAGACGGTAACACTACCATGCAACCCTCAGTCGCCGGTAAGCAGCCGAAGTCCTGCCCTGCAAGACAAAGGCTGACAGACATCTGGTCCTGACGCTCACCCAATAGGAGGAGCATGGACTGGGTCCAGTGCCCGAGTTGGTTTTTGTTCGCATGCGGTCTAGTGGCACGAGAAAGAACACTCAAAACTGACCAAGTAAATTACTAAATGAGGAAGCTTGGCACCGAGCAAAAGAAAAGAGAAAAGAAAAAGCGGATTCTTCCCTCTTGATTTTCTAAGTCCATTGCTCTGGACTTGGTCTTTACCTGATCTCGAGAGAGACCATAACAATGGATGGTTACTCATAAATCTCGTCCTTTTGTGCCCCTTGTCGTCTAAATTTGGTAATTGTGTTGTTTCCTTAGTTTCTAAAGGTTTATCTCTTTCGGCTGGGGAGCACAATCGTTTGTAAATCGATCTAACGCCAAAGTACATGTTTTCTTCTGATAACAGAAATTGCCCATGAAGTGTGAAAGGGACAACATCATATTGACTTGCACTCGAAGTGAAAAGACTTGTACTTGATTTCATATTGATATGCAATGCAGGTTCACTTCAACTCTTTTGAAAGTCATTTGCTTCCAAATATTTATTGATCTTAATTTTTCATCCGTTATATATATATTTTTTAATTTGTAAAAGGCTTTATGAAGTTGATGTATTATTTCTTTCTTTCCATTTAGACAACATTTAAATTTCTCCAACTATACTATGTCAATTTTTCTAACGAAAAATGATAATTTCATCAAGTTAGTAGACGACACTTCAACAGCCACTATCAAGATTGAAGAAGATATTTCATAAAAGATCAATACTAGTGTTGAGACTTTTTCTTTTTTTTTATCAAAGCCATTGTAGTTTTGATTAGAAAAGTCTTTTTATACTTAATCTTAGAAATTCATGTCAAACTAATGACTTTTGTGTACATCATAGTAATAAATCTCAAGTTACCAAATCAACAATGGAAAAGTAAGGAATCATTTATTTTCCACACCTTTAGATCATAATTTCCCTTTAGTGACAATAATAAATATTTTTCTTAATATTCCATAAAGATTGTTTTCTTACTACTTAATTATTAATAGTTTTAAAGGATGATGCCCACATATTCCACGTCCCAACTTACTTAATTATCCTATCTTTTGGCATAAATTTTCGTTTTTTTATCTTTTTTTTTCTGGTAAATTCAAACCTTTCACAAAATGGATCTGGGCATTAGTTTATAAACAAGTAAACCGAATCCTCTTAGAATTATAGTAGGGACGTGTATTAATAGATATGATATAGAGCATTGATCATGCCAAGCCCTACAATATTACACCAAAACACTACATCAATTAAAAAACTATAACTACCATGGTGGAAAACTCCCACACAACTTGTAATGGATGATGGATTTGTCCAAAAGTTTCATAATTTTAGTTTGCATGCCTTTTGGCATTACTCGTGTATTTCACAAATTTTATTATTACAGCTGCCCGAGACATAATAAAATATAGAAACTATGTATGCATGAAAACCAAGCCAACCTTAAGAAGCTTACTATGAAAACACTATTAGTTAAGGGGGAAATGATGGTCTAAAAAAAGTAAACAGAGCTAATTAACATTAAATTTGGGAAAATAAATTAGTGGATTAAACCATGGCTAAAGTTCACTTGTTAAAGCTGTCCATGACAATGATGGAGTTTATTTCGATTAAAAAGTTTTAAAAAGAAGTATAAGTAGAATAAGCAAAAATATTTTCTACTGAAGTGTAAGAAAAAATTATGTTAAAGATGCCTTTAAACCAAGGTTGTGTTAACACAAAATTATCTAGAGAATCACTTTAATTGTAAATTTATAATTTCAAAACTGAAGTGTAAGACAAAATTATGTTAAAAGATGCCTTTAAACCAAGGTTGTGTTAACACAAAATCATCTAGAGAATCACTTTAATCGTAAATTTATAATTTCAAAACTGAAGTGTAAGATTTTCGAATTTTACATACAATTTCAGGATCAATATGCTTGGCTTTCCAATCATTGAATCCATTAATTCTATAGCATTCACGATGTTTAACTAAAGTCGTAAGTTCAGCACTTCAGTTTTCATATGTAATAAGTAGTTCATCGAAGATTGCTCAAGTGCAACTCACTTATTTTAGCCATTAGATAGAAATTAACTTCCTCAATGTTGTATATGTTGGATTTATGGTGGCACTTAGACCAAGAAGTAGTGCATAGATTTTTAATTTTGATCTCTACAATCCTCTATTAGCTTGGCTTATTACATAAAAGACATTATTCTAGTGGTTGGGTTTCATTGACTTATGCCCACTTTGCCTAGAACACCTTATACTTAATTTTCACTAAATCAATTTCAAAAGCTCAATTCCTATTGAGTTTCCCACAAAACTCACACTAGATCACCTGATCTAAGACAAATCAAACTGCTGATTATAAGGATCAGCTTCCTTATGTGATAAGTCACATTTGTCACAAATTTACCCACAAAGAAATGAGAAAAAATTCTTTGAGGTGTTTAATTGACATCTTCAAAAAATTTGAAGATGTCAATTAATTAATGAAGACTTCATGTTAATTGTTGATAGGAGTGGTTTACTTTCTCGATCAGAATTTAGCTTCTTGTCTTTCATCTTCACAACTGACACTTGAGCTTTTGAATTTCCTAGAAATTCTTTCTTGATGAAGGCTGAAAACGTTTTAGCAAGAAGGCACAAGAATGTTAAGTGAACAACAAAGATATTCTCAATGAGTGAATAACTTCAACATATAGGGCGATTTATAAACAAGAATTTTCTTGTTCTTCATTTCCTTAATGTCTTATGTTAACAATCCATTGGAGACTCCAATGAGAATATTCAATCCAACATATTCTCCAAGTTTTTTGTTATATCCTTTGAACTTAAACCAATAACAAAATATTTTAAGCTAAAATGTAAATCTTCCAAAAATATTGGGTTTGGGAGCCCAAAAACTTAATCTAATATACTTTAGTACAGTCCATGAACAGATAATGAAATATAGTAATGATTTTAACTTTAAAATGAAACCAAAATTCACTCAAGTAAGACGTGAGGATGATATACTGATTCTAAAGATTCATTCCAACATTTTAAATCATGTGTTTGCCATTTCTTAGGACTCAAAATTCTTACATCAAAATTTTTAGGTCAATAAAACTATGCTTGAAAGTAACTAATGATTTCTCTGTAGTTTTTATTTATTTCACCAATATTAAATGCTCATGACATGGTATTATGCTTTATATTACATGTTATATGTAATAAAAACCCTTTCTTCAATCTCATGTTATAGACCTCAAATATTACATGTTGATATAGTGGAATAAGTCTAGAGTGCTGAGCCACTATAAACCCTTTGTTTACAATCTAACACTAAGTTGATATAGTGGATCAACCCAATTGACTTTTGAAGCCTATTGCAAAATCAAAAAGTAGACAGAAGCTAAGGAAGCCCTAATTCAACTCCTCTCTTGAATTTTTTTACTAGCCCTCTATAGCCAATACAGCTATCATCAATAGACAACTTCCAAGTATGACTCCTTTTGAGTGATTGGACAAGTTCCTTTCCTTCTTCGTATTTTCAAGTATGGTCACAAAGTTCGACACATGCTTTATGGTGAAAGGCTCCAACATCATAAAACAAGTCCCCCAATGGTTATCTTAAATCCCATTAGCATTTCTTAAGAGAGGTTCACACAACATACAAATGGATGGCATTCCTGAAGATTTATTAGATTGCACACATACATGGTACCATTTCACAAACACTTTAATATATAATAAAAGTTAAAAGATCCTTGGTTGTCAACTATTAATCTTGCACCATCTTAGAGCATCTCGTTTCTTGGGAAGTGGGTAGATATTGATTTCTGAACATGTCAGAGTTTAGCATGGGATCAAATAACAGCAATGCCTAGATATGGGGTGATGTACCTGCACCTGTACCTGCACCTGCACCTGCACCTCCACCTCGTCGCATGCTGAGCTCTCATCCTATCACACTTCAGAAAATAGTTCTGATACATGGGCACAATATATCAGATCATGTGTGAAGGCTGAAATTGGTTAGATGGCATGAATACTCCCTCCTCTGGATTAGGAAAGTGCTAGTCATGATAGCTTCATCAGAGACTCGCTACATTGCTTGCTAGATGTGAACACTGTTGTCAAGGAGAGCGTCTGCTGCTGAATCAAGATCATGAGGGAAGAAAACCCTACAGAAAATGTTACACTACATGAGAAACTTGAATAGATCATTTTATTCTCTTCAGTCAAAAAGAAAAAAGAAAGAAATAAAAATGGTGTTGGCTTATTGGTGATGAGAGGGTTCTCAGTAGAAAAAGGCTCATTTGAGATGAGACATATGATTCTTTCTTGTCATAAATGCAAATAATAGGCAAACGTTATGTAATGGTGCAAATTGCCACAGATCAATCGGAATGGTCAATAGCATGTGTGAGAGTTCTAAATCGTGATCATGTAATGAGGGAGATTTTCTAATAATCTGAGGGTATATTATTAGAAGGGGTCACAGAGTCAACCTTCCTCCACCTGTCCAATTTCCTACTCAACCTATGTTTCTCAACAGCGAGGAAGACATTTTGAAAAAGAACACATACACGTTCTTCATGGAAGGCATAAATGCTGTCCAATTATGAAAATAAGCCCGAGTAGTATTATTAATGCTAATGGAAGCAATTTTTTCATTGGTTATCATGTCTTCTATTAAATGATCGAATAAGTGATAATAACAGTAATAATCACAAAATCACAGCACCTTCCACAAGATGATCATATTTTATTATGTCTAAACACTATGATAACAGTAACGATGAGAGAAAATTCCAATAATTAATTCACATTATTTAACTCGCAATGAATAAGGTGATATACAGAACAGTAAGATCTAATTTATATCCCATACAATGCGAAACTGACTAGATTTTGACGATGATCCAGATTTTTCAAAAATATCTTAATGAAAAATGAGCCCAGCTCAGATGAGATTTCAAAATGTCAAGAGTATAGATAAATATGAACTGGATCACACAACTAAAAATTTAAGGGGAATATTTTTACATTGAAATAAAAAAACCATCGAGAGTAAAATCAGAAGATCGTTTAATATAAGATCCCACGCAATCATGAACAGGGCAGTCATGGATCCAAGTGACTACTGTCTATTCTTATAATTAATCAATGTTTACCAGATGGTGGTGCAGGCTACTACCATATTAATCAAGTAAATCCAAGGCAAACAGAAGCAAATATCACAAGCAGGTGACAAAGGGAAAGTCCGCCACTTCTGTAACAAGATGATAATAAGAAATGGGAAACAAAGAAGAATGACTGTGGAATATTTTTGGCATTCTTGATGTTAACCTCCCATTTCAATTGCTCTATACCCACTAAAAACATATATAGGACTCTGCCAATCCGGTCTTGTGTTCCTGAATTTCAGCCAGAATTTTCTGTTATTTCTCTTTCTTGAAATTCCCCACGAGATACATGGTAAGAAAACCTTCTAGCAAATGTGATTTGTAGTCAATTTTAGAATAAATTACTAAAGTCTGAGAAGTTAACAATGGACTACATTACAAAGAATATTCCACAGTACACTTTTAGTGCCATATTCTAAAAAGCGATCCTCAGCAGTCTCCTTCAACCCATAAAACATATATTTGTTTTAAATACAGGCTTTCACAATTTGAACGCTTGGTGACCAATTTTCATCTGTACATTTTCATTTTTAAGGGAAGTTTATTAGTCCAAACCATTCTCTACTGACAAATTCACCATCTCTTTCCTGAGGGGAGCAAGTTCCCCCTTATAAGTCAGAGTAGAACAGCACATAAAGAACCAAAAAAAAAAAAAAAAAAAAAACCTAGAAAGACTACCAACTTTCCTTACTTATCCAATAATACGCTTAATAAGTAAAAAGAGGAAAGCAACACAAATATTATTTCTCCACTTAATCTTACTCAAGAGAGCATGGCAGGTATCTTCATTAGTTTCCAATCCTTCAGCCCATTGGTGCACATATACAATAGCTTCGTTGACCATTGCTTGTCGGGATTGAACTCTTGTTTAAATGTTCTACAGCTCTGTTCTCACCTTATTCCCCAGAAAATCGTGGGTAAATGTGCTTTATAGCATTTAGTTCCCTTGGTCAGATCTCTAGGCCACATAACACCAAGTCCATGTTTCTGCATGCTCGTCAACAAAAACTTGAGCAACATGAATTATAATCTTCCACACTATACTCGTTATCTCACAACCCATATAAATATTTTTTTCAGTCTTTATTTACCCCCCAAAAAGAATGTTTTTTTCATTGCAATCAGTATCATTTTCTGAATCCTATCAAACTAGGTAGTTTATTTGCTGACTAATTCCCATAAAAGACTGTCTCTGTTAGCAATTTATTCATCCTCATGGCCTCCCCCCAAGCATCATCCGTCTGCAGGACTAAGCACTTGCCTAAACAACTGACCTCCCCACTTATTCTCCTTTTTCTTCTTCTTCTTCTTCTTCTTCTCCCCACCCCACTTTCACAGAGAAAAGGAGAGTAGATCCAGGTTCAAAGAAACAAACTATATCACATAGACATGCACCAGCACATGTAGCAACAAGGTTTGCAGCACCCACATCAAAAACAAAGCGCGGTTCAGAATCAGACCCCAAGGTGATATCGAGCAGGTGTTAGCAAAGTTTAACCTCACAATAGACCTGTTCCCTTTGGGTGTCTCTGGAGAAAAAGAGTGCCTTTCACCAATCCACTGATTACTAAGCACAGGTACGCCGGGGAGTGGCAAACTCCCCCACCAATCGGAGGTAATCATAAAACGTTGACAAGATGATATTTTAATCTATGCAGAATTTATTAGCATAGACATTACAATAGTTGAGACAAACATAAAAAATAGGCATAGATCAAAATTTACGACACAAGAATATCCTACTTCAAAACATTATATGATATGCAGTTAAATAAAATTTAATAGACAAATGTCCTAATGAATCATTCTGTTCGCAGAACCTAGAAGAATTACCAGAGATTTTCTAAATAATTTCGACTACATCTTACCTGCAAGTATTATGATAAATGACCTTGCTGAGTTGATCGATATCACCAATGTCTTTACAACCAGCTACCACCTCGAGAACTTGCCTGGTTAAATAAACGGCCTCAAGCTTTTGCAAATCAAAGATTCAAGGAAAAGCATAGCAAGAATAAAACTCCGCCATTTTTATTGAGATGAGGACCACAGAAAGCAAAAATCAATAACAGTTTCCCAAGCTCATCAACTGATTCTTTCATGCACACATTTATCATTCCTGAACAACTAGAGAGATAGAGATAAATCATGCCCAATGACCCAGTCTAAATGCAACAACATAGGCACGAGAGACATAAAAATCTGCCGACCAACATTCAGGAAAGCTACTATCAGAAACATAGGACAACGTGGCAAGAGCCAATATGGTAATCTGTTTACTGGTCGCCCAAGAAAGATATGTTCCCACTGTATGGTACATAGAAAACGTTGAAGCTAGTGCTGACAGACTAGCGAAAGGAATCTACAATGAGCTCAAGAAAGATTATGTACAATTGATTCGAGAGATTACATCGTAGCTCTTGCTTCACATGCAAATATCAATATCTAATTTTGAGCTCGGCTCACACCAATATTCAAAATGCCTACAGACTCCCAGACTTCAATCCTACATGAAGGAATATCTTCATTAGGTGTTTAGCATCCTTCAAAACTCGTTATCTATACCCAAACCTGAATGAAGGAATATCCCTAAGGGAAGATTCATAAGTGCCTAGCCAATACAGTCTAATAAAAAGGCAGTTCAAAGAACGAAGAACAAAAATGAAATAAAAAAGGTATATGGATGAAAATAGTAAGCCATTTAGTCATGATAATTGTGCATAAGTGCGATAGAATGCATTTGATCGGACATAAAGATGACAAGGCATGTGGTCAGGCAGAGATATGAATGAAATATTCATATACTTTCATTTGATAATCAAGATGTGTTTGCAAACAGTTAAGGATAACATTAGAGGAAAGATGCAAGTACATGATATCTATGAAAAAATCAGCAAACATCATATGAAAGGGCCAACCTTTATGAATCTTTCCATCAGCACTTTCAACAAGCAAAAGCAGACTCAACAAATTCGAGTCCTAATATTCAGGTGGTCAGCAGGGATGAACGTGTTTTAAGACAATTCTGGCCATTGTCAATCACAATCTCCTAACAATTTATGTGAATAATGTTATATAAACTTCACGATTTCATCATTTGGTTATGGTTGGCATAGCTTTCGTCCAAAAGGATGCCAGACATGATGAAGGCCCAATTCTCTTCAATTTATTCGTATCAATATCATTGATCAATAAATATTCGTATAACCAATTAGCATATGTCATGTTGTTTTTCTTCACAACGAGATCTAATACCTTAGATGTGAACTAGATTACCACCTTGTCAAATGATATTCTATCACAAGTCTCTCATCTGTATGTTTATGAAATTCAGGATAATGGTAGCTTCGTATGATATCATATTTTCCGTTTCTTTTCTTTCTTTGATTTTTCCTTTTTTTTATTGGTTACCCTGTTTTTTTTTACTTTATAGTTTTATGTTTTAAATTATAGGTAATGCTGAATTTACTGCCTTCTATTAAATGGTTCAATTCGGATGATCCAACAACAATCAAGATCAGGTTAGATATGGAAAAGTCAGTTATCCAATCCAATCCATTCCAAATTAAAATACCATTGATGAAAATAATGATGATATTTAGGTATCGTTAACATGGAATTTTTTATTAATTCCTAAGAAGATTGATTAATATTCATTGCATGATGTTGATATAGGAAAAGCAACTAAGAAGTGGCACATCATCACCAACACCAACTTACTAGAACATTAAAATTTTGAATTACCAATCATGTGAAACAGAAAGCTCGCAAAAAATGAAGAATCACAAGGCAATGAGTGTGTATACCAATCTTCAGCTTTAAATTTAGTATCAGGACTAAAATCAATGATAGGAGAAATGATATTAAACACACAGAATGGCTTGAAAAGACTTTTACCTTACAAGACAAGGTTCATTACGACCTTTAACCGTAGAGTCATCATCATACTTCTCTTTTTTCTTTGAAGGCCATGTTGATTTAACAAAATGAATTCCAGCATGAGTGTTCTTTATTTCACAGTAAGGAGAATCAGTCTCTATCATTATCCTCTCAATGGGAATGCCTCTCACGACGTCAAGGTTATCACTTGTTTTCAAAGAGCAGCCATTAACACCTACCAAGCATATCAATGAGATATTATGAATCTCCACTTATCCGATTAAATAGCAGATCAACATATGTAATTAGTGCATGAAGCAAGAGAAGGATATATGGGAGCAAAATCGACAATTATTCTGCACAACTTCCACAGACACCAAAGACCTTGAACTGTACATGGACTTATGGTAAAGGACCACTAGGAATGCAAAGGAATTCCACCAAGTTAAACTCGTTTCTGCTTCTTGATATGATAACAAGGCGACAGAGACAATAATTTGGAAAATATAACAAACGTAAACAAAATTACCAATGAAAAGGCCATCAAATGATAGAAGTCTATCCCGATCTTCTGCAGTACCGGTAAATGAATGTGCAACACCCATGCTGAATCTGTTGAACAAGTAAATATTACATTATGACTTTTCTTTCTAGAAAGAAAAATTCTCAAAGGCAGACTGCCATCAAAACGTAACCAAACAGCACAATTTTCAACAGCGTGATTGTGCAATTCAATTTCAGCAAACGAAATGATCTCTTAGAATGCAAAATCATTGAGGACATATAAAATGTAGAAGAGGTTCCAAATTAAAGCATTTTATCTAACCATGGAAAACATTAGATTGTTGTCGATTTATATGTAATCCTTCGAAGTAATATCATGATCGTGATAAGCTTACCTAAGTAATTAAACTTCCACATGAAGCGAGACAGCTTCTAATGCAATGATGATCACTGGAACATAAATTTAGAATCCTTCACAAACATAATGGCATACATGTTTCCATAATCATTACCAAATTCATGAATGTAAGAAGGGTTCCCTATGACAATTACTACTATTGACAGCCCTAAAAATTAGAATATAACAAGCACACAAAGCCCTTAGGAGCTCAACTTCCTTGAATTATATGATTTCAGATTCTGTTTCCTCGAGGCTAAAAACTTATCAGCCCCCATTCAATTGAAAGTTGCATCCAACATGCCATTGAAGATATCATTCACAGCCCGCATAATCAAGGATATGCCTCTGTTAGAAAGGTTCTAGGCATGATCACTGGGAAGGATCCATATTTAAATGATACACCTAGTAATCCTAATAGAAAAAATTAATAAATTGACATAACCATCTCAAGGACCTAAAACTTATTGATCACAACAACAAAATTAAACATCCAAAACAGTCACTACATGCTTCACGAGATATAAATCGCAGTCAACTTTTCCCGCTCTGATTTCAAGAGAGAAACCAGAAATGCATGCTAGTTTGGAATATCCTGTGAGATACCAGCTTCTTTGATTTGCAAATTATGCAAAGATCATCTCACTTCACAAGAACCAAATTTACCAGAATAAAATATAGAAAGAAAGGATTTACACTTTATGACCACGAAATTTTTCAAGTTTAAAAAGTTCCTTCTCACAATTAATTGTCATGCACATTTCAGATTTCATGATAACAAGTTCAAAATTCTGAAAATTCTACTCAGATTTCATTGTAACGAATACATTCTTTGAACCTGTGAAAAGATACTTTTTGACCCCTGGCCAAATCAATAAAAACATGGAAGGAAATTAATCAACAGCAATGCTGAATATATTGTGTATTTTAAATGGAAACGGAAAAACGTAAGAAAACATTGAAAAGCTAATATTGACTTCTCGGAAATTTGAATGGCCAGAAAAATTACTTGCTCTTATTTTGAGCCAATATATCACAAAAGTCTCCCACGGCAGCACGCATGTGAAGAAACATAGGTAACTGAAACGTTTCTGCTAATTTAAATTGCTTCCCAAAATACCTGAATTTAAGTAAGAAATTTAATAAGACTAGCATAAAATCATAGTACATGAGCAATGGAGAAATAAATTAACTAAATTGTTAGCCCACTTTCTCTGCACTTCAGCTGGACAAAAGTGAAGCCTATCATAGTCCAGTCCACATTCGCCAATTGCCACCACCTATGAAACAACGTCAGTTCACAAGACATAACAATATCCATCTTAACCACGACAATAAACAAGGAAGAAACAAAAAGTTCAAAACTCATAACCAGATGAACAAATTTGCCCCAAAGGGTGTCTTACTCATCATGGCATTTTTGTGAGCAAACACTATGACGGTGTTTTACAAATAAAAAGAAATAATTCAATATGAGGGTCGCAATTTAGTCTCCAGAAGTTCAGCATTAAACTTCTTTTCAATGTGAGTCATGAGAAGCACAAGATCTGCCTCACAAAAAATACAATCCTACAAAAGAAAGTTTAAAACATTCTTGACTATAGAGTTTCCCAGTGTTAACTTGATATTTACAACTAACATCATAGCATGCAACAGAACTATAAGAGCTGCTCCAACAGATCTACAATCCTACAACACCAAATTACAGCATTCGTGAATTTACCGTTTCCTAGCTTTGAGCTTGATATTTAACATCTAACATCACATCATATCATTCATTGTACCGTAGCACGTGCTTCCTAAACAGTTCAAATCAAGGTAGAATGTGATTCGTGAATAAATCAAAGTAACCACTCTTGATAATTAGATTTAGTAATACTGATATCCATAGTTCAACAAAAGAAAATTCTTTTTAATATTTTCCCGAAATCGTAAGAGAGAGAGAGCATTTTAAAATAGAACATGGACACTCCAGGGCTATGACCATCTAATACACAATGAGTCTTCGAATTTCACTAGTGCCCATGAAAAATTGATTTACAAAACCATCTGGGTAGAGCATAGCATATTTTCTTCGCAAAGAATAACTGAAACCATGGTTGCACGTATCACTCCTGATGTTACTACAGCAAACAGTCAAGGAAAAATGTACCTTTCCCTTTTCAACTCCTTCCTTGGCCAGTGATGCAAGTGCCTGAAAGTGCTTTTCTGGATCCCCACTCTCATCAAACTCCTAGGCAATGTAATAACACGGACATCACTAGAAATAACCCACTGCAATGTGCTGAAGGACCAGATAGAATGGCAAGTGATGAGACCGTGTGGTGGGAGGATTGGTGCGTCTACAAATGATCACCTTTCCTTCTTTTTTTACATTTTTTCGTAATGAAGTAACTGAAAGGTTTTGGTCCCTCACCTGGCACCTAGTAGGATGGACCCCGACTGTACAGAAGAGACGGCCTGCATGGTCGCAGCAGGTTAATGAGAAGAATAGAGAACTACAAGGAAAGGCACAGCGATTGGATGAAACTTAAAACAGATAAAGCTACATGTACTCATAACCAAATCAACGTAAAAACTTTGGTCACTGGTAGCGGGAATCCTTGTGACCAACGAATCAACAGTTTGACACTTAACGTAAAAACTTGAAGCAAAAACAAACAAGAAAGAATGAAGAGACGTGAGGAAGAAGGGTACAAGCAACAACCATCCGTTTCAGCAATTTCCAGGGCCGCCTTCGATTCTTCCAGAGAACCACCTGTGACCTGTTGGACACGTACAGCAGACAGACGAGACAGACGAGACAGACGCTAAGTATCCTCTCTCGATTAGACAAGCAGGAAACATTGATAGACGTGGGAAGAAGAGGAGCACAGAGCACGATGTCTCACGATGATCCGTTCAACCCCAGCGGCCCAGGCCCTCCTCAAGACGTTGGATATGTCCGCTGCATGGCACTGCCTGCCGTTGTAAACGCCCCTGAACATACCGTCTGAACCACGTCTCCATCCGAGGAGAGGTGAGAGATAGCGACAAAACGTTCCAGAAGAAGGTAAGTCACTCCCCCACATTCAGCCGCATCCAAATCCAATGCTACAACAAAGACGGCCTCCATCTCAGTCGCTGTGCGCTCACCTGTGAAGTTGACGGCAATGTCTGTTCCCTCGTTCGTCCGACATCGATGGAGCCGACGCCCGAATGCAGAGGAGAACGCAAAGCGAGGACAACACAAGGAGTTGAACAGGTGATCAGCAGCCGAAGCAAGAAGAGAAGATGCCGATAGACGTCCAGATCGTGAAGAAGAAAATCGGAGCCGCAGAGCACCCCGCCCCGCCGGCGCCTACTCACCGATCATCCGGAGAGACGACGACGCCATCGCCTCTTTCTTCCCCGAGAGCAGCGAAGAGCATCCGGTCGAAGGGGATATTATTATAAAAACCAAGAATAAATAAAAAAAATGAGAAGTAATATGTGAAATTATTTATTCTAGAAAAAATAGGCGTTCATACACTGAATATAATATTCTGTTATATTTCCTAAATTTTCATAAAAATGCATACCATCCTTCATAAATGGCCTTTTATTTTCAAATAATTACCCGAAATTCATCTATAATTATCTATCGCCCCACTAACGAAAGCAGTACACGACTTTGTGGGTTGACTTTTGGCTTGTCCACTTGGGTTGACAACCGCGATTTTTCTTGCTTAGGCGACTAATTGGTCAACTGTGACTTTTTTCGTTTAATCGTAGACTTGAATTTTCTGTTTTTTATCAATTATATATTTTTTAGAAGATTCGGTCCTCAAGGGGCGGCGGGGGCCGCTGACGTGGAGATTTTGGGGGGTGGATGTTCTGTTCCGTGGGTAAAAAGTCAACACAATGTTTTTTGTCCGGTCTTCGCCCTGAGGACTGAGAAATAAGTGTTTCTTGTGAGAATGACGTCATGGAAAGCGGTAAACGGAGGGACGCGATCGCATCACGGGCTGTTGCAGCCGGCAAAAATGGTTACTCCAATGACGTCATTTACGTGATGGAGAGAGGGAGAGGAGAGAGAGAAGAGAGAGAGTAGATAGGCAGAGAGGAGAGAGAAAGAGATGACCCTGTACGCAGATGTCGTCTCCGGTCGGAGGCCCATCGTCGTTAATTACGAGCTTAAATCCTTTTCGGCTGAGATTTGGCTTCATCCGACTGGTGGCGGAGTGTAATCTTCCTCGAGTCTGGGCCCATCTGTTCTGTCGACCAGCGGGGCAGCAAGGCGACGCCCCCGTGAGGAGCAGGAGGACGAGGGAGGGGAGGGAGGGGGGTAGGCATCGTTCTAGGGGGATCTCTCTGCATCTCCCTTCCTTCAGTCATCTGGCCTCTGCTAGGCGGGCAGCGGGGAGGGGCGGAGGGAGGGAATCGGAGGCTCTTTGTCGACCCCGTCGTCGCCTGATTCGAAGCTCGACTGGCCTCTGGGCGTGGCTTCTGGTGTGAATTCTCCCTGCGAGCTGCTCGATCACATTCTGATGGACGCGTCCCCCGCCGTTCCCTGGGAAAGATAGCTTGCGGGCAGTTCCTGATCCCGCGGGCGGCGAGATAATTGGCTCCGGCGATTTACAGCGCATGGATGTGAGTGCTCTATCAATGGCGGGGGACGCCGGCCAGGCCCCCTCCACCTCAAGTCGTCACCTCGACGACGGCTGCAAACCTTCCACTGAGCGTCAGGAACATCCTCTCCCTGAGGAAGCTTCTCCCTCAGCTTCGACATCGCCCACGCGTCAGGAACATCCTCTTCCTCCTCCTCTGGCTGCCGTGGCAGGTCCCCGTCCTGCCCCAACTTACTCGGTCCTCAATGCTGTCATTGAGAAGAAGGAGGACGGTGCCGGTTCGAGGTGTGGGCACACGCTGACAGCCATCGGGGCCGTCGGTGAGGAGGGCACACGAGGTTATATAGGCGCTCGCCTTATCCTCTTCGGCGGCGCTACCGCCCTCGAGGGCAATTCTGCAGCCCCTCCATCCCCTGCAGGGAGTGCTGGCATTCGTATGAATCTCCATTCTTCTTTGCTCTGCTCTGTTCTGCTCCCCATCTCTCTCTCTCCTCTCCCTTTATATTTTATTTTCATTGTTCGTATAGACCTGTTATTGCCTGCGCACGGTACACGGAGAAAATATCAACCGTATTGTACTCAGTTGCTTCTGACCAATTTCTGGTTGTTCGGATGGTCGCTGACACTGAAATTATGTAATTATCGGCATGCAGAACAAGCCTTTGTCTTGTTGTCTCGTTTGATTGATGAAATTCCTATTCAGATTAAAGAGGGAAATGAAACACGATTAAGGAAGCTGACACCTCCTTTAAAAAAAAACTTGGGGATTGACTTATATCATGCTCTTCTGTCGTAGGGGCAGTTTTACGGGGACTGCTTATAAGCCATCATTATGTCTTGAATTCCAGGTCTTGCTGGAGCAACAGCGGATGTACACTGCTATGATGTGCAGGCAAATAAATGGTCAAGGCAAGTACCTAATATCTTCCTATTTCTTAAATGACCAGCATGGTGTCTAAGCTGTTTTAGGTGTCTCGTGAGGATCTTGTTTACTTTTCTTAATCAGCCTGTCGAACAGTGAAACGCTTTGCAAACACTAGTAGAGTTTGTGCATACTCATAAAGTTTTTTTCTATTATCTCATGTATGGCTTAGTTAAACTGAACTCTTGTTCAGGCTTAAACCTGTTGGAGAGCCTCCCTCACCTCGGGCAGCACATGTTGCAACTGCTGTGGGTACCATGGTGGTCATTCAGGTGTATACAGGGAATAGACCCTAAAACTAGCCTTTTATTTGGTTTGTGATCGTTATTTTTGCAGACGGTGAATGAAACTCATTTTAGAATTGGCCTTGATTTGTTCTAGGGTGGGATAGGTCCTGCTGGCTTATCTGCTGAGGATCTTCATGTTCTTGACTTAACACAACTACGACCACGTTGGCACAGGTTTTTGATGCATCTATTTTATCTCTTTATTTCTTGTCTGTCTAATGTTCCACACATTGCTCAAAGGAACCTATGAACATAAGTGCAGGGTCACTGTCCAAGGACAAGGGCCTGGACCACGCTATGGGCATGTGATGGCTCTAGTGGGCCAAAGATATTTGCTGGTAATAGGAGGAAATGATGGTAAGCAGCATTTTCATTTCCAGATATGTAGGTTTAACTTTTCAATGGGTTTTTCAAAGAGTTTGCTAGTAGGTGCTTACTGTATAAAATCTGTACAATTTCTTTAGGAAAGCGTCCTTTAGCTGATGTTTGGGCATTAGATACTTCTGCCAAGCCTTATGAGTGGAGGAAATTGGAACCAGAGGGGGAGGGCCCTCCTCCATGCATGTGAGTGCTCTTGCTTGTGCTTGCCTTACCTTTTGTTCTATTCTCATAATTGCTCACACTTGCATGAAGGTTATGATCTTTGAATTGAGGACAGCTGTGTGCTGTAATTGTTCATATACTCTGTGAGAATTAAGAAACAGTAATTCTCACAAACCACAAGCAAATAAGAGAAGATGAAAGAGAAACATCATTATCTATTGTGGTTCTCTCTCAATGCAAGATCTACAGTCACTTGCCTCTGCAGAATTTTACCATCAACTTTGTATAGTCGTAACATGCCTTCACACTGACAGATGTCCTACTTCTGGCTTATATACGTTGGGATTAAGACAGACCCTTAACATGAAAGAGTGTCTTTGGTAGAGTATACTCAAACAATAAAAGCTGGGGGGTCTGGCCCACGACCCCCAAGAGGGGGGCCTTGCTGCCCCCTTCCAACCCCCTCGTCGACCTTAAAGGTTGATCCACGTGCTAACTCTGCATTTTAGCATAGCTAGGCTCCATAGAACACAACAAACTCACTCAAGAAATCCATTTATTGCTGTATGGGGTACTATTGCTTATTTTACCAGCTTGGTGAAAACGAAATGAAGATTTCAGATATGACTGTTTAGATATTCAGAATCGATTTACAACACAGCATATGCTTGACGACTCATATTATTGACATTTATTGATGGTTTCTAGCTGGCAATAAGCTATGCTTGATTCTTTTGGATCATGGCAATCCACATATTAGGCTGAAATAATTTAATTACATAGAAATTGTGATTTCTTTAATGAAACTGGGATAAGAATTATGATGATAACTCTCCATTTATTGAGATCACATCATAGAGTTATACGCAAAACAATGTACAATTGTGTACATAATAAAACGGTAGAATTTAGATGGTAGTTTCGGAAAAAAGTTGCATATCTTTCTCATGTTCCAAATGCATGAATGACTGCTTGATTCATCCAAAATCAAAACAAGATTACGAGAAATTTTATATTTCCCGAGAATGGAATGTAAATATAAAGTTCGAAGATAACAGAAAAGGGGTTAGATTGGGTTCTAGAAGGAACCCTTGCTCCAGTTTCTGGTGACCTTTCAAGAGGGTCATTGCTCTCATCCGCAAGCTGCTGCCTGCCAAAAAATCTCGTCCTCCCCTTCCCTCAACACGTCCTAACCCTAGTAACTCTCTTCCCTCTTTCAAGACATTGACTTATTTACTTCCCTCTCCAGGCTTCCGTGTGAGATGTGATAGGTAATGCCATGTAAAGCTGAATGCAAGACTGGCAGTCATGCATTAAGACTGGTAATTTTAGAACATTTATTCATCTTGTTTCTGTATGTGTATCATTTTTTTAAAATTTTAAGAACCTATTCATCTTGTTTCTTTATTTGAATCATTCTTTGTTTGTATTAAATTGAATTTGTTCTTTGTTTCAAGTGTAATACTTTGCTGTGTCTTTTTTTTTTCCCTGATAGTATTGTGTGGTTTTCTTCTCCGAGTCATAGGCTGCTTCTCTTATGTTTATAAATAGGTATGCCACTGCAAGTGCACGGTCTGATGGTCTTCTTCTGCTTTGTGGCGGTAGAGATGCAAGCAACGTTGTAAGATATTGTTTTATGTTAAGGCTAGAATGTTGATTATAAATAGCACAAAATTCTTTATTTCTTTATGCTATATAGATTATATATAATTTTTTGCAATTTCAATTCCACCAGTTGACTTGTTTTATGAATATGTCATATGTTAAGAGTCAGATATTTGTTCTTGTCGGGCCCATTATTTGTTCCTGTCGTGCCCATTATTTGTTCCTGTCGTGACCTTAACTTTGCTGCATGATCTATATTCTCCCTATTATATGCGGAGATTCCCTTTATTTCATGGCTGTATGAACTTTAACTTCAACCAAGAAGATAATTTTGTACCTGTAAATTTGTTTCATGAGACTTATAACATACCTTTCATGGCCCAATTTTTTATTTCAGATGTTCTGTACCAGCTAGAAAGTCGATATTAGGCAAGGTAGTGAGAAGTTTGTTGCATCTTTGGATCTTGTACATCCAACGTTGTTGTTAAAGCAACTAAGGTAAATAAGGAGTAAGTCGATCATGCAAAGGCAAGAAGTCATGCTTCCTTATGAAGCCCAGTTTTCAGAGGAATTTAATGGACAATGACCTCTCTGTACAGAATATCTGATGCTAGTTGACTCATTGATATTTGTGACAAATTTATAGCCATGTACAAATAACGAGAGAAGCGGTCATTATTTTTAAAGTATCATGGGGCATTTCATCCTCATGATATTTGTGAATTATATGATGATTATTATAGCCGCCTTTAGCCCACAGCAAGCAAAGAAGAAACATAAAAGTGTCAAGAAGAATATGCAGCATCACAGAAAGGTGCAAACTTCTTTTCTCTTCTTGTATGACAAGATAGAGGTGATTAACATAAATGGACCAGAATGACATTTTTTCTTGTTATGGGTCACTTTGAATTCTGATGTACGAGGATCATGTTCCCTTTCCACTCCTCTTGACCAGTTTAGTGTGTGCAATACAATCTCGTTGGTCATTTATCTTATGTTTCTGTAATTTTCTGAAAATTTATTTAATTTCTTTTACCCTGTAGCCTTCAATAGATTTAAGTTGAAAAGTTTACAACGGCAGCTATAGGGTATACAGAATGAATGTCGGTTTTGTTGCAGTAACAGAAGAATAATTCGGACGCGATTGATAATTTAAATATTTTTTTTATGACACATGATATCTTTGTGGAAATCGCCTAAACAGGCTTCCTTTCGGTTTTACACTGGAAAATACTGTTTCTGCGAGAAATCCATCTACGTTTCACTGCCAAGCTCAACATTCCTTGTCACCATCAATTGATGGCAAAGGTTTCTTGTTTCCCATCTCAATTTCTGGTGTTCAGTAGGGGATGTTCAGGCATTTGAAGGAAATCAATGTATTTACCAACTATCTTTTTAAGGTTTCTCTCCAAAATATAGATCACGGATACAACCTGCTAGATTCATCAAAATCGCATAGATATGCTTGTTCTTTCATGTGGTATTTTTGTGGAATTGCTGAAATTTTACAGATAATATTTCCACCCCATCATCTACCCCCCCCCCCCCTCCCCCGAATTTTATTTTCCATCCATTACCCGGTTGAAAATCAGCAGATATTATTAGGACCTCTGTTAGATGGATTTCTGTTCCCGAATTTCAGACAATCTAGTCCTATTAATTGCAATAAACCTCCATTCATTCTTATTTCTGCTGTACTTCTCTACTCTCTTTCTCGCTCTCAATTAACATTTAAAAGAGCTGATCCATTGAAAACGTCCATTTTAACTAGCCAAATGACATAGAAAATAATGATGCCTAAATTAGCTGCAGTCTCTTTTTCAAAGACAATAATACATTTGACAAATTGAAAATGAGCGAGAAATCTTTGACTTTGATCTACTTCAATTTCTTTAATTTTTTCTCCTGTTGCAACTTTTTTCTTCATTGCACTAGGATTTTGTCCTTATTGTAGATATAAGAGATCCCCTTGTCTCAATCCCCGAATGCTTTTAATTAACCATTTGATTTACCATTGGTAAAAAAATAGAGTCCTGTTGTTGAGGTATAACTTGTCTCTCAAGCTTAATGCTGTTTTTATCCTATTCAAACTAATATTCTGGCTAATCATTCCATTTTATTTTTTCATATCCTTTCTTCAAACTCTAGCATAAGTGTCATATATTTTGTAAAGTCGTCTAGTCTATACTTTTCGGCCACAGAAGCAGGTTTGACTTTTATGGATAAAGTATGCCCATGCTAAGTTAATACATGGGTCTATTCAACAGTGCTATGTACACACTATGCAGATATCAAAACAAACACGTGTATGACATTATGTCCTTGTTTGTGCAATTATTTTCTTTAGAGAGATGCCCAAATATAGATCGTTCTTTACATCCACAGAACACTGATTTTCAATGGGATTCTGTTCTTCAAATGTGGATGGACTGTCTGTATAATCTGCTTCGGGTTCTGTATGATCTATGTGACTCACATGAGGCTTTAATATATTTTTATGTAGCCTCTATCTAGTGCATATGGTCTTGCAAAGCATAGAGATGGTCGCTGGGAATGGGCCATCGCTCCTGGAGTCTCACCTTCTCCAAGATATCAGCATGCGGCTGTGGGTCTTTTTTAATTTTAATTTCAATTATTTAGTCTTCTTCATTGCCATTTACAGATGTCATATTTACATGCAATCTGTGGTGTTCTCAGGTATTTGTTAATGCACGTCTTCATGTTTCGGGTGGAGCACTTGGCGGTGGCCGAATTGTAGAGGATTCATCAAGCATTGCAGGTGTTTTTACTGTGTTTTACTCGGTTACATTTCTGATTTCTCAAATTTATGTGATGGCATCTTTATGAGTAGTGGCATAGACTGTCAACAAGTGCTACGGTTTACTGAAGGTTTACGAAGGTCCAAATGATGAAGAATACAGAAATATAAATGCAAAAGGGATTGACAAGTATGTCTCTTTGTTGCTTGGAACATATCTTGGTGGACGATTTTGATGTGAAAATGTAATCTTCCAATGAGATTGAAATGTTTCTCTGAAAGCTAGCCCACAAAGAATCCTAAGTGATTATCAAATTCAGGTGATGAAGCCCAGCATAAACAACAAATAGGTTTACAAAGATTGTCTAGGAAGGTCATGGGCCATCTTTTTCTATATTGCAGCAATACAGCTGTTATAAGACATTTTCATTGAGAAGGGCATATTAAATTCACCGTCATTTGAAAATAATAGATTACTCCACTCAGTGTCGTTTTGTTTTGAGTTGGATGTCCCAATTTTTTAGCATTGTATGAGTTCTACGTTTTCTCCCATAGGAGTGTCACCAAGATGTCAGGATGCCAGTGTCCGCATGATGGAATAAACTATAAGTCCTACAGTGAAAGAGGCAGATCAAAAATGTATTTAGATATATATATATGCTTAATTCTCTCATTGCTAATTATTTTAGAATTGAAAATGTCAAATTAAACCATTATAGTGAAATACATTTTCTACTCTACATTCTCAATTATTCTTGAGTAGAAAATTTTCGTTTTAGAATGCTGCATTATTAATTTTCCTAGAAAATAATCTTTAAATATATGCAATTCATTGAATAAACTTAAATATTTTTAGTGACAATTGATGAAATAGAATTCAGTGTGAGCCTCAGCTTTTCAAAGATATGGAATCTCTTTGGATGTTATTCTTAACTAATGTACTATTCTTCCCATGGGTTTTTATTCATTAATCACTTGATTTCATTTATCACAGGTAATATATCAATTAATTACTGCTTTATAGCACTGGCTGGTGCTATAATGCACAAGCCTCGCATTGAGCACAGGTTGATCCAAGTTGTCTGTTTGGATTTCTAACAAGCTTGTCTCTTTTTTAGTGTTGGACACTGCTGCCGGAGTTTGGTGTGATACCAAATCTGTCGTCACTAGTCAAAGGAAAGGGAGATATAGTGCTGATGCTCCTGGTGGAGATGCTTCTGCTGAACTAACACGGCGTTGTAGGCATGCCGCAGCTGCAGTAGGTGATTTGATCTTCATATATGGCGGACTTCGTGGAGGTAATGGAGGTACAGAGTTTGAGAGAAGACCATTTCAGTTTTAAATTTTCTGTGATGATTGCAAATTATGAAATGTGCTCAAATAACAGTTCATTGTGTATGATTTTCAAGTTATTTTGTCTTTAGGACATCATGAGAAAACTAGCATTTTTAGAGAGCACTTGAATCCTTTCATTAAGGCATCTTGATTATTTAATATGCGTGAAGAGTACCAAATACATCATAATTTATCTTTCTTTTGTTTTTTCAGTAGTTTCGATTCTTAAACATATTTTTTTCCTCAAAGAAGATTAAAAAAAGTAGGAATACTGAAGTAATTATGATAGTCAAAATTATATGGTTTTTGGAGACTGCCATTATTGAGCCTGTTCTCTTCTGTAGTGGGCTGTGAACATTATATTAATAACCTGTGCTATACTCCCTTGTGAAATATAATTATTTGTTATTATTGACGTTACTTTTTTCTAGTGCTGCTTTAGCGACTGTCAAGGCGCTCTGCTTGGCTCAGGCACTCATGTTCTCTCTTCTTTAACAAGCCAGTAGTACTGCTTAATCAGTTGTAATCAGCTTGACCAGTTACTGTCATAGGTTAGGCTAATCGTATAGAAGCATGGATATATATATAGGCTAACCTGAAGTGTACATGGTAACTGTACTGCATTATGGCGTTACTTGTATATGGCTCTCACATAAAATAGGTATGTCGTCTTATCTAAAAAGAGTTAAATAAACTATCTCCATTTCATAGTACTGATGGTGCCCTTGCGTTACATGCTCACTGGTGGTTAATGTGTTACGTATTCTGTTATTTGCTATATATCCCCTTACATATCTCACTCTGCTGAACTTGGGGCACATGGAATCAAATTAAGGTCAGCGAAATGAATGTGATCCTGAGCCAGGATCAAAGTCACTTTTCAATTAGATGACTATAAAATGATTTTTGCTTTACAGACACTTAGTTGGGTTAATCTCACCTGTAATGTGGATTATGGGCGACATTAAGTGGATTATATGAGCCCGGTGTCTACATCCTATGGATTTAATCAGTCTAGCAGTCCACTTAGAATGATAATCCTACTATGATTTTCTGTAAAATACAGGTGTGCTACTGGACGACTTGTTTGTTGCTGAAGATCTGGCTGCTGCTGAGATAACAAGTGCAGCCCATCCACAGCATGAAAAGTTCCCTGGAAAAGATGGGTTCGTTGAAGGAAGAACAAAAGAAGGTATTGCAGAAGCAGTTCCAGATGGTGCTGTTCTAGTGGGAAGTCCTGTCGATCCCCCAGTAAATGGGGATTTACATAGTGTAAGCAGTGAAAATGTGATGCTCCATGGTCCTAGGTAATCCTTCAATTCTGATTAGATGTATGCCTGAGAATGATGTCCTTTTCATTTCTTTCTACATGGATTCAATAGGCTACTTCTGAGAAAAAAACTTTTTCCTTCAGAAGACTTGGAAAAGGTGTGGATTATTTGATTGAGGCTTCAGCAGCAGAGGCTGAAGCAATAAGTGCTACTCTAGCGGCTGTGAAGGCTCGGGAACTCAATGGTGAAGCTGAGGATCTGCGTGAGAGAGAGAGTTGTGGTGAGGCCATGGCAACTGGTGGACCCATCTCCACTGTGATCAAAGAGCTAGATTATGGTCAATCAAATAACGGTGGCGCTCCTGGTGTCCGACTACATCACAGAGCAGTTAGTTTTCAAATAAAGTTTAAGTTTATTTATGCTTAATTTATTGCTCTGAATGACTTGTTCAACCTATGCTTTGTGGGACTTTGACATTAGGATCTTTGTAAATCCAGATAGTCGTACATGCAGAGACAGGTGGTGCTCTGGGTGGTATGGTTCGGCAGCTCTCCATTGATCAATTTGAAAATGAAGGCAGACGAGTCAGCTATGGTACACCTGAGAGTGCAACTGCAGCGAGGAAGCTACTTGATCGGCAAATGTCTATAAGCAGTGTACCTAAAAAGGTTGATTCTTTTCTTTCTTTTAGAAACCATCTGGTGATGTAACTAGATATCAAAGATTTAATTCTTATTTTTTATTCGAATGGAAAAGTTCATTAAAGGTCTCTTTAAAAGCTGTTCGTGATTAATGGAAAAACTATGAAATGTTATGAGTGTTTTTATTTCTTTAAAAAAATATGTGTATCGAAAGTTGAGAAGGGTTTTTTAGAATTATTAAATTTATTACGCCAAGTTTGATCGCTTTTTCTCATAGTCTTATTTTGTTTTTTGATGCTTTTATTGATGTTTTTGATGTAGAAAAGTTCTGTGGTTTATCTTCCTTTTTTCTATATTTGAGCTCCAAGAGTGTTTAGTATAGTAATGAAATTGTTATCTTATGCTTTATTCAGGTGATAGCATATCTTCTTAGACCCCGCGGTTGGAAGCCTCCTGTACGCAGACAGTTTTTCTTGGACTGCAATGAAATCGCAGATCTTTGTGATAGTGCAGAACGACTGTTTTCTAGTGAACCAAGTGTTTTGCAAATCAAATCTCCTGTGAAAATATTTGGCGATTTACATGGTCAGTTTGGAGATCTCATGCGTCTGTTTGATGAATATGGTGCACCCTCGACAGCTGGAGACATAGCGTGAGATGTCTAATATTATATCATCTTAGTTTCCAGTCATGGCTCATTCTCAGTTATTTGTTTTACTGAATGTTACAATATTTAATGTCCATTCGTCTACTCAAAAGAAAAAGTTACCATGCTCATATCCTGGAAAATTAGATTGGGTATGTGTCTGCGTAATAGTCTCAGATGCTACTACCCTCTTACTATGCTTTCTTTTGCGCTGTAATTGTTCTCCCCCACTGGCGGGTTAAGTAATTCTGCTAAATAGCCAGATGAATGCCTTTCCATAAGCCTTGTCGTTTTAGGTGTTGTGTTACCAGAGAATAACGTTTGGCTAGAAAGACAATTTCAGATTGATTTTCCCGTTGAAATTACTTTAGTTCTAGATTCAATAGGTTGATTTAATGATCTGTGAGATGATGGCTTGAAAGAGAATTAAGTATCACGATGGAAGCACAATTCTTATGCCTTAAAATATTGCATTTAGGCATCAACACATTCCTCACGAGTGTGGACTCCTGAAAGCACTGCTTCCTGTAATTATATCTGCTTGTACTTATGAACTTGGTCAATGATGCAATGTAGGTGTATAACTTAAACTCCAGCACGTTCAATATCATACTTCCTCATCTACCAGCGGATTTTTTTTTTTTGAAATTGGCATACAAAACTGGGTGTAGAATGATTCACCTGCATGGAAGCGCAATTATATGCATGCAGGGATTTAGCCTAATCAATACACATGTATTTATCAAGAAAACAGTCATCCTTGGAATATGAAAGCTTAAAATCAACATTTCCATCAATTAAATTATGGAATTCACCGATTATCTCAAGTTTTAACTAATAAGCCTTGCTTTCCAAGTATTAAATTTGTAGATACTTATGACCGGAAACTTGGTTTTCAGGTTAAAATTTAGAAATCTAGTTAGCATGAATTGAGAGTGACAATTACCATCAGGCCTGATGTCTGAAATGTTGATTTAAACATCTTGATTTCACCATGGAAAGGCCAAGGAAGGCCGACTTATTTATTCTTAGTATTATCATTGGATATTCTTTTCATCAAGAATCCTTTTTTCTTCCCTATATTAAATACTTCTTTGATAAAAAAGAAGCTGGTGTGGGTAATCAACTGATTCTTATTGCTGATGGTTGCTGTTTTCATTCATTCCGAAATGAGTTCAATATTTTAAAGAATTTCAATGTACTTTCGAGGTACTGGTCTGCATCTATGTGGTTACTCAGCTAATATGGTCTATGTTAGATTATAAATATACCTAAAATTTTCTCCGAGGGACGTGTTGTTTGTAGCCTTTAGTTGACTTTATCCTTTTTATGATTTTTAATAAAGCTATGGTATTTTTTATTTTTATTTTTTGTAAGGCCTTTTACTGGCAGGCTCATGCAGTATTTCTCCTTTCAGCTATATCGATTATCTTTTCTTAGGTGATTATGTTGACCGTGGCCAACATAGCCTTGAGACTATGACCCTTCTTCTCGCATTGAAGGTACCATTACAATGGTTTCGATCTGTTCATTAAGTAAGCCATATGATTTTAAAGAACTGTCATATCATTTTACATTGTGTTTTGTATTTTTTCAGGTTGAGCATCCTCATAATGTTCATTTAATACGTGGAAACCATGAGGCAGCGGATATCAATGCCCTCTTTGGCTTTAGAATTGAGTGCATCGAGCGCTTGGTACTTACAACATCATTTTTTCCTATCTTTCCTAAAAAATTGTTTATTCCATTAACTAATTATGCTGAAAACCAGGGAGAGCGAGATGGAATCTGGGTGTGGCACCGCATGAATAAACTTTTTGACTGGCTTCCTCTTGCTGCTCTGATTGAAAAGAAAATAATCTGCATGCATGGCGGCATTGGTCGTTCTATCAATCATGTAGCTCAAATTGAGAACCTGAAACGCCCAATTACAATGGAAGCTGGCTCAGTTGTTCTCATGGACTTACTGTGGTGTGTCTATGTTTTTGTCTATAATGTTCCTCAACTTATAACGTCTTACTATCTGAAAAACATAACAGTTGTCTGATGTTCCCTATCAGGTCTGATCCAACAGAGAATGACAGTGTTGAGGGGTTGCGACCAAACGCCAGAGGCCCAGGCCTAGTCACTTTTGGGGTCAGTGTTTTTTTTTTTTTTTCATTTCCTACTTATTTATATGATCAATGTCTTTTTTATTTCCACCAAAAAAAAAAAATCTAGATGTGGACAGGCATCTAGTGGCTCAAAGATTTATGGCAATGGTAAGATATGTTGATGGGTTGTCACTATCCAAATCATCTTTCTCGTCCCGGATCTAACCTCCAATAGAGCCACATCATCCTACAAGTTTCTGATTTAACTTCAAGATCATGCTCCATGTATTTCTGTTTTCTTTAGTAAATTACTATGGTTAACTAAAAAATACCTAAAACTGTGATATTATGGCAACATTCTTCTCAGGTTCATTCTATTTTGGTGTTTTTATTCGAACCGGATTATGAGAACTATGCTGGTGTTGGCTCTTTAAATCCCTAGTAGATATCTCGTGCTGTCATGTAATTAAAGTTTATCATTTTCATTGAAGAAAGAGTTTCAAAAGGCATTATTATTATATCATTAAAGATGCTGGCGACTATGCTCTATATCTGAAAGTATATAAAGGTATATAATAAATTGATAAAAATCGGACGTTGTGAGACAAACCCTCGTAATGTGTAGGCACAGTTATTTCGAAAGTATGTAGCACCCTCCATGCTTCTTTCGCCTGGTTTGGTGTGATTCAAGAAACATATGCAGCTTGTGTATGAAAGGCACCTGGACACTGAGGAGAGAGGACAGTTGGTATCAGTATGCACGGCCATGTGATGGAGCTGAACCTCCGCCATAGCTATCCTGCTTCTGAGCTCTTGATTCACCATCTGATCTGTTTTCCTTTGGCTTTGTTCTTGAACCCATTACTATTAGTGGATACCCTGAACTCAGAGGACTGAGGTACAGCATGGCTTTTTCTTGCTGTTAGGGGAAGACTGAAACAAAAAACACTCTTGTCGTAGGGATTCCACCTGGTTGAGGACTTGTTCTAGGGTTTGAGGCAAAAATATCACTGGCAGTGGCCAAGGAGGGATCAGCATTGTAAAGTTTTGGGTGATGGGTCACCGAGTGTGCACCTATTCTTTCTACCCTAGACAGGACTGCTACTCTGGCTTATTCCTTCATCATTTCTTCAGCTGAGTGAGGAGATGGTGGTAGGAACGAGGTATACTACTAAACGTTATAATGTTCTCATTTTTCAGAAAAAAGAGGGTGTTTGTGCCTTTAATTTTATTATTAGTCATTTATTCTTTCTTGTTCTTAGCTACCCCTACAGGTGCCTTTTTAGGATTCGCCCAATTTATAAATAGATTGGGGAGCAACCACTTCACCTTTTCTTTTCTTTCTTTTTTTTTCCTTTTTTTATTTTTTTATTTTTTATTTTTTTATTTTTATTTATATATATATTTTTGCTTGTTGTTAACCCATCATGGTCCTTTTCTCTGCTTTTCTATCATGATGGTATCAAACCATTTTTTTTTTTACGGATTTAGTAGGATTTTCGGCACCCACTTAGGAAGAAGAAAGTTTTTTTTCCAAAACTCCATTAATCCCTCCATTTTTTTTACTATTTTTATGCTATATAGTGGGTACTTTTGGAGATTGGTCAACGCCTTTCCTTCCCTTGCTGCTCTCATTGAGTCTATGGAGAGTGGAAGAGACCCGAACCCATCCATCCCCTCTGTTCTTGGAATTGGAAATCTTTCCCTCTGAATGGTTTCATCGAAGCTACATGGTATGCCATATTTGGTAATCATCATGCCATCATTGAGGTGGTCCACAGACGATAACACTGTGGTTTCGTCGGTGGTCAACTTTGTCAACCCGTGATTCTATGCAACAAGATGGATCGTTATCCATAGTACTTGAATAGCCCAGATTGCGCTGTACAAGGTGAAGAACTATAAAAAGTCTTCGCAGCAAGTGCAAGGAGCTTGACCGTCGTTCATTGAGGATTGCTACTTATCTGAGGAGAGGATTACGAGATTCTTCTGGAGTATGGATAGAGGAAGAGTATGAGGCGTTGACACATGTAACTTAGGATCCAATGGCCTTTTTTTTTTCCAGGATTGTGGGGGATCACCTCTGCCCTTCGATTCAATGCCGCTGCTCATGATGTCGATGAGTCTCTTTGGCCGTCGACTTTTCTGAAATCTGCTACCCGCTCATTTCCAGTTGTTCTTCTGTTGCGCGGTTGACTAGATTTTTCTATCCAGATTTTTATTTTCTTTTTTTTTTTTTGGGGAAACGAACAAAAATTCTGAAAGCGCTCATCGATGCAGCCTGACCGCGTGATGGAATTCTGCAAGAACAACGACCTCCAGCTGATCATTCGGGCACACGAGTGCGTGATGGACGGGTTCGAGCGCTTCGCTCAGGGCCATCTGATCACCCTCTTCTCGGCGACCAATTACTGTGGTAAACCTGCGTTTCTGCTCGTCCACGTGTCACCCCTCCTCCTCCTCCTGCTGCTTGAAAGTCAACCCATCTTGTTCTTGCAGGTACGGCGAACAATGCGGGCGCTATACTGGTCCTGGGGAGGGATCTGGTGGTCGTTCCGAAGCTCATTCACCCCTTGCCGCCCCCCGTCGGCTCCCCTGAGGCATCCCCGGAGCACCACACCGTGGACACGTGGCTCCAGGTGAAGTCAACCTTGGGTCTGAGTCTTCCTTTCTGCTGCCTGTGTGACTGCAACTTGGCTTTGGGGGTTGACTTTCTTTTGTTCTCCTCCGAAACAAGGAACTCAACGCCAACCGGCCCCCGACGCCGACCAGGGGCCGCGCTCCGGCCGGGAACGATCGACCTTCCCTCGCCTGGATCTGAGGAGCTGGGTCAGTGTCAACAGTGGTAAATATGTGTCAATAGGGTTGACTTTTTACTCCTTTTTCTTCGGTCAATCTAGAAGTCAAACCCATCCCCCTCTTTCCCTGTAAATTTGCCGGTGCGGATCCGTTGTACCCATCAGAAAATAACAGGCCCATTACTGGGCGGATATTCTTATACGAGCGGTTTCACCCTTATAAGTTTTGTACTGTTTTCCAAATGAGCTTCATGTCCCACCGGCCTCTTTCGGTCAACGGCGCAGCAGACATTGACCCGAGGAGGAAAAGGTCATCGCCTCCTCTCCCCATAAACAATTATGCGTTCGTCGTAGACACGTGGCGATAGCCCATCAGGAAGGCGAGAGGGAAGCTGCGAAGTGGGCCCCACGTCTGTCGGGGTGCGTGCTGGAGCTTCCTTCCGAACCTTCCGTTGACTCGACGTCGGCGAGGAGCGTGATGACGTAAGCTGCACGCGGGTCAGGACTTCACGGCGAAGCTGTGGTCAAAGGAGGAGAACAGGCCCACGGCCACCTGCCCCTCTTTCGAAGGAAAGAGGGCGGAAACCAGATCTGAGAAGACAGGGATAAAAAGAAGAGCTCAGAACCTCCTCTCCTCCCAGATTTCCCCCCTTCTCTCTCTCTCTCTCTCTCTCTCTCCCCCTCCCCCTCCCTCTATCCATCTATCTCTATCTCTTTCTCTCTCTTTCTCTGGTGCAAGCGAGGGAAGGAGGGGAATAGAGTGCAGGAGGAAGAAGCTAAGAAGAAGAAGAAGAAGAAAGGGCGAGAAGATGAACGATCTGTTCTCAACCAGGTCCTTCAGGAGGGCCGGCGGCGGCGACGTCGAGATGTCACCGGCCGCGGCCGACGGCGGCGGCGCCGACCTGGAGAAGTTCCTCAAGGACGTCGACGGCATCAAGGAGGAGCTCAAGGAGGTCGAGCGCTTGCAGAAAGCCCTCCGGGAAGCCAACGAGGCCAGCAAGACCCTCCACGACGCCGCCGCCGTGCGCTCCCTCCGCCACCAGATGGACAACGACGTCTCCCTCGCCCTGAAGAAGGCGAAGCTCATCAAGCTCCGCCTCGAAGCCCTCGACCGCGCCAACGCCGCCAACCGCACCATCCCCGGCTGCGGCCCGGGCACCTCCACGGACCGCACACGCACCTCCGTCGTCGCCGCCGTCCGCAAGAAGCTCAAGGACTCCATGGAAAGCTTCTCTGCCCTCCGGCAGCAGGTGGCGGCGGAGTACCGGGAGACAGTGGCGCGGCGGTACTACACCGTCACCGGAGAGAACGCCGACGAGCCCACCTTGGACGCGCTGATCTCGACCGGGGACGGGGAGAGGATGGTGCAGCGGGCGATCCAGGAAGGAGGAAGAGGGGAGGTGATGGCGGTGGTGACGGAGATAAAGGAGCGGCATGGGGCGGTGGTGGAGCTCGAGAGGAGCCTCGGGGAGCTGCATCAGGTGTTCTTGGACATGGCGGTGCTGGTGGCGGCGCAGGGGGAGCAGCTCAACGACATCGAGAGCCATGTGGCCAGGGCGAGCTCCTTCGTCAGGGGGGGAACCCAGCAGCTGGTCACGGCGAGGACCCACCAGAAGAACACCCGCAAGTGGACCTGCTTCGCCATTGTCCTCCTCCTGGTCATCATCCTCGTAATCGTCCTCCCCATCGTCATCCCCAGGAACAAGTGACAGAAGACGGAACCCACACGGATTGGATAACAGCGATATGAGATTCTTTTTCTTTCCCCTTCGGATTTGATTATCGTGCCTCTCTACACTATATATCCATCTGTGTCTACAAATATACAGATAGAGAGAGAGAGAGAGAGGCGTATATTCTCGCTCTTCTAGCACCGAGTGGTTCATTCTTACCGCTGTTTCATCTTTCTCGCCTTCCCTGCATATCCGTTCATCGTCCTCCCCATCGTCACCCCCAGAAATCAGTGAAAGATGAACGAATTCACCCCGATCGGATAACAGCGGAAGCCTGCCGGGCAAGCTTGGCGATTCTTGCCTACAAGACGATTCCTTTTTTTTCGTTTTCCCTTTTGGATTTGATTGTCGTGCCTCTCTAAATTATGTATCTATATATGCACATCTTACAGATACAGATAAATATGCAGCGAGCGAGAGAGAGAGAGAGAGAGAGAGAGAGAGAGAGAGAGAGAGAGAGAGAGAGAGAGAGAGAGAGAGAGAGGCGTGTATTCGTACTCTTCTCGCACCAAATGCTTCGCTTTCCCCGCTGTTCCATCTTCCCCATCTTCCTGCATATCCATTCACCCATCCGTCTTCTCTGGGGAAGACGATCGGCGGGTCTCACAGCTGGGCCCGTCTTCCCCTTCAAGCTAACACTAAATATCCCGACCAGAGGAAGGGCGGTGGTGGGCGGTTGCCCAGGATAGCTGTCGCTAGACGGCGACTTTGAATGGGTCAGACAGAGTTTCCTCGCCTGTGATTGGCGAACGGATCAAATTCTCTCTGGACGGTTCGCCCACAAGCCCCCACCAAGTCAACGCATCGAATTCCAAACCCGTCCCTCGAGCTCCTCCGACGTCAATCCACAAGTTGCATCAGAGTTCTCTACTATAAGCCATCCCTCCCCTCGCAATATCCACTAGTCAACGTCAGTATGTTACCTTGGCCATTGACGCGTTGACTAGAAGGCTCTTCCAGGTTCCCAGGACAAAAGGTCGGCCATTTCACCAGATATGTGATAGCAAGCTGCAGTTTCTTCCTATTTTTGTTCGGTCAAACAAAAAATCTCGGCGGTAGAAATCATCCAGCGGCTGAAAGCATCTTCCTCTTCCTCAGATCATTTAGACGACACAATCACCCAATAAACTCAAATCTAATATGAAATACTTCGATTGACAACGACTGGCCAAGCTTTTGCATTCAATTAATGGATGAGTTTTCTACCATGCGTTTAAAATAATTATCTTGGGTGAGAATGATTGTGACATTATAAATGTTTCATATGTATTGTGTTAAGTTAGATTTCATCTCCCTCTTTTGAAGTCTTAGAATAAAAAAAAGTCAAACATTCAATGTCGTTCCAATATCTACTTACAACTGCCCAATGACTTACTCATCGAGATTACAATCAAATCAATCATTTACTATATCCTTCTTTGTCTTACCAGAGGAATTCTTCATTTGGAATCGGTTGACTTTCTTTGTCAACTCTTATTCAAAAAAAGAAAAAGGAATAAGAATACTATTCCTGTTGCGCGTCAAAATACTAGGATGATGTTAAAGATATTAGTTTATGGTGATAGTCAAACTAGTGTCTTACCATTTAGGTATTTTTTAATAATATCAAAACATTATTTTAGTGACCCAAAGTCAACCACGTCCTCCCTTCTTGATGGTGATAAAAACCCAAGACAAGTACATCGATATTCAGAAAACTTGGCATCAATCAAGTCTAATCAATAAGATTCCTAGTAAATTTTGATATGAATAAATAGAAACGTGTTTCCTAACAACATAATTTTTTCTTTGTTCGATTAGGGTTATATATATGGATGAGACATGTTGAAGTAAATCGAAATAAAAATTTTCAAAAATACAAGATAAAAACTAAATAATTCAAATTTCTAGAGCTAAATAGTTAGGGCAACCAAAAAAGAGTTTACTAAAAGGATGGACTAGTGAGGCTATTTTGAGCTTAGTTCTTCAAACAGGGATAAAAAAAACCTAGAAAAGTTAATTATTAAATAAATGAAACCTATGAAATAATAAGATTCTTCAGCGTTGTTGTTTCTTGGCATCAATCATTAAGAGAGGATACATTTTTGAAAATGTTCCAAGAAGGAGCAATTGATCAATCACTACTAAGATGAACAAAACTCACTAGAGAAAAAAGGAGTGTTTCAACCTCATTAATATGAATATATAATATTTATTCATCATGTTTCAAGGTTGTTCAGGTGATCTTGTTGGGCTTAAGGATTTTGACGTCAATAATTAATCACATAATATTTTTTTTAAAATCCAAAACATATTTGAGTAGAATAATCAAGATGTAAATCATTAGATTCAGTTCCATATATAGTGTAATTTATGTCTTCAGGTATCATATGAATATTTCAGCATTGAAATATCAATATAAGTTGCAATCAGCTCTCCGTCAATAATAACCTAGCAAGAATTCACTCCTCTAATTCCACAGGGAGCAACCCATCTCACTTCAATGGGCTAGAGACGCTCATTTCTTCCTCTATACCGATGAATGGCCTCCACTCTTCCACACTGTAACTTGCTTCCCTCGTCAATAGGCTAGAAGAGACGTTGACCGGCAGCTGTATCTATACCGACTCAGACGTAGATAAGGATAAATGGCCCAGGAATAGGAACTAACAGGATCTGCAGAAGCATATCAAGCTCTGTTTGAGCCCACAAAGTCAGCATCAAAAAATAGGAAAAGGTCAACGACAGCCCATCCACATTTGCACAAAGTCAGCATCCAGAAATGGGTGAAGCTCCAGAAACTCGCCATCAATGACCAGAGATGGGCAGGGGAGGAAGGAGCTGAAGGAGGAAACTTTCTGAACATATGAGCTTTGACTTTTCAGACCAGTTTAATCTCCTTAGAGTGAGATTATAAATTACCCTTGTAGTCTATTAACCCAGAGGAACTAGAAAACACAGAACCAGTGCAATTGAAAAACCATAACTTTTTTTTTTTAATAATCTGAACGACTCCAAGGAAAAGAGACCAAGATATAAATGGCAAGAACTATTCTACTACAGTCCAGGAACGAGAAAGAAATTCACATACTGAAGACCGCAGAGTTCTTGGGTACCACAGCAGAGGCCACTTGAGCTCAGCCTTCTGATCTCCTCAGTAGCGATCATCAAAGGTAGGCGGCCGCACGCCTCGGCTGGGGCGATCATATGGGCCAGGCCTCTCGCGGTAGCCACCGCCGCCCCTGCGAGGACGATCGTAGGGACCGGGCCTGTCCCTGTAGCTGCCGCCACCTCCCTCATAGCGCCCACCGCCGCCACCGGCACCATACCTCTCAACCATGCCACCACGAGGTGGACCCATATCCCTTGCATAGCCCCTCTCTTTGCCATAACCATTCAAAGGGGGGTAGCGGTCAGATGGGCCGTACCTGCCGCCTGCTGGATAGCGCTCGGTGTCACCCCCGTACCGGCCTTCCCCATCATAACGGTCATCAGAATACCTGTCAATGTAGTGGTCGGGGCCGCCAAATCGGTCACCACGGCCAAACTTTGAGCGAGCAGAGAACCTTCCTCCATCAGCTTCGCCTGATGGGCACTCCCTTGCCCAGTGGCCCAGGCGCCCACACTTGAAGCACTCATTCCGTCCAACATCGGCCCCACCGCCGCCACCACCGCCGCCACCACCACCGCCATAATCCCCCCTGCTGCCGCCGCGATAGCCATATCCGGGCCCATCCGAGCTGACTCTGGGCTCAGCTTTGTTCACCGAGATGACCCGTCCGCCGAGCTCCTGCCCATGCATCTCCGTGATGGCACTCTCCATTGCCTGCTGATCTGCAAATGTCACGAAGCCAAAGCCCCGAGGGCGGCCCGTGTCCCTCTCCATCATTATCTATGCACAATGCCATAGTCAAGGTCAGCAGGATGCAGCAAAAAGCTCCATTCAATGAAACTATTAATCAGATACCATTAATCCGTCAGAGTAATTAGCTTAATGCTTCCATGGAAATGCCACGAAAAACAGGAGATGGTCCAACAATCACGGCACGAATCAAGGGATGTTCATGAAAACTAATGACCTTCTCTCATGAACAAATTGAAATAAAACTTGAAATCAGAAGAGTAATTTACCCTTTTTAAGATATTTCAAGTAAAATAATTAGTGATATGCTAGCTTTTCCCGCATAAAAAAGGTTAAACATGAATGCATCAACCTAGAATTCTCCTGTAACCTAGAAACATAAAAAAGAACAAACCTAAGTCACAGAATCAGAAAGCATATCATCTTGGGCCACTGTTTTTGTCATAAAAAAATACAATCTCTAGTAAAAAAATGAACTGTGTTTGTTCATCACTTTTTACACAAAATTCATGAAAGACTAGTACAAAACACTTGTCGCAAAAGCATTGAAAACATTGTGCCCCATCTTTTCAAGTGTGAACCTTAATCTTGGGCCTCAGAATTGAAGAAACGCATATTCAACTAACTGAATCTACCTGACACGGTTTATGATGGACATTGACCCACAATAGCAATTGATGATGTCAAATTCCTTGCCATTATTGTTGGTTGATGAGCTACTGGATGAGCTAACAACCCTAGCTAACAAGGTTGATCACAGTTGGGACAACGAAAAAGCAAATCGCATTGTCATTCAAAGTGCCAAGTGTAACATACATATACATATATATATATACATAATACATTATTGTGCGTCATAACTTATTAATACCCTTTGCTCCGGATACATTTATTCATAGCTAAGAATGTAGCTAAATAATTTTTTGTTGGATGAATGTTTTCAATGATTGGGTTTCATTGAACAAGGCCCTCAACATAAAAGTCAAGGCAGCAAACATGGTTACCAAGACACTATAGTAATGAAGGCAAGCACCTTTCAAATCTCTTTACCTAGACACTCAAACGCCTAGCACTTGAATAGTTCAGAAGAGAAAAAAAAATAGAAAAAAATACACAAAGGTTTCCTTCCAGATGATAGTCAGGCTATCATCTGCGGCATGAAAGTTTTGAAAAGAATTGTGTTTTGTAAACCTACATTACTTGTCCGCAACCATAAGTAAATACGGCCTATACATATGCATCCCAAATGAAGCCAATGAATTTTTTCATATTGAGAATTGAAAAAAAAAATCAAAGAGAAATTTTATGAAAACAAGAACACGAGTACCAACAGTTCACCAAACATTTTAAAACAATTGAGCAAATATTTACTAGTTTATGAAGAAGAAAAAGGTTCCAGTTACGAATTACCATCCAACAATTTATTTATGGGTGCGGCCATGTTATCCACTTACATCCATTAGTTTCATGAGCACTACAGAAGAAAGCATAAGAAGCAAGGGTTCTTGAACATGGGTGATCTCAATCATTCAAACTAGCATACAGAGAGGATAAATCAAGAAAGATGAACGAATCTAGTAAGTAAAATTGATCCACATCTAAAAAAAAGACCAATGCCAATGTTAATGACTGAAGAGGATGCCCAGAGGCAACTGAATTCATGATTGTGCCTAGAGTAAAGTATCTTACACATTATTCCTTGATATATGCAACAAAAATGAATAAACTTTCCTTCTGGGCGTTGACAACAACACTGAGCTCCTCGTGTAACATTCAAAAAAATACCCAGACACATTATAACAAACTTCCGCACCATCAGAATTAAGGTGGTCTCGAACCATAGTTGCCTCTTAAACGATGCATTAACATTTTAAAACAGCCAACTGTGCCATCAGCCGGGACAAGTCAACTGTGCATCAGAAACTCTCCAGCTGCTTTAGTGCATTCAAACTGCATCACGACTCTCATAAAATTTTTCCAACATTACTTGGCCTAGAGGGATTCATTAACTATACTTTCAGCTCTCAACGACTAGCCAGCATTGGAGACCCCATACAGACACAGCCCAAAAAAACTTGCAGTCAACCATCGAGTCAACGGTTCAAAACTGCAACACCAACTTGTTGCATCTTAGGTAAGGGACCCTGTACATTATATTTTTTAAATTTTTACCAAGCAATTTTCACGTGTTGAGATTGATATTAGAGGAATGGCCTAGATTTTAGGGTGATATTAAAAATAAAACATTGAAAAACGCTAAATAAATGCCACAAAGGCTGACTCTCTCTTCCAACTTCCAACATCCAACATCTTAGTACCAGACAGAAACTGGATTTTCCCCAAAACCAGTGTAGAATTACTTACGACAATGGTAACAGAAAATTTCGAGATCACTTAGATGAGTTTCCAGGCAAGACAGAAGTGTAAACTGAACATTAAACTTTGGAGTAAACCGATCACTTGAGCAATCAGTGAACCCATTCTTTCATAACAAAAGTGGAAACAAAGACTATTGTCAGTTACCAAGCAAAGAACATCAAAACAACAGTGGCGTCTGCAACAGTTCATTGAAGATCCCACAACCATAAGAAGTGGATTCACCACTGCAGATTTTCTCTTGGATCTGAATATAGCCCAAATTTCTAAAGCTATCTTACCGATCCCAGGTACATGAGTCATGCATAACTACTCACAAAGTGATGCTTATTCAAACCGGGTCATCAAACACTGAGGTTTGCAGTTGGAGCTTCTAGGACGTGGTTGACATGAAAACAGTGAAAATAATGGGGAAAAGTCTTTGCAGAGTTCGACCGTTACCAAGCTCAGAACCCCCAGGGGATCTTTCCCACACTTCCAATCAAAGAACATGTCATCTCACGAGGCTACAACAGACCGACCATGAGACCAATCAGAGGAGCAGCCACGCATTTTTCTTAATATGATGCCAGATAACACAGAGAGTAAGCACATTAGATTCAAACTTTCAAGCCATGGCTGATACAGCAGGGTATTCACCAGATCAACACGAATTGGACTCACAAGGCATGTTCTGCGACAAAAAGGAAGGACTCCACCCACTGACCAACGAGAATGACGACAAACATGAAGTAATCCTTATTATGCAGAGACAAGATCATCCAAGGAGATCCTCCTACAAACGGTGGGGTACAGCTTCCCAAGATCACACCAGGCAGCTGAGAAGGGCAACATAGTTCTGATAATCATCGAGAAGACTAAGGCCTACAATCCTACATGCTAGCGATAATCTGCCGCAATGAAGGAAAGGAGTATCGGAGAGGTGTGTAGGCAGCAGAATCCATTTTCCACACCAGGAAGATCATCGAACCATCAATTCCCACGAAGAAAGTTCACATCCTGAGCCCGTATCTTATGCAACCCACATAAGCTATGAATGCCTTCTCTCTGAAGCTATGAACAGAGACATTATAGCCCAGCGACTGTCGATAGACGAGCAAACCAAACGCAGCCCATCAGAGCAGACAACATGCTGAAAATATGGTCAGGCTCATCTCATCAGACACAAATCAGTGATGGCTCGGCAACGCCATGTGCTTAAGCAAACAGAGCATGCGAGGTACTGCAAGAAGCTTCAGCAATTTTGAACGCATCCCAACATTCCACAACATCTCATAGCCAGCAATCCAGAGGAGGGAAGAACAAGAGCAAAAAACAGAAGAGGAAGTCAAAAATTTAGTTCCAAGGAAAAAAAGAAAAGTTCAGAGAAGAACAGAGAGGACGAAACACGCGTGAATGGAGATCCCTTTGCATGATTTGCAAGAAACACATCTACTGAGCTCCATACCTCCCGTTTGTCTCGCAGAGAACCATAACAACGTTGATCATGCAAATAATCAAGATTTTAAACAGAACAACGAGACGAACAATGGCAACGGTGGAAGAGAGGACAGAGTAAGAGAAATTCCGCAACCTCGGCCGCAATGACCTTGCCGAAGCGGCTAAAGGCATCTTCCAGGTCCCGTTCCGATGTGTCCCAAGAGAGGCCACCCACAAAGATCCGCACCTGCTCCTGACCACCCATAGCGCCGCCACAAAGACTTATGCGGCGTACGGCCTCCTACCAAGAGCAGAACTGGAAGGAAACAATCGGAGAAATTCAAGATTTCCGCAAATGAACGAACTAGGCCACAGAGACGTCGGAGAAACCCTAAAAAACTGTACAGCCGAGGGCCGAGAGTACCAAGCTTCTCCCCCACGAATCAGGCTCTTTACCCGCACCCGCAGCAGGAATGATCCAGGAAGACGGTGAAGGCGGCAGGCAAGACACGAGCAATACCTCTAATAGGGTTAAAGCAGAGGGCGGGCACAGAACCAGGGGCACCACGTCACCCACCAAAACTCAGATCTCCAGCTATATAAACTCTGCGGCCGAATTATTCCCTGCCGATTAAAACCCTAACCAGATCCGCTCCCGCATTCAACGAAAGACGGTTTTTTTTTTTGTTTTTTCTTGATCATCTATCGTCCGGTTTTGAAATTCGCCGCCATTGTCGAATCATAATCAGGAATTCATTTGTTCTTACGGAATGGAAACAGTCTTCATGGATCCCACCACACGCAATGAAATCCTGAAACCCCCGAAGACGATCCCTCGATCCTACCAGGGGAGACGAGGCCTCGATTGAAGAAAATATAAACCCTTTCTTCCAAATTTTTTTTTAAAGGCCTCAAGAACATGTTTTTTCCATGAATTTAATTCCCATAAAATGACCCATCCAAACTTTTTTATAAATGTTTGTGGTTAAAATAAACACGAATAAAAATATGATTTTGATTGCTCTTTACTTACCATTCTTAAATGCTCACTTTATATTCTGTTAAAAAAAAGAAACTCATAAAATAATAGCCTTTTTCTGTCGTGATCCCGCAGACCCAGCCTCAAAATTTGATTTAACCCCCTAAAACGACTAACCTTCGTCATTTACCCTCCCATTTTGTCACCGAATTATAAAAATGCCGAGCCATCACGCAAAATTATACCTATATCCACGCTTGCATGCATGTCTTTATATAACAACTCAAATCGGGACTCTGGTAAGTTGCGATCCTAATTTCCGACGCTTCCGCTGATTTGGTACGTTGGGATGTGCACCCAAAGGTGAATCGCAGCCTCAGGTCCCGCCACATGTAATGGAGAGAGAGAAAGCGTCAACGGTCACAGCTTCTCTTCGAGCCACGCTGTCCCCACCACCACCCAACTGAAAAGCGAATATTCATTTAAAATCCTAGGAGGCCATATTTTTCTGTCATAGATGCCCTCTGATGGTCGGTGAAATGAAGTATTCGGACAAGTTCCACATAGCTCGGGGTATATAGACAATATAAATTGACACTGCACGAAGAAAATGTAAAGATCCGGCGGAATCTTCTTCCCCTATATTCCCATCCCCCCCTCCAACGTTCATCCCCCGCCTCACAACTCTCTCTCTCTCTCTCTCTCTCTCTATGTGACCGGAGACCAGAAGCATCAGGAGGAGTCCGACACGTCAAGCTCGCTCTCCGGCCCACCCATTACAAGAGGAGAGGGGAGGAGGGGGAGGGGAAGGCGGCGAATTGGGAAGAAGACTATGGATGCGCTGAAAGGCCATTTCTTGCTGCTAGATCTCCATCGGGTTCCCTCCTCCCTGCCTCGCCCATCTGCCCGCCATTCGCCCTCATCGCGCCGCCGGTCATGGCTGTCTTTTTCCTCCTGCAAGGGGGTCTCATCTGAGCCCGCCCATCAATCCTCCTCCCTCCTCCGCCGGCCTGCCGAACGCTGCCCCCTTGGGCGCGGTGGCGGGTTCATTGATGGAGACGGGGCCATGTCTGCAGCCACCGCGTCGACGTCGTTCCCGTCGCGGAGGGGGGCCGGAGGTCCCACCGCCGGCTACGAAGTGGAGATGGAGCTGTTCCTGCAGCTGCTCCCCCCAAGGATGCGAACGGCGCTTCGTCGCCATTCTCAGATGGGGGAGCTCGTTGAGGTCGTGATGGACCTTGGTAGGAAGCCCCTCGCGCGGTTTCCCTCCGGCGACTGGGTCATCTCTCAGGAGCCCGTCATGGTGGGGGATCTCGATCATGCCATTTCGAAGGTGATCGATCATTTGCTTTGCCCAAATTCGTTTCGTTCCCCCAATTCTCGATCTTCTACCTCCATTCTTCCGTTTGCTCTGTTGAAATCTGACATTTCTCTTTCTACCATGATTATCTGACGAACAGGTTGGCGATTTTTCTGATGATAACCGATCTGGGATCAACAACTCCCTTCATCGGATCAGTGCCATCCGGAACCGTAAGCTGCAGATCATTGGTCTTACATGCCGAGTTGGCCGGGCTGTGTCAGGGAGTGCAGAGATTATTCGTGATCTGGTCGAAGGAGGAGGCTCTATTCTGGTCATCGGGCCTCCTGGTGCGGGTAAGACGACTCTGATAAGGTAATCCCTGCTACATCATGTAGGCAGTCCTCAAGTCCTTGATTATTGATTTCCCAAGATGATCGTATGTTTTGGTGTCCCACATGGATCATCACCTGTAGGTTACTATATTTAAGAATTCCATCGCATGAAGTTTATTCTAACTCTTATTTATAAATTCGTTTTCGAACTGTATATTCTCTCTTTGGTGTCATTTTTGTTCATCTCTATGCTTGAAAGGTATAATCTATCTTTGGTGTGTACGTACATATCAGTACCATAATACTTTCATCCTAATTTATAACTCTTATTTAGAAATTATTCATTTCTTGAACTGTATAATCGATCTTTGGTGTGATTTTCGTTCACCTCTATGCTTGAAGGGTATGATCCATCTTTGGTATATGTATGCACATGTCAGTGTTATAATACGTTCATCCTAATTTGCTGGTTATTAAGCTTGAGCTGATCTATGACATGCATCTAGTTAGTTCCCAAGTTCTATTTATTTCGTTTCAAATTATGGTGAGGGCTTGAAGATGATTAGTAGAAATATTATCAGGCAACACTCGTCTTTTTTTCTTCTTTTATCCCTGGTGGCAATGTTACATGGTTTCATCTACTGACACTCGGTAGTTCTTTTCTCATCAGAGGTTATGCAGGTTGTTTTACTTGCTAAAGACAGAACTTGTGTTGACACAGGGAAATAGCTAGAATGCTGGCAGATGTACAGCTAAAACGTGTTGTCATTGTGGATACTTCTAATGAGATTGGTGGTGATGGGGATGTGCCTCACCCTGGTATAGGCCGTGCGAGAAGAATGCAAGTTCCTAACGTTGATATGCAGCACAACGTGAGTTTTCGATGCTAGAATGATTAGCATTTTGTGCTTGAATAGCCAAGCAGTCTTTCGTTGTTCTTGGCTTTTAGCAATTCTTCTGACGCGCTTCTTCGAGGTCTATGACGTGCATCCAGGTTATGATTGAGGCAGTCGAAAATCACATGCCCGAGGTCATTATAATAGATGAAATTGGGACAGAGCTTGAAGCAACTGCTGCCAGTACCATTGCTCAAAGAGGTGTTCAGCTTGTTGGGACGGCGCATGGAGTAACTATCGAGAGTATAATGAAGAACCCATCTTTGCAGAGTCTAGTTGGTGGAATAGAGGTGGGCAATGTGCTTGATTTCAACCATATTTTTTAACTTCTAGTTGATTTGTCGTGTGTCTCTGTAACATTGGTGTTTATGCATGCATTCATTGAGATATATGCACCAAGCACCAAGCACCAAGCACCAAGCATGGGTCCCTTGACTCCATCCATTATTAGCTCTCCTTCCCATTTTGGAGATGATAGAGATGAGAGGCGGAGAGAGGCTTCAATTCGGTCTTCGTTTTCTGATTTTGGATTCTATTTTAGCTGTATTTTTTATTAAAAGTATTTCTGCGTATACCGTCAAATATTATGCATATACCCAGTATGGTTCTTCCTAGATTGGTCAATTTTTCCTGCTCAGTTCCTAGACCCATCTAGAATTTGCATTCGATGCATATCAATCCACATACAAGTATTCTTCTAGCATACACGCATCTACGTATTTCTCAGTGAACTATCTAGTAGCTCCTCCATCATCCGCCTCTTCTACTTCTTGGCTGGTATCATTGGTCGGTGGGCAGGGGTTAGTGATGGTTGAAATAAAGAGTCTGGTTGGTCCCCCCCCCCCTCCCCCGCTCTTCTTTCCCATTGAACTTGCTGTGAAGAAGATAATGGGACACAAATATCCGAGAGAGACTGAGAAATATTCCTAGAGAAAGTTTAGCTTTATCTTTTTCAACTGCTTTCATTGAAGTATTTTTGTGAGGAAAGAACGTTGAAATCCAATGCTTCGTTTTATTAGTTAACTTTTTTCTTCGTATTGATATAGAGTGTGACTCTTGGCGACGAAGAGGCCAGGAGGAGGAAAGTCCAGAAGACTGTGCTTGAGAGGAAAGGACCTCCAACGTTTGCATGTGCTGTTGAGATGGTATCTAAGACTGAATGCCGAGTTCATCATAAACTAGAAGCGACTGTTGATGCTATTCTTGCAGGTAGAGATTGTCTCCTTTTTTGGCAAATCTTTGATATAGTGAAATATTGCAACAGTTATACATGGCAGTCAAAAGCCTTAAAGCAGAAAACTATAGCATCATTGCATGTTTTATAATTATTTTTCTATAATTTTTTTGTTCAATGTTCATGTTCTGTTCGTACATTTAACCTAGATAGTTGCTAATAATTCTCTCTGTGAAACAGGAAAGTCTCCTTTGTTTGAAGTCCGTAAGATGGATTCTAAAGAGAATGACTCTGGGAGTCCCATTCAGATTGCAGAGAGGGATGTTCTTGAAGGCTCATCAGTGACTACCTTGGATGATGAAAGAAGTGAAACACAGATGGTTGACGAAAGTTTAGGAGACACTGCTGTGCAAAAGAAGACAAGGATTACTAGTAAATCTAACCCTGCTTCCTCCAAAAACTCACCTGTTCGTGTGTATATTTATAAGGTAAGATACTATCTAAGATTAGATTTAGGCAGGAAGACTCCGCGATGTTGTCTCATTGCGCAGTTCTTTCCCACCTTCGTCTTGATAATCATTGAAAAGTGTCATTTTTGGGCTGTATTGCATGAATAATAGGCTAGTAGTCACTAAGAAAAGGTAATTCATCCTTTGTGATGGATATGATTATCTGTTCTTGAAGCATTCTGACCATACTCTGCTTCACCATATGTGGCAGATCTTCGAAGCTGATCTGCTGCAAGTAGCAAAAGTTATGGGTCTTGAGAGTCAGATAGACGTCACAGATGACATTGGAAATGCGAAAGCTATTCTGGCGCTGAGTTCTGAGATGAGGCAGAACCCATGGATCCGAAGTGTTGCTAAGTTCCACCAGCTACCAGTATTTGTTATCAAGGTGACCGAATGCTCCGAGATCTTCCCTTTCATTCCGCATCCAATGCAAATAAAAAACGCAAACTTGTAAAAATGGGCTTAAATAGATGATTGGACTCTCAACTGGGTTTCGATTAATTTTCTATTTCAGTCAAATACAATGGCACAAATGGTGAAGGCAGTTCGCATGATTCTTGGAATGGAGGCCTTTGGACCCGTATGGACTGACCCCCTGAATGGTCTCACTAAAGATATTGAGATCGAGGACGATGCACCAGAGAGAAAACCTTCATTGGAGGAACTGGATGCCTTGGAGGTATGCTTGTCAGCCTTTCTCTGTTCAGGTGTTCTTGCCAAAGTCTCCTAGCGTTGACCTTGAATGCCCATGATTTCAGGAGGTGCGGATGGCCATCGAATATATTGTGATACCCGGCGGAGAACCAGTGGAACTCCTGCCCAGATGCTCCGAGATCGTTGCCCGCCAGCTAGAACTCGTCGAGAGCTATCAACTGTCTGCCGAAAAGTCAGGCACAGAGATGAGCTCCAGGCTGCAGATTCTGCCTCAGAAGTTGACCAAGAAAGCTTCTGAAGTCAAACAGAGCCGACCAGATGCTGACCCCCAGCAGGGTCTCCCTTCATTTGTCATTGGCCATGGTGGGACCACCGTCACCCGCCTGCCCCTTCTGCCCGAATAACTGATGACTTCAGCCTGTAAATTAATGTACAGGAGCGAGCAAGTACATCTCTGTAAATTAATGGCTGGCTCATAGGGGTTTACCCGGTAATTAATGACTGTACATAATTCCCATTCTTTCAGGGTTTTAAATCACATTCCCAATCTTTCTTGTACTGGGGCAAACTTCTTCCCCTCCTAGTCTTGTCTTGTCAGAAATTGTATGCCTCCGGGAGGAGGGTTAGGACAGTTGGAGAGCGTCTCAGTTCAGTCAACGGTGGGCTTGGGCCTCTGTGTCAATGGGCCCTGGCCCAAAAGCAGGAGATCCTCTCTCTCTCTCTCTCTCTAGACTACCCACTTTTACGAACTTCTTCCATCCTCCTCAGAGAGTACTGAAGAATTGGCATACCGCTCTGAGAATTCGTAACAATTTCGGGGGGGACTGTAAAAGGGAAAATAAGTCGGGGGGAAAGTACAATTATAAAAGGTAACTAGTGATTTTTAAAGACGTTGGGGGGGATATTGTGAAATATAAAAAAGGCCGGGCGAAAAATACAATTCTTTCCTATAAGAAAATGCTCAAGGATAAGTCACATATCACTATGAGAATTCGCAAGGCTTTGGGTGTTAATAAGTAAGAATTTGGGGGGGATTATGGAATTGAATGTTTTTTTGGGGGAGTAGTACAATTAAGCTGCCAACTGCCTTCACGTGTAGAGAAGTATGGCCTTAGGAAATATGCGCATAGACTTGGCGAATATTCTGTTCAACCGTTGACAAAAGGAATAGAAAAATCAACGCTCGCTCGTGGCTCGAACACCTGACGTCTGGCCGGCCGTTGACTTCTGGCTTGTAGTAATCATCACCGTCTTCTGATCGCAGCTCTGACCCCTATAAGTACTGGGTCGGATTTGGATTATGACCAGGCAGAAGCAGACAGAGCAGAGGGAGGGAGGGAAAATTCGGAGGGGGATGGAGAGGAATGGGGAGGGATCCAGTGGCCACAGCGATGGACTGGTAAGATGCGCTGCGTGGATCTACCCAAGGACGGAGAAGCAGCACTACTACGGGAGGAAGAGGCAGGAGGGGACGGAGCGGCAGCGGGGGAGTCTGGTGGTGATGGGGCGGGCGGCGAGTCGCTCCTCGCCGCCCGTCCTGGAGATCTTCGCCTTCGATCCGAAGACCACATCCCTCTCGGCATCGCCCGTGGTGAGATTTCTTTCTTTGTTTTCCGCTCTCTCCGATCGCCTCCGCCGTGGAGCGGTCGGGTCGTTAGGGTTCTTCTCTTATTGGTGTACATCCAGGGGGTATGTGTGATCGATGGGAACCCGCTGGGCGTCGCGGTGCACCCCAGTGGAAACGAGCTCGTCTGCTCTACTGCCAACGGCTGCAAGTAGGTTCTGAAGTCCCTCTTTCTCCCTGTCATTTTTGGAACGTACTGGTGGCATCTTCACAGTGAGGCCGTGCATAATTTACCATAAACTCAGGAATGAACATCTCATCCTTCAGTGGATGATTTAGCTCCGTCCAGCTCACATTTGTGATTTCCCAAGACGTAAAAAGGTTGTTTAACATATGGATGACATTGTTGTTCAGTCGATTTCTCTCATTTAAGAAATGTGTATTCCTCTGGAGAGTTGATTCGTGAAATATGATGAGAACCAATGGCTCAAATCATTAAGGGTTGCAGAGATCCTACACATATTCTAGCTTTATTCCCATTGATTTTATTTTCTCTTTTCTTTATGTATATAAAATTTTCAAATCAATTTTCTAAAGTGAATTTAATTTTTTTGATAAAGAATGTTTTGCAACCTAAAGAAAAAGTATCGTTCAGTAGAGTTTTAGAAAGACTAAGATCACTAGGAAAAATCTTACACTCCCTAAGTTTGCCCCGTTTTTTTTTTTTTTTTTTTTTTTTTGTAAATCTAAGCGGTGCTATCATTGTATAGAAGAAAAATGTCAAATTTTGACATAAAATACACAAGATCAGATCTGAAGAAATGTACCAGCTAAAGATACAAACCTAGGATTGAAAAGGCAGTGGAGAAGGATGCTCCTGGCCAACAGCTTATAACTTTACATCATGTTTTCATAATTATGATCTTCTATTATGATGTTTGCAACAGAACACGAACCAATCTCCTTGCCTGGCGCACTGTGATGATTCTCTCTTGTTCCATATCAGACGGGATAAACCTCATTTTTCTGGATAGTACTAGAACAGGCTTAGTCTTTACATTATGTCATGGAGGTCAGGAATAGATGTGTTGATGGTACATTTATAAATTACACTTATGGGTTATATTAGTTTTAAAATATTTCCAGCTAAAATCATTTTAATCCCTCTTGTTATGCCCAGAGAAGGTTAGCAAGAGACTAATCTTTCACTCCACAGATCATTTGAGCTTCAGGGCCACGATTCCAATGTAAAGCTGGTGCCCAAGGAACTGAACCCCCTTCAGGCCGCTGGTCCTCAAAAGTGTTTGGCATTTAGCACCGACGGTTCAAAATTTGCTTCTGGTGGAGAGGTAAAAATGGGTTTTTATGAGATGAATTTTCTCTTTCCTGAGGTAGATAGTGGCCAATTGGTCTCTCGAGGTAACCTTCAAAAGCAGTTTTTAAAGGTCACTGCTGGATAAAGATAAAATTTCTATATTTGATGAATAAATCTGCATGGACAATTTTTTTTTCATGAAGACCCAATTCAGCTATGAATTCATAATGTTTTTACGACAAAAAATAATATTCTCTCTCTATGTAAATTTTTTAGGATGGACATCTTAGGATTTTTGACTGGCCAAGTTTTCGTATCATTCTGGATGAACCAAAAGCTCATAAATCCTTCAGGGATATGGATATCAGGTGAGACACTGCTATCTTATTCAAAATATTCTGCTTATTCAAAATATTATGCAGTGAAAAAGTTTCTGTTGATTGGGGTTGTATTGGTTCAACATTTGCTTTTCATTTACTGGTTTGACAATGCAAAAAATAATGCATGGTGGTTCAAGATTTAAATAGTAATGAATGTTTCAATATCTGAAATTCACTTATTTGGTAGGAGAGACTTTTATCTTCATGGCTTGTTTCGAATTATCATGTTTCACACCTGATATTCTGACACAACCATGCTAAGTTAGTGTATTAATATAAAAACTTAATGAAACAAATAATCACTATGATAATCTGAAAATAGAGAAAATAAATAAATTAGGAACAAGTTCAAAATCCGTGTCACATGAGCCATGCAGTCCATGTTGCAAAGAATGTTGAATTAATGTAGCTAGTTTTTGAATTAGTATGGTTTAATTTTACAAGCATCAGTGAAATTAAACACATGACTTTCTGCGAGTGCTTGAAATTTGGTAAATTACAAACCTCACATCTTTGTCATCTTTCTAAAGAGGTTGTTGATACCCCCACCAATATTATCTATTTTCCTAAGGGATTTGCAACTAACATCTATTCTCATAATTTACTTCTCGTTTTCGTTGGATGTATATGTTGGTTTACTTTCACTTCATATTTCAGCTTAGATTCCGAGTTTTTGTCATCCACATCTGTTGATGGTACAGCACGAATATGGAAGATCAGTGATGGTGTTCCGCCAACAACTTTAACCCGTGACTCGGTAAACATCTTGTTCAAGTGCGATTATTGACTCTATTATGATTCTGTACAATGACTTGTACCTTCTTTTTACACACTTTTATCCATAACAGGATGAGAAGTTCGAATGCTGTCGTTTTTCCAGGGATGGGAGCAAGCCATTCCTTTTTTGCACTGTTCAGAAAGGTTTTGACTTTTTTTTTTTCAATATGAAATAGTTGTCTGAATTTTCTTTTCAAAGAATATTTATCTGATTCTATCTCATGCAAAATTTAAAATAGGTAATAAAGTGGTCACTACCGTTTGGGACATTAGCACGTGGAAAAAAATTGGATTCAAGAGGCTGCTTGGAAAGCCTATTTCCACCCTTTCGATTAGCCTGGATGGAAAGTATCTTGCATTGTAAGTACTCAAACTATTCAAATGCAGATCTCCGTAAAATTTTCCTCCTTATGGGCCATGCGAAATAATTATTTCATTTGCTAGTTTGTGACTTCTATGCATCTGTTTTGTCTTGGAGATCATATATATATTTTTTAGGTTGAAAAATATCCTTTTATGTTTTATTGAATAATTTTCAATTTTAAAGAAAAGATGGTGGATTGCCTTATTGAAGAAAGAGAGCATCAAGATTCTCATCAAACATCAAGATTTTTGTGAGGGTTTCAAGATTTGACAGGCTCTACCAATCATCATAAAATATTCCATCTTCAATAGTAATAAAATAGGTTTTTTTCTTTCTTGAGAATTTCTATTTCAGGAAAATTAGCCATGATGACTTCTTAGGTGTTTACCCTTGTGTGTCCGGTATGAATACCCAAGTCTTACTGATGTTCTAGCGGTCCATCCCTATATTTTGTTCTGAGTTGACTTTGGCTCATAGTGTTGACCTCTGTGCATTGGGTTCTTTGCTTCGTCAAGAAGTCACAATCCCCTACTCGTTTGAAATGGCAAAAACTCCTACACATCCTCCATCACGATTTACTCCGAGTGTCAGCCCGTACTTCTTGTCAATTTATTTATTTACCTTATTTTATACTATAATTATAAATATTTGGCATATTAAATTGATTTAATGAGACAACTAGATTATATTTTTTATTAAACATCTTCCCTTTTAATGAAAGGCTGATTTTTCTAATAGTATCCACTAAACGTGAGTGTCACGGCTAAGAGGTCCAAGGCATCATCTAACAGTGGTAAGATGATGCCTTACTACTGTTATCAGTATTGCAATACTTCAGTGAAAATACTACTTGTGATACTTTTATTTTATTACTATTTTTACTTTAATTCAGCGAGAATTTCGTATTTTAGGCATATTTTCCGACTTTCACATCATTAGCATAAGATTTTTCTTTGTTTTCTCTGAAATTTTGTGCAGTAATATTGATTGAATAAACTACAGAACTGAAGTAGATATTATTTTTATGATTCAAGAGCTGATGTGTTATTGAATCTAATGCAACATTTTTAGCATTATGATTACAGGGTAGTTACTGATCATAAATAATTTATTGAATTTTTAGTGATTATAAATCTTTTTAAACATAAATACGAGAATTTTCTCTGTTGTTATTTTTTTTTCCCGGTTCATGGTATTTTCTCATGAAAAATATTCTCTGGAGTATGAACTGTTGTTGACTAGTATTTGATGCAGGGGTAGCAATGATGGGGATATATGTGTGGTTGAGGTGAGCAGGATGGCCGTCTGCCATTGGAGCAAGAAGCTCCATCTCGGTTCTCGCATCTCAGTTATTGACTTTTGTCCAACGGAAAGGTTGACTTTTTATCAGAAGCGTGCCTCCTCCATTTATAAATGAATTAGTACGGCTTGCGGCTCTCCTTTTTCCTCCTCTCAACAAAGAACGACCCGCTCTCATGCTTCTCTCTCTGTGTTCCGTGATTCTTCACCTGTTCTTGGCAATACATGAGAGAAGAAGGCTAATTGCTTGATGATCTCTCTCTCTCTCTCTATTTCACTCTCATTTCAGCTCTTCTCCCTTCCAATCTAATTCCCAATTGGGCACAGTCAGCCATTTCTGTATCCATTCTAGCTTGCCACAATCATTATTGGTCCTGTATCCTGTTCACTGGTTCCGCTGTTCATACTCGTGCTCTCCTTCGTGCAGGGTTTTTCTTTCCAATTCAAATCAATGGGGCGCAGCTGTTACGAAGATGAACGTGCCAGCTGATTGGAAAGGTCTCTCTCTCTCTCTCTCTCTCTCTCTCTCTCTCTCTCTCTCTCTCTCTCTCTCTCTCTCTCTCTCTCCCTCTCTCTCCTCTCTCTCTCTCTCTCCCTCTCTCTCTCTCTCCCCCTCTCTTCCTCTCTCTCTTCCTCTCTCTCTCTCTCCCCCTCTCTCTCTCTCTCCCCCTCTCTTCCTCTCTCTCTTCCTCTCTCTCTCTTTCTCTCCCTCTCTTCCTCTCTCTCCCCCTCTCTTCCTCTCTCTCTTCCTCTCTCTCTCTCTCCCTCTCTTCCTTTCTCTCTTCCTCTCTCTCCCTCTCTTCCTTTCTCTCTTCCTCTCTCTCTCCCTCTCTTCCTTTCTCTCTTCCTCTCTCTCTCCCTCTCTTCCTTTCTCTCTTCCTCCCCCCTCTCTCTCTCTCCCTCTCTCTCTCTCTCTCTCTCTCCTCTCTCTCTCCTCTCTCTCTCCCTCTCTCTCCTTCTCTCTCTCTCTCCTCCTCTCTTCCTCTTTCTCTCTCTCTCTCTCTCTCTCCCTCTCTCTCCCCTCTCTTCCTCTCTCTCTCTCTCCCCCTCTCTTCCTCTCTCTCTCTCTCTCCCCTCTCTTCCTCTCTCTCTCCCCTCTCTTCCTCTCTCTCTCTCTCCCCTCTCTTCCTCTCTCTCTCTCCCCCCTCTCTTCTCTCTCTCTCTCTCCCCCTCTCTTCCTCTCTCTCTCCCTCTCTTCCCCTCTCTCTCTCTCTCTTTCTCTTCCTCTCTCCCTCTCTTCCCTCTCTCTCTCTCTCTCTCTCTCTCTCTCTCTCTCTCTCTCTCTCTCTCTCTCTCTCTCTCTCTCTCTCTCTCTCTCTCTCTCTCTCCCCCCCCCCTCTCTCTGTCTTCTTCTCTCACTACCTTCTATATGCAGAGTGGCAGGTGTACTTGGTGTTGCTGGGGCTGTTCCTCGTTTCACTCGTTGCATTCTACATACTGCACCAGCACTCCGACTCGTTCTGGAATGTGCCCACCGGAAGAGTTGACCAAACTGCTAAACCATCGCTGACCCAGACCATCGTCAGCGACCTCGAGGCCTCCGATGACCAGAGTGCCTGGTGACTGATGCCGGCGTTGACCCTCTTCTTCCTGTGAGAGCTGGCGTTGTATTTGCCACTGATCTCCAAAATAATTGGAAATTTTTTCTCCCTCGGTTCTGGTCACGCAACCCAGCGAGGGTCGCTATGCCGTTGTGGTTCTCGGACAAAAAGTGAGACCGTTGGTGTGGGGTCCACCCGCCGAAAAAGCGCCTCCTTTTTGCACATAAATCGATAAGGACGTGGGTCTCCTAGTCCACGGCTGCTTCCCCGTTCTGGATCCCTGTGTCAGTTTGGCAAATGGCCGCGAAGGGGAAGGGGAAGAGGAAGGGAAAGCAGGTGGTAAACGGGAAGGCGGCTGCGTTGGTTGCTTCCGAGGGTGAAGCCGCCTCGGGGAGGAGGAAGCGGCTTCTGCTTGGTTCCCCCTCCTCCTCCTTCAGTGGGTTGAGGGTTTCTGGTCCTCGCCGGAGGAAGAGCTGCGTCTTCGTGGATGATGCTGCCCTCGACGCAGACGATGCTCAAGATCTTGATGATGATGATGGTGATGATTATGACGGGGACTCAGGGGCGGAGGGAGTTGGTGCCGCTTCCTTCCTTCAACCTCGATATTCGTGTCTTTGATATTTGTGTCCTCATCCGCAGGGTTTCATTCTCCACTGCGTGCGCGCTTTCGCTGCATGGAGTTTCATATATGCCGGACGTTGCATTGAGTTTCTTGTTGTTGTAGTCGTAGCTGTTGTTGCTGTTGTTGCTGTTGTTGCTGTTCTTCTTCTCCTTCATCTTCTTCCTCTTCTTCTTGTGTCACTATGATGCCTACTAAGCCGCTAGCTTAGTAGGTGTCCACTATCAGGCATCTGCCTTACCTCTTGGTTTCCATGCATGCAATGCAGTGAACATCTGCACTACGACGGAAAACAACTCCACGGATTATCTGGAGTGGGGTATCTTTTTGAGGAATTCTGCTTTGATATTCGTCCCAATGCCGAAAGGACCATAGACGTAATATTTGTTACGTCATAATCATGTGATAAGTTCACCGACCATTCATTCATCTTGGGAGATCGATTTGTTTTTATTTTATTTTGAGAATCAGGCATAAGCCCCCACAGTTGCTCCATAATCTTTGTCAGTGTGTATGAACTCGGATTCAAAGATTGTTCGCATTATGGATGTTGAAAGTGGAAAAATAAGGTGATGAAAACTTGTTTGAATGTTCTTCTTAACTGATCAAGCACTTTTCTAATCTATTTCAAGCTCTCCTCCAAGCAATTTATCCAGACTTATCTTTGGAGGACCGCGGGTAGAATTTCTGAGGGACGAATGGGAATAATTGATGGCCATGACTGATGTGCCAGATAATTTCATGTCCTTTTCCTGACTAAACAATAGTGAAAAACATATTATTTTACTATAACTTCCTTTCTTTTTTTCTTATATTCGCTGTTTCCCTTTATTTTCTCTTTATCTCATTTTAATTATTTATGGCCATCATTATAAAACTTTCTGATATATGATCAATTGATGAGGAATACTTATAAAAAAAAAGGGAAATGAATTATGACAGTTTTTTGCCATCTGTCTGTTGCCAGTGGAGCAATAACGAAATAGATGGATGGAAAATAGGGAAAAAGAGGTGGCAGCCGTGCACTATCCTTTTATCTACTCAATTGGTTTAACATTCCAAGTTTGAAGGCCCTTGTGTGGATATTTTTTGAATCTGATCACGGTAACAACTTTTTCAAGAAAAATCTGAATTAACATGATTGAACCTTCCTTTCTCTCCTGTGACCAATTAATTATGCCAACTTATTCCAAAATAAAGGTTACCTGTTGCTTTCTTTCTTCCCTTCGGTTTAGACTTGGATAGATAATCTTTCATGCTACTCCTGCGGAATCTGATTGTGATTGGAGGCAATTTCTATTTTTGATACTGTGGGCATAGATTTTCCCTTGCCTGGGAGAGGACATTCTATTGAAGAAATTTGATGTTGGTTTTGTGTAAAAGGTCATGGCAAAGTATTGTATGCTATTTATACCAGTATCTTTTCTCTTGTCAGAATATATGGATCATATCCAGTCTGGCAAAAATGCTGCAAAAGGACGTAAATCAAATGCACCTTTTTTTCTGAAAGAGAAGGAATTGAGTGGCAGTGAATTAGAAGAATTTGTGGAAGAGCGATATGGCCGTGGTTCGGATCATGTTCTGTATGATGAAGATGATAAAGAATATGAACTTAGGAAGTCCTTACTACATTGTCCTGATGACCCTGCGGTTTGGAGGGTCAGATGTAAGGTATGATATCTGGTCTGTCCATTAAATATTATAGCTTCTTTTGCATTCTTAAAGAGGCTGAAAAGTCTTCCTGCAGGTTGGTCATGAACGACAGTCAGTGTTCTGCCTTATTCAGAAGTTTGTTTCCTTGCACAGTCTTGGATCTAAGTTACCAGTGGTCTCTGTATTTTTCCTGGAGCACATTAAAGGTTATGTTTACATTGAAGCTGACAAGCAACATGATATCACAGAGGTACTTCCTAGTTCTTTTGGGGTCGTAGGCTGAGAGAAATGGAGCTCAATTATTTTTTCATGTACAGTTCATTATCTCTAGTCTGGCAATATTTATATTATCTTTGATAAGTGCATCATATCCTTGCAAATAAATAATTGAAAATGCGAAGTTAGAGAAATCCTTTCTTCATTGTGATCCTTTTTTGATGTCATGGATTTCATTATTGTTTATTGCTTTGTTAAATTGCATATCAGTACGTTATCCAACATTCACGTGCCTTTTTTTGTTCTATGATTTGTGTATTGGCTTACAGCTGTGTTATGTGGCCTACTTGACTATTACAATTTTAGGAGAAAATATCAGACCATTTTCTACAGAGAAATTTTCAGAAAGTTGCTGCATCATTAGACTTTTTTAGGGGAGGTAGATATCTAGTAGCCTTGATTCTACTAGGGTCAATCTCAATTCCTTGACAATAGTGACGAAATTGAGGAACTTCCCACTAGTTATGCTGCGGGTGAATTTAAGGGATTCATTATTAATCTTTATTTTGGTTGCCTTTCAAAGATTTCACATAAATGAAAGAAGAGACGTGCATAAAAGATTCATGTAATCCACCTATCATAATGGTAGAAACTAAGGGTGAGACTTTAATCCTTTATATTTTATTCATTTGCTAGTCCATTAGTTGATCTCATTTGATGGCTTCTCAGGCTAAAGCCCATTAGATTGTCCTTAGGCCGAGGACCATTTTACTGCGTCCTGGACCAAAGCCTGTTTGAGAGTCTATTGGCTTTTTCCCATTCTAGTGCGCCTTTTCCCACTATGTGGGAGCTTCAGCCTTTTATGCTTTCAGCGTCATCAAATACTTTACTGCTATTATTTGCTTCCCTTGGAACTTGCTGATGACACAATCAGGTGGGTGATGTGGGGCACCTGACCGTTTCCTTTATAGAAAACACTCATTCTTTTTCCTCTTCTACTTCTCTTTGGTGCAACTGTTACCTTTCTTAAATGGTCTCCGGGGGGGGGGGACCCTTTAGGTGGCCATTTTTATTTATTTGCATCTTCTCTTGCTTGTCCATCCATTCATCCCACTATCTTTGACCATTATGACCATTTACACTTGGTGTGTAGTGTTTTTATCACCATTGTTTTATCTCACGATGATTATTTCCTCGTCTATCATCAACTGCTCTCATCTTTTTCTCTAGACATTTCATGTTCCCTACCTGTTCTCTTTCTTCATCTCTAGTGATGGGAGGTTTTGCTTCCTTTCAATGGTGTGCTTTCTTCTTTGCATCAAACTGTAAAGGCTTTTCTTCTTCTATCTATTATAGGGCCAATAAATGGCTAACAATGTTGCTGGGCTCTGACATGAACACCAACAAAGAGCAGGTATCTTTTCTCTAGACGCAGATGTTTTTAAGAGAAACATTGCTTAGTGGCCAACTTCCTTTAGTGACCTGTTACCTTTTGGATCTTGTTGGGCCATGTACAAGTTTTTTCAGTCTAGTCAATATGTGGCCACCGGTTTGTGCCTTTTCAGTGTTCTTTGTCTTCGACTTAGTGTCATTGGCTATTTTGGGATGTTGGGGTGTGTTGGTCTGTAGCTATTCACTTTTTCAGCCACCACCAATATGTTCTCTTCGCTGAATTACTGTTTTGTTTCGTTATGTGAGAGAACTTTCCTCTTTTTCTTTATGTTTCTGGAAGTTGCTATTGTAACTGGAAGAAGTGGTGGACCGCTCATGAGAGACTAATGTCTCCTATACCAGAGGTGGCTTCGAATGTTTTGATTTTTTCTTTATTCTGGGGCAATACTTTGCAAGTCATTCATATCCTTCGTGTTGCAATTTATTTCGACTGTCTATTTCGACTTAGGAATCATATATGTTTTTAGATCTTTCTTTCAGAAGGTCTTATGGCATTGATCATATTAGTGGTCAGATGGACAACATTATTTGGATTTATCACTATTTTGTTTTGATGATGTTTTGCCGTCAAGTTAATTCTATTCTTTTTTTTCCCAACTTAATATTACAATATGGTGCGCATGTTTTATGTTTCTATTTAATATAAACATCAGTATATTTTATAGCATAAAAACGTCATTGTGTTGTTTACGTCTAGAGTTGCAGTTCAAGTGTACTCCTTGAGTTTTCTTTCTGGTTTCTTCATTTATTTTCTCTAATGAATTTCTATTAGTCCTTTTGCTCATTGTAGTTTGCAATTTTTTGAGTCAGGCTTGCAAAGGTTTTTCTAATATGTATACGAGCAAAATGGATCTGGTTCCTAGAAATGAAGTCCCTGGCTTACTCTCTATTCAAAATATGCCAAGTGAAATTGCTGGTGGTACATGGGTTCGCTTAAAGCATGGAAATTACAAAGGAGATTTAGCTCAGGTATTAAGAAATTTACATGAATTTAAATTGGTGATTCGCGGGCACTTTCTATAGCATCATGTTACCTTTTGATTTTTCATACATCTTCGATGCAGGTTGTAGCTGTAGATGGTGTGCGGAAACGGGCAACTGTGAAGTTGGTTCCAAGAATTGATCTGCGAGGCTTGGCAAAAAAGTTTGTTGGTGATGTAAATAACTTTGCTTCCATTTTTTCCACTTTCCATTTATCATTCTATCATCTCAACAATCCAAGTGCATTCCTGTATAGCACTAAATACTCCAAATTAGTTGGCGCATCTGGTAAGAGAGGAAAATCCAAAGGTTTCATAATTAGCTGTCCCATTGTTTTGGTATCTTCATTTCATGGCTGTGGTTCTTTTTTCTCTTGTTCATCTACTTGTGGCATGTTTAACTCATTCAACTTTCTGGATTTCACTCAATGAACTTTTATGTGAACTATGTAATGCAGTCAGGCAGTCCAACTCAAAACCTATTCGCAATTGTAAAACAAGGTCATCTATTTTACTATAGTTTATTTAGTTCATTAATGGGGGTCATTTTTAACACCTCCTTTTACACGAAGTCTGATATTTAGTTCTTTAAGCTTTGCTTAGTTGATAATAAAAATTGGCTTTTATATTATGTTGAGTGATTGAACTATCTAATTCAAAATAAATTGTTGTCTCATAAGTAGATTAGGATCATCTATTTAGGTAAAGAGTCGGAGTGTATGTTAGAACTGATTTTACTTCACTTTTGAGATGAGGCAGTCCAATAAATCACTGACTAATTGAATTCCAGACTTTCGTGGTGTTAAGAAGGACAGTTCGGAATGGTGTTTTGTATTTGTAAGGAAAATCTCTTCATTTATAAACTTACTTTTTTGGTTATCTAAATGCTACTCATGTGGGAAAACATGGAGACCTGTGCCAAAAATAGTATATGTCAAAACGATGATAGCATTTAGATTTATGAGAGGAAAGAAATAAGCTGTTGACTTGCATCCTATGATGTAGTAAAGTATTCCTGTTATGTGTTCTTTGTAGTATGGTGAGACATCACCTGGGCTCAGAAATTAAATCAGGTTTATGTAAATCTTGATTGTTCAACATCGCTAGCTCTCTAATGAAAGATGTGATACTATTTTTCCATATGATTTCAGGGCAGCGGGATACCTACGAAGCAAGCAGCTATTTCAGCTCCACGATTGATAAATTCTCATGAATTGGAGTAAGTGATCCTTGCTTATAGTCATTTTTTTTATTGGCATTGGAGAATGTATTTTGTTTCCACAAATGGATTGTCATGTTTTTGGAAAAAGTTTTGATTTGTAAGCTTTTTCTTTTCTCAGAATCTTCAGGCCTCATATTAAAATTAGGCGTGATTCTGAAACTGGCGAGCTTTTTGAGATACTTGATGGTTTAATGCTGAAGGATGGATATCTGTACAAGAAAGTGTCATTTTTTTCGTTAAGCTATTTTGGTGTACAACCGTCAAAGACTGAACTCTTGAGATTTGAGCCAGTGAAGAATGATGAACCTCAGGGTATGGAATGGATTTCTCATTTTTCCAATGGCCGTGAGAAAAAAAAAATAGAGACATTTAATAACAGTTTGGAGAAAGGGAATGCATATCAGCAATACGATCTTGTCTTGTTTGGGTGAGTTGATACAAGTAGGCAATTAATATTTTGGCAGAACCCTGGTGTTTTTCTATTCTTCGCTTAATTGAATGTTTCTTGTGTTTCTATCAGCCAAAAAGACTTTGGTGTTATCATATCAATGGAATCTGACAGTTTTCAGGTAGATTAACATGTCTAATTATTTTTTGTTTGTTTGTCTGCGTAGTTGATTTCATTTTATCTACTCTTTTCAGATTCTAAAAGGTGATGTCGAAAGATCAGTACTCATAAATGTTCAGCGAAAGGACATTAAGAATTCTTGCATTAATAAAATGTTCGCAGCTTCAGATTGTAACATGAAGACCATATGTATTAATGACACTGTTAAGATCACAGAAGGTCTTCAAAAGGTATTTATTGACTTATATTAGAGTCAATAATCATTATTTATTGTTGCTGTGTTCTATCATTGACGAATCCATGACCCCTTATTCATTTGTATTTTAGAAGTATTGCTAGAACAGTCAATGTTAAACATTAGAATACGAAATTCAAACATGCAGATATGAGCACGGTGCCACTCCACTTCGTGGAAATTGGTGATGAGTTGAGTGACCTAGTCGAAAAAATCTAAGATGCCATCATAATTGATATTTATATTGACCACATGAAATGAATCAAAAAGTTTTCTTTAATCGAGCCTTTTTTTTTTCTTTCCAGGGCCGTCTGGGAATCATTAAGCATATCTACAAAGGCACACTTTTTATTTACGACAAAGACAACCAAGAGAATAATGGTTATTTCTGTGCGAAGTCTGAATTATGTGAGGTCATAAAGGAAACCTGCAGTAGAAACATGGTATTCCCTAAATCAATACCTTACTATTTCCAGTTTTTTGTATTCAGATATATTTTTTTCCTCTGTGGTTTAGTCTTGCAGCTCTGATAACCTCGGAACTAGGGCAAATGTGGAATATACTGTGCCCCAGACCCCAGCAAAATGTAGCCAGAGAAAGGATTTTGATGGCAGCTGTATGTCTCGTTTGATAAAGTTCTAATAGCTCTAAGGTTCTGGGTTCTTTACTGATTTTACAGCGCAAATGCAGTTAGAAGAAACCAACGAAGTGATAAAAACCAACCATTTAGAGTTGGACAGACCCTGAGAATCCGAGTTGGTTCGCTAAAAGGATACCTCTGTCGTGTTGTCCGCTTACATCGCTCTGATTTAACAGTAAAGGTGGATTCACTGGGAAAGTTTATGACAGGTTAGATAAAGTTTTTGCTTCAACATTCAGCATTTTCTAAGTTACAACATAACATTTCAGCTTCTTTTGTAGTGGACTTTCACCATGTTTTGGATACTAATATCAATACTTTTGGATACAAGAGGTACAGTCATCATTGATTATTTGTTTGTAATATGTTTCTTTGGTCCCTAGAAGTGAAACCATTATTATAGTGTGGTGCATTGCTCATTAACTTTGTCTAGTTTTCTTCTTTTTCTCCTCTGAAGCGACAATGATGTGTCAAAATATGGTCAGTTTGGAAATCAAGAAAGGCTAACTGAAGGTACCTGCAAATCTATATACATCTTATTTGTTACCTTCCACAAGTATAATTTCGGCTTTCAGTAGCGAATTTGTATCAGTTGATTGGGGGTACTACTTGGTAATTGTTATTCATGCATTTAACTTAGATCATATTTAATGGGGATTCTTTCCTCTATATATATATATATATATATATATATATATATATATATATATATCAGACTGGTCTATTAGCGACTTATCTATACCCGATTGTCTTCTTGTCTAACATAGATTTGATGACCGGAAAAGTTATTTAGTGCTTGGCACCCATTCTGGAATCCCTTAATTGATTAACACATGGAATATTGGCTGTCTAGAAAATATTTTTAAATACAATTTAAGCCTTTCTTTGAAGAATGATCACGATATATTCTTCCTATGTAACTGAATGGCCTTCGTTATAAGCATGATGACCGCAAAACCCATTCCACAAAGCTAGCTAAACACTATAAACCTTAAACCTAGTATTATCTTCTCATGATGATAGTTGGTTAGTAAGATTTAAAAAATATGTAGTAAGTTCATTCTTCGCTTACACGCATATGTAGAAATATTCCTATCACTAATGAGCAATCTAGTGTGTCAGTAATGGTATTTATATCTATGACGTTTTCATTCTGGTTATCAAACTATAGTTTCAAAGCAAATCAGAGATTGGCTTTCTCAACTGTCTAGTGTCGAAACAACATATTACCGACACACTATTTAAATTTGGATGTGGACTGGCTGCAATGGCTCGAGCAATCAAATGCCACTTTGATAGGCTAGCTTCAATTCAATTCGGTCTTGGCTGACAGGAATCAATCTAATGCTTTTGAAGGAGGAAAGGAGAGGGGAAGGGGGACAGTAAAAGAGTAAGAAAAATAGATGATGCCTTTGCCATGTTGAAAGTATTAGTGTCCACGTCTGCTGCAAGAGACAGAAGTAAAGGAGTGGAAGAAGAAGGTTTCTCGTGACTGATCCTGTTGCTGCTGCTGCTGCTGCTGCTGCTGCTGCGCGTTGCCAAGCAATAATAGGATACCAAGTTGTGTTATAAGTTCTGATCTTAACGAAAGAGGTAGAGGTATTCTCTGCACCAGAGTCAGAAGTTCCTTACTATGGCGAATGTTTCTTTCTTCTGTCATCATTTACAAATATATCACAAATCCAACCAAGATAGCCTCGTCTTCTGTAAAAAAATGATGATTCTTCTGGGACAGATGTCATCAAACCTCTTGTTGCCTTCGATTTCTTTAGTTTCCTATGATAAGTGTTCATTAGGGATCTCATACCATCTAGAAAAAAAGCTTTCGCTCTAACCATAGTTGTTATGATGAACACTTGCCAAAGGTGGCATACCACTGCCTTATCAGTTTGGCATACTAATTATGACCAGTAAGTTTTCTTTTGTTAACCACACTTTCATTTCTATTTTGGCCATATTCTCTCCCAATTCGGCATTCAATGAGAAAAATCCCTCTAAACGTCAAGATAACCAAGCAATAACTTGGGTTCTTCCATTTTTTCTCCCATTTAGTCACGGAACCTTTTCAGTTTCTTTTTTCTCTCCCTGGGTCAATGTACTCCATCCTCTCAACTTAATTGCTTCTTTAAGCTATTATTATTTGAGATATGAAGAAGCAATCTGGAAAATTACCCAAAAAGACCTTTTTACGGTACATATTCCAAAAGTATTCGTCAATAAATATATAGAAATTAAATATGCAAATTATCACTTTGATTGGAGAAACAAACTAACGTCTTATAATCATTGACAAACTGATTATTGGTTCACAGCAGCTGGTGCAGATGTGGCCAAAGAGATTTGATTCTGAGCAGGGAGGAGAGAAGAGTAGAGGTAATTTGGGGGTATGACTTTGAGACTATAGAGAGTACAAAATGATGCTGAACCCAGGTGGTTGGAGCACCACTGCTTGGCCTTTTAGTCAAAATGGGCAGAAGAAAGGAGCAGCCCACTTTGAAAAAATCAGGCTGTTGGGCATGGCAGGGGTTGCTATAAAGGGGAAAGCAGAGGTGATGAAGGTTGTAGAGAAAAGGCAGACAGTGATGGCCGCAGTGGAGGGGAGAGGAAGGGATTTCCATGGTTTCAAGGTCTCAGAGAAAAATGGGCCTCAGGAAGGGGCCTATGAAGAGTGGATAGAACAGGTCGCTTCAGAGGAACACCTTTGGTTGACTTTTTCTACCCTGGTTTTTTTCTTCACGGTTATTTCAATGTCTGCATGGTGCGGGTCAACAAGCAAGTTTGCATAGATATATTTTTATGGAATTCATATCCACAGAATCAGATAATCCTGAAAATATTCTGAATTATGGAAAATTTATTTAATGAATTCGTAAAACTCTAGTTTACATATCTTTTGTTTTTTTTTAATCCATTCCATGCTAAATAAGTTTTTGTTGTTTTGCTTTTTTTATTCAGATAAAGATGAAGGAAACGATCCATGGGAAGTCAAATGGGAATTGACTCCGAGAGATAATAAAGAAGCAGATCGTTGGAGCGGCTGGACAGAAAACTTTACTGAAGATGAGCATGACGGCCGAGCTTCGGGTTGGAAGAAATCTGCAGGAAGTCCAGCAGCGGCGGACAGGAGGAACACCTGGGCCGCAGCAGAAAAGTCAACCGAACGTGCCCAGGAGAGTTGGAATATGAAAAGTACTGGAGGTCAAACGGGGGAGAGCAGCAGGTGGGCTGCTGCAGACAAGTCAACTGAACAAGCCCAGGAGAGTTGGAATGTGAAAAGTACAGGACGAGATCAAACTGGGGAGAGCAGCAGCTGGGCTGCAGCAGACAAGTCAACTGGACAAGCCCAGGAGAGTTGGAATGTGAAAAGTGCAGGACGAGGTCAAACCGGGGAGAGCAGCAGGTGGGCTGAGGCAGAGAAGTCAACTGAAGAAACCGAGAGTTGGAATGTGAAAAGTGCAGGACGAGGTCAAACCTGGGAGAGAAGCTGGGCTGCGGCAGAGAAGTCAACTGAAGAAGCCCAGGAGAGTTGGAACGTGAAAAGTACAGGACGAGGTCAAACCCGGGAGAGAAGCTGGACTGCGGCAGACAAGTCAACTGAACAAGCCCAGAAGAGTTGGAATGAGAGAAATACAGGACGAGGTCAAACCGGGGAGAGCAGCTGGGCTGCAGCAGAAATGATGGCCAACTGCAACAAGCATCAGAGCTGGACAGAAAAGTTTACTGAAGATGAGCATGAGAGCCAAGCTACGAGTTGGAAGAAATTTGCAGGGAACCCATCGGACGGCGGGAGCGGTTGGACCAGAGAACAAAAGTCAACCCAACAGGCCCACGAGAGTTGGAATAGGAAAAGCAAAGAAGAAGGTCAAACCGGGGAGAATAGCCGCTGGGCTGCAGCAGGAAAGTCAACTGAACATGCCCGGGAGAATTGGAATATGAAAAGTACAGGACTAGATCGAACCGGGGAGAGTAGCAGCTGGGCTGCAGCAGAAAAGTCAACTGAACAAGCCCAGCAGAGTTGGAATATGAAAAGTACAGGACGAGATCGAACCAGGGAGAGCAGTAGTTGGGCTGCAGCAGAAAAGTCAACTGAACAAGCCAAGCAGAGTTGGAATATGAAAAGTACAGGACGAGGTCAAACCGGGGAGAGCAGCTGGGCTGCAGCAGAAATGATGGCCAACCGCAACAAGCATCAGAGCTGGGCAGATGAAGAAGGTGAAGCCGTTGACTGGAGGAGAGGAACCGGCGATAATAGCCAACGTGGAAGGCAGCAGTCGAGAGATAACTGGGAAGATGCGGTCAATCAGGGTCAACCTTGGAATCGGGCCAAGGAGAATGGCGGATGGTGACAGCCAGATGCCCGTTGCAGCCGGTCATCTACTCGTTGCGGTGCTCTTGGGCGTGGCTCGTCTTCCGACTAGCCTCTTTTTGTAAAAAATAACTCCCCAAAAAAAATATCGAGTATCTTTTGTTGGCGGCGGTAGGCTGGCAAGCCCAGTTTCTAATGGGCCTTATATTGGGCCCAACCTAGCCCAAAGTCTCTAACTAATCTTGATTAGCACGGGGGCACCAAAAAAAACCCAGTTTTGGAGAAAAGTCCTGTTTTATCGTTTATTTGCTCATATCCCTCCCTCAAGTGGACGCTACTACGGATTTGTGGAGAGACCTAGGACGTCTCTAATTTACTTTAATTCGCACTGGAGTACCTCAAAAAGTCTTCTTTTGGAGAAAAGATTCTGATTTATTTTTATTTATTTATCTGTCCTCGCTTGTTTTTTCCAATGTAATTTAATTCCCAAGGGGCTCCTGAAAATTTCGGTATTTGATAAAAGGGTTTTTTTATTTTGTATTGTTTATCTACCCTCTCTTAACTCGACATGGACTGCGATATGTGGAGCGTCTAATTTATTTAGGCGCAGTCTCTAGTTTACTTTACTCGCATTGGGGTACTATTAAAATTTTGGTTTTGGGGAAAAGGCTTGTTTATTATTTAATTATTTATCTACTCTATCTCAATTGGATAGTCGCTGTCTATACATTGAGAAAACGACATTCTTATCCCAAAAGTTTCTAATTTATTTTAATTCGGAGTGGAGTACCTAAAAAATCCGGGTTTGGATAAAAAGGCTTATTTTGTTATATATTTATTGATCTACCTTCACTTAAATCAGTCTAATTTGGGCCCCCTTGCCTCCTGGAGCTGGCTTTTTATCCTCTTCAGCGTCCTTCCCGGGGCCGCCTCCTCCTCCCTCCCGCACCTTCTCCTGCCGCCGCCCTCCCCCTTCCCGGCGGCGGACGCCGGTGGCGTTCCTCCGCGGCCGATGGTACCTTACGCCGCCGCCGCCGCCTCGTCAGTCGCTCCGGCTTCTGATCGCCGGCGGGAATTCCGCGGCCACTGCGTGGAGGTCGTGAATCCTTCTGCTGCTCCTCCTCCCATCTCTCGCCCCCCTGCTCGCGGTCCCCGATCGCCGGTGCATTTCCTCTGAACCGGCGGCGCGATCCGCAGGGGAGAGGCTGAGGATTCCAGCGGTTGATTTGGACGGCGCTCGACCGAGAGTTCGCATCTGGATTGGCGTGGTTTGGGGAGGTGAAGAAGTGTTCTTGTGGTGACGGCAGCAGCGGCGGCGGCGGCGGCTGGTGTGGGATTGGGAGACTGGAGGCGGCGTGGTCCGCGTAGGCGCCCTGTGTCGTTCTTCCCTGCCTGGCGGAGATGTTCAACAAGATCATCAAGCGGGGAAGCCGGAAGACCTCCAAATCCGACGCAATCGAGTCTGGAGTCTTTGCGTATGGATCTGCTACTGCTGGTGCCAACCGAGGGGGTGGACCAGTCGCTGGAGGATCGGTGGTGTCCGCCTCTCATGTCACGATCAACCACGCTTCCCGCTCCACCCTCTCTTCCACGGTCCCTTCCCCCACGGGTTCAGGGCACTCGCTGCCCGACCGAGGGCCTCTCGCTGCGGCACCAGTCCCAATTGAGAGTCTCCCACTTTTCCGGGAAGTTCCGGTATCGGAGCGCCAGAACCTGTTCCTCCGTAAGCTACAGATCTGCTCCGTAACCTTCGACTTCTCGGATACCCTAAAATGGGCCCGCGAGAAGGAGGTCAAGCGGCAAACCCTTGCGGAGCTCCTCGAGTTCATTCAGACGAGCTCCGGCAAGATCACCGAGCCCGTGCAGGAGGAGCTCGTGCGGATGATCTCCATCAACATCTTCAGGTGCCTTCCGCCTGCGCCCCATGAGAACACCGGCGCCGAGAACACCGACCCCGAGGAGGAGGAGGCGTACCTCGATCCCTCCTGGCCTCACCTTCAGCTTGTCTACGACCTTCTCCTCCGCTACGTCGTCTCCACAGAAACAGACGCTAAGATCGCCAAGCGCTACATCGATCACTCCTTCGTCCTCAGGCTGCTCGACTTGTTTGATTCGGAGGATCCTAGGGAACGAGACTACCTCAAGACCATATTGCACCGCATATACGGCAAATTCATGGTCTACCGCCCTTTCATTAGGAAGGCGATTAGCAATATCTTCTTCCGGTTCATATTTGAGACAGAGAGACACAGCGGCATCGGGGAGCTGCTGGAGATTCTTGGCAGCATAATCAATGGGTTCGCCCTGCCAATGAAAGAAGAGCACAAGCTCTTCCTCATCCGTGCCCTCATGCCTCTTCACAAGCCCAAGTCAATTGGCATTTACCACCAACAGCTATCCTACTGCATCACCCAGTTTGTGGAGAAAGACTTCAAGTTGGCAGACATTGTGATACGTGGTTTGTTAAAGTATTGGCCTTTAACCAACTGCCAGAAGGAGGTCCTCTTTCTTGGGGAGCTAGAGGAAGTGCTCGAGGCTACTCAGTCTGCAGAGTTCCAGAAATGCATGGTTTCTCTATTCCGGCAAATTGCCCGCTGTCTCAACAGTTCCCACTTCCAGGTTTAGCATACAGTTCCTTTTTTTTTTGGCTTGCATTAGATTCGAGTTCCACAAGAGTTTTTCTTTTGTCAGTAATCTGTGTTCTTATGACTAAAATAGGCTTTTAAGTTCGCGAAAGAATCATTTAAACTGTTCTCAACCGTGCTTCCATTATTTTCCGTTTTCTTTTTTATTTTTTTGCTGCAATCTGAGGGAGCAGGGTGCCACATCATTCCAGAACCTTTTAAATTCGCTGCTCGATTTCAGTCCGCTGATTTGTGTCTCTTAGATTTGTTGCTAGTTTCTTGAAGAAACTAATGGTTTTTTATCTTAAATTGAATTTTCTCATAAATTATCAAATATTAACTGATGTTTTGCATATGAGTGATCCTCAATGAATTTTTAGCGCTAATACACACAATTTCACAGTATCATTTTTTTCTTCCATTGAGAACTCCGTGAATCTAAAAATAACGTCCATTTTGGAACCAAGACAACATTCCGGTGATCCAAGTGCGCGTTTGCTTCCAATTAAAACATGTTTCATTATGGATATCTAGTTAGGGTTAAATGGTGATTTCATAGTTGTTTGTTTCTGATTAGCTTTGAAAGCGTTTGAGAAAGTTTTTTCGCTTCCAATTAAATCTCAATTATTTCTTGGATAGTTTATACGATCAAAGTTAATATCCGATGCTACTTTCATGTTATAAAAGGCATATGATTTAAGTGGGCGCCTTTCGGTGATTATCTCTTTTGTCAGTGATTATGAAATCGATTCAATTGGCCATCCTCTTTGTATAACAGGGAGATTTCTCTAAGATTTATCCAATATCTTCCAAGTTTAGGAATTTAGACCATGTTCTCCGCTGAATAGAGTTTGATGGAATTTAATCAGAAGTCAAATTTAGGCAGAGCTATTCTCCACTTTGACAGACTGAAATGATCCTCATCCAAAACCAATCTACTGGCTTTGCCTCTTTCATTTGGTTAGTTTAATTTTTTTTTTAAAAAACCCTTGGTTTATAGTCCCCACCTCAATCCTCATCTCAGTTACACATGCAAAACTCACTGAAAGATCTTTGACAAAATGGCCATAAATCAACATATCCAAACTGATATACCTCAGCTGCCTCTTCTTACTTTCCTCACCTAGTTAAGATCTTCAATAGTTCAAATCTTAAGATGTTACTCTGATAGAATGGCATCAGATAGAAATTCTAGGCATAATAGTAGCCAGTATGTCAAAGAGAGGAAGATTTCTCCCGAGGAGTGACAAAGCAGGCCTTACCTTGTTTCTCTGTCTAGACTGAAACACCTTGTCCCTAGATACCAGATCAAGATGGCAAGAAGAGTGTGTGCCTCCCTCTCATAGCTGGCTATCAGATGATGCATGGGTGATCATACCTTTTGATTCATTTTTAGAAAGATTCGGGCTTCTTTTTTTTTCCTGTGAAGATTTTTTTTTTCATATGATCATGTTTTGTCTGTGCAGGTTGCGGAGCGAGCGCTGTTTCTGTGGAACAGCGAGCATATAGTGAACTTGATCGCCCAGAACCGGGCTGTGATCCTGCCGATAATCTTCGATGCCCTCGAGAAGAACATGGAGAGCCACTGGAACCAGGCAGTCCACGGCCTGACAGCCAATGTGCGGAAGATGTTCCTTGACATGGACACGGAGCTCTTCGAGGAGTGCCAACGACAGTATGCCGAGAAGGCGGCCAAGGCCGAGGACCTAAGGCAGCAGAGGGAGCAGGCATGGAGGAAACTGGAGGCGGCGGCGGTGGCAGTGGCTGCTAAGTCAGCGGCCGACGACATGGTTATGGTGAGCTAGTGGCAACCCGCCACAGCTGCCGCTGCCACCGCCGCCACCTCCATCTCTCAAGCGATGGTGAGTGCTGTAATTTAAAGGTGTTGTTGTTTGCCGCCACAGTCTTTGAGAGTTTTTACTATTTCTAGAAAGAAATGCATTCATCCATTCCATGATCGTCGATTTACCTCTTCCCTCCTTATTTGGGCGTATTATATGATTTATCTGTGAGATCATCGGATGGATCAGTCAGACCCATTTCATCATCGGTTTTGATGGCCTGCTTCCCACATTAGGAGAGTATGCCCCCCATACAATCTACCATTTATTTTATTTATTTTTTAATGCTCATTTAATGTTTATTATTTATTTATTTATTTGGGGGGTCTCTGCGTTTGGAGAATGCCATTTTATTTCTAATATTCTTGCTGATCTCTTAGAAAATAGAAATTTAATCAAGAAGTCGATTAAAAAGGGGAAAATCCTAAAATAATCAGAGAAAACAATATTTTTCTATGATTTAATTAATAATGTATTTTTTAATCAGATTTTATCCTTTTACTTTTTTCCCGGGCTTTTTGGCTGGGCATCACTTGGGACATTATTGTTGCTCGCCCCTTGGAAATCATGGGTCATAATTAATATTGCCTAATTTCTTAATAAAAAAATTATTATGCCGTAAATTTAAAAGAAATGAATTATTTATCGCCTTTTAAAAATATTCTAAGAACATTTACTAAAATAACAACCATTAATTAGCCTCTTCGTGAGAATATTCCTAAGAAATAGGGGACAGTGTTCGCTACGGGACATAGAGGTAATACACGGTGAGATGAGGATATATGTAGAAAATTCCCTGTGGTACTGGCGATAACAGATTGGTTTAGGGGTGTATGTACAAAAAGGCTCCGGCACGCTACAAGGACGGATGGGTACGTGGAGGTGGGAGAGATTAAGATAAAGAGGGAGCGAGGGAGGAAGAGGAAGGCGAGGGAGGAGTGGCGCGAGGATGTCGAGAGGCGGCGGAAGGCCGCCCGTGCTGGCGGAAGATGTGCCGTGGAGGGCTCCTCCGCCGGGGCAGAAGCCCGTCCCAAGGATCCAGCTGAATCCGGTCCTGCGTGTCTCCCAGAACGCCACCTCCGCCTACGGGCTAGTCGTCATGAAGGTAGGTGTCCAATCCTTCCCTGATCCCTGTTCTCTGGTTGTTTTTGTTATCCTTCTCGTAATTCCTTCTTCTGAAGGTTTTTTTCGTATGTGCAGCACCCGAATCCGGTCGGAGAGGGATTCGCCAGAGAGGCCTTGTTGGAGGCGGCGGGACCCGACTGCATCGTCCCGGGGCAGATCACCCCCATTAAGTTGCTGGGCTTGAAGGTTCAGTGCTTTGAAACATCCCTTGTCCACGCGTCTTCGTCGTGTCTGCCTTCTTGGTGTGACTTGCATGTCTTATTTGTTTATGATTGCGTGTTAACCGTTAGCTCTCTCGCATTTCTTAGTTCCTCTTCTCTCTGTTGGGTTTCTGAACTTTTGGTATGGCCATTGATGGTGCGCGCCGCTTGAAGTTCATTCATTAGCGAGGGGACATGCTGGATTGTTTTCATTTGCACGTGGTTTAAAACACTTTTTCCGAGATAAAAGTTTCTCGAAACATGGTTGCTACATTTGCTGAAATAAATTATATGTGGAATTTTGATTTTGAATCTGGTCACGTTGCTCAGTGAAGGGATTCGATTTATTTTATTTTATTTTATTTTTTATCGACTGGGCATGGTACGTTCTAATTCTTATGGATAACACATAGCTGAGGAGACTGCTGAGAAGCAGTATTAACTTTCACTGACTAGAGAGAGGTAGCCAGGCTTACGGGCTGGAAAACTCCTAAATAAGAGCGGATATCTTTGAATTCTGTGTGTTTCTGTGTATAAGTGATTTTATCTGGCCGATGTTGATAGGAAACGCTCATCATTGTCCTGCTGATCTCTTTCTCCTCTTCAGCTTTTCTGTGGCATCACCTTCTAGTTCATGTTGTTGGCAAGTTTTCACCCAATATCTCCGTTTCAGTGAGCTGAAGTGTAATAAATTTAAATTCGGAGTGTCTGTAATTGAGTGAGCTTAGCGGAACGATTGGGATTTGTTTTCAGAGTAGATCATTGACTTATATAAGATTACTTACTCAGAGTCCTCGTTGTCTTCATTTGGAAAGTCGTATATGTCTATGCTTTCCCTAGATTTTATTAAGATGCATATTATGGTAAAACTTTATCCATTTCTTTTGCAACGGGCCTCCATTTAACAACCAAAGCTACTCTTTAAACATTTTTTTCCTATTGAAGTCATTTTCTGGCAGCTACAAAACTGGTGTCCTCCTACTCTTTGTTGCACGATTCTTGCTATTCAAATCGAAATTTATTCTCTAGATTTAGAAAGAAAGGTGTAATATCTTTCTACACTGAATGTACAGAATGATCTCCTTGTATTATATCTGAGAAGATTCTGCCGGTTGACTTCTTGATTCTTTTGATAAGCCATTAAATATTATGGTCAGCTTTTGCAATGAGCGTCTTTTTTGCATTAAAAGTGTCTCTTTAAGCAAATGTTCCTTGGTTCAGGTTTTAAGCCTGTTGAATTGGCTTAGGAGAATTATTCATAATCAGGAATTTAGATAGATTTGTTGTGCCTGCACATCATAATGACGTGAGCCACCAACCCTCTTCTCAAGAAAGAATGTTCTTTGTTGGGGAATTGCAATTGGACTAGTTTAAACTCTTCGACATGCTCCCTGTTTACCCTGAATCTTGATGTGCCCTTGGACATAACATTATACAGGTTTGGCCAATTGATGTCAACTTGAAGATTTTGGAGCCTGTTGGACGAGAGCTGCAATCAGTCGGGAAGGTGCGTCACTTGATCTGTTCATGACTGCATTTTATGGGTGACTTTCAAATACGTATCTTCGTTTCTTGATTGTTTTCATTGGCTCATATATTTGAAGCAGAGAATTGAATATTGATTTTGCACAAAATGCTCATACTGTTGTCGGATGAGAAGCTTCTTTAGGCACTACCCTTACTCAGCAATACTTTGGTCATGAGTAGTTCTAGAAATATCGTGCGTTGTTAGAAATGTCATGTATTATTGAGTAGCTCTACCCGACAATATACTTTGGACATTCATAGTTTTCTTTTCCAGTATGGATTTTATGTGAATGGAATGAGGCTGATACATAGATTTTTATTTGGTCTCTGCTCTTTGGGATGATTTTTCTACCCATGGTTCAATAGGCTTCCTTTGAGCTCCCGGACAATGACTGATAAATGAGGAACACAACTAGTTTAGACTCCCTTTTTTGGCATGTGATGACGATTGAAGAGAAATATGCAATGCGGGACCCAATATCATCTATGATGACGTTTAGGCAAATATATATATATATTTGTCATGCTCTGTTCGAAAATCATGAAATGTGGTCTTGACAATTCCGAGATAAAAATCATTCTTATTTACGTGTATTTTAATCATGTATTACCATCATTAGGACTCCCAAATTCTGTCATTATACACAGAATGGTACGGAGATGAAGATGCCATTTGGTCACTTATTGCTAAAATTGATGTTCTTTCGGAGCTGCATAGCTTACTGCTATTTCTGGGTTTCCGTTGCCGTTGACTTTCTCTGATTTATACATTTTCTTAGCAACACTCTGAAATATACCATTATCAATAGCCTCCCTTCATCGATATGTTGAATACTTCCTTGTTCTTTCCTTGTTCTTCCATCATCATTGAGAATCTTCCCTCTGTGAGCTGAGAAATCTTCCCTCCTTCTCTGTTGGGCTTCAGTTTTTGGATGCAGCTGTGAACCTCATGAACGCCTCCTTCCAAGATCGCTAGGCCTCTCCCCCCACAAAGCCTGCTGCTGGTGGCGCCTCCCCCTCCCTTCCCTTCTTGCTTGCTAGCTAGCTAGCTAGCTATCTCCTTGCAGTTGCATCAGATGTCTGTCGGACCACGCTAGGCTGTCTGAGAGTTTTGGAGCGAATTTTGCCGGTGGGTCTTCCTTCCCTATGCTGCCCTGTCGGGGGAACCAGTTATCTACCATGTCAGAGCTGTCCATCGTACAGTGTATATGGTGATAAATATGAGCTATGTACTAGGCCCTTTCTCTGAGCTTCTATGAGCTTCTGGTCAACGTTCTCTGGGCTTCACCGAATCATATCGCTGATATTCGATATTCTTGACTTTTGGTTGACCTGATGATTTGACTGCCTTGAGAAATTTCTGAGTCCCTGTTCAACTTCCTTCCCAGAAGTCAATATTGTGGGTGGGGATTTCGGCGGGTGGTTGACCGCTCTGTGTGCTCGTCGTTTCACAAAAGAATCATGGTATAAACACAGAAGAGAGTTGACTACGATTCAAGTGCGTTGACGTTATGCTGTTCGTGAGCTCCATCATGTCAGTCAACTGGCCAATGGGCTGCTTGAAGCAGAATGAAGCATGCAAAAAATGAGATTTTTTCCCCCAATTCTGGACCTGTAAAAGCAGGGAAAGGCATTGAAGAGGCGTTGACGAAGTCTTTGACTTTCATAACATCATGCCCCACCATTGAGGCCCAATATTGCTAGTAACCGGAGAAGAAATCTGAACCCTTTCATCTAGATCTCTTAATAGTCAAAGACTGGGAGGTCAACGTATTCGTTAAAAATCTAAAAAACTGGAATTCATAAAAATTAATAACGGGCAAGAAGATTGCACCCTTAAATAGGCAAAAAAATTGTCAACGTCCAGCAAAAAAAAAAAAAAAGTGGGCTAACATAGCAGCTGAACAAAAGGACTCTAGGTAACCATTTTTTTAATAAAATGTATTTTATTTTATTCAAATAAAATAGGACTAGAATTGGGGGAAAATAATTGAAAAGACCTAGGTCTAATGAGGGTTTTGACTACATAAAAAACATGAGGGGCCATCATTGAGACACAATATTGGGAGGATCTAGAGAAGAAGGCTAAACCCTAATTTCATAGGCAATTAAACCTAGATTCCTTATTCTTCAAAGATTGGAAGGTCTTAAAATGTTTGATAAAATCTAGATAATATGAAGCTGAATATATTATTAAAAGGCAAGAAAAATCATATTCCTGAATTGGGAAAGTTCTACAAGAAAATAAGGTGGCCTAGACCCCCATAAGTAGGTGAGTTGTCATAGAGTAGAAAAGAAACTCTGTAGTTAAGCGTGCTCACGTGAGAGGCACAATTACAAAGGCCAAAAAAAAAAAAAAAAAAAAAGGTGGCCTAACGTAAAAGCTGAAAAAAAAACTCATAGAAAAAATAAATCCTTTTAGCCCTTAAATTGGAAAATATTACAAAAAAATCTGCAAGAAAATAAATTTTGATAACAAAATAGCTGAAGAAAAGGACTCCTAGAAAAGAATTATTTTTAGCCGTTAATTTGGCAAAAAATTGTCAAAATTCTGAAAGAAAATAATCTGGGGTAATAAAAAAAGCTGAAAAAAGGACTCCTAGAAAAGAAAATTCTTTTCAGCCCCTAAATTGGAACAAAAATTGCCAAAATTCTGCGAGAAAAATTTAGCAGGCTAACAAAACGATTTTTTAATCCTTAAATTGGAAAAAATTAGCCAAATTTCTGCAAGAAAATAAGGTGAGATAACAAAACAGCTGACAAAAAGGACTGCTAGAAAAGGAAATCTTTTTGACCCTTAAATTGGAAAAAAAATGCCAAATTTCTGCAAGAAAATAGGGGGGCTAACAAAACAGCTGAAAAGTAGGATTCCTAGAAATATTTCTTAACTGAAGGGTAGTAAGTTCACCCACTTGGGCCTTTTTGAGAGGCTGTGATGCTTCGAAATTTGCCAACTTTTGGGCTTTTTGGGCTGTGATCCCCCCAAAGACTAGATATTTGTGGGCCTATTGGGCCTTCTGGCCCCTAGGTTTTGACCGTTTTTTGTTGGACCTGGGGGCTATTAGTCGTCGCTGCTTCTATTTCCTTTAAAGCTCTGGTCTTTGGGGCGATCGACGCCATCCCAACCAACTCGGCATTTCTGATCTGCTCTTCCCCCTGCGATCTACGAGGTCCTAGACATGGCGGGGGAGGGCGGCGGTTCTAGGGCGTTGTTCCTGATGGCGTTGCTCCTTACGGCGAGCCTCTATGGCGTCCGGCAGGCTTCCGCACTCGCGATTTCCGTCACGGATCGGGAGTGCGTGTACGAGTACGTCTTCTACGAGGGGGACAACGTCTCCGGGAACTTCGTCGTCGTTGACCACGAGGTCTTCTGGGGCTCTGATAGCCCAGGCATTGATTTTGAGGTATGTGAATCACGATTCTTATTTTTCTTTTCCTTTTCGTTTGACCATCCATTCTGGGATCATCGTCGATTTAACTGCTTGTAATAAGGTCCACTATTGGTGATGGATGCAGATGGCCGACTTAATTTCTGGATCCATCGTTATTAGTTTTCTGTGGCGCTCTATTAATCCATATTTCTGAGCTGGTTGAATGAGAATTCTAGCCATCTAAGGAAACTAAATCTGTTGGCGTTCCTGTGGTAATTTACCCTTGTAACCTAGTCATGAAGGCTGCTCCTACGCTGGGAGCCGGATCTTCAGGCGATCGATATCTTGATGTCCTCTGTTACCGAGTCGTTACATGTGTTGAGAATTGATTCTCTGTGCTACTGGGAGGCTTGCATACTGATTTGGAGGGAGAAATTTCGGTCTATTTGAGGATAAAACATTTTCATTTCATCCCGAGTGTCATAGCCATTGTTTGGTAACGATTATCCAATGACCGCAAACCATGCTACTGAAGGTAGCCCGAAATTCGAAATTTTATCAATTATTCTTTGCTACCGAACATTAAGATTCGTGCAGATTACTATGTTGATTTAAACAGTCCTGATAGAAGTTTCTGGCCGAGCAGATTTTACACAAACCAGCTCAGGTGCCCAGCCTCCTATCTACATTTAATCAATTCAGCTTGTAAGGTTGGATTTCCCCCTGTTTGAACCGTAGACATGTCACACACTTTAATATTTCTAATGCATGTTCTCAACCCTTCCTTGGTTGATGCTATGTTAGTGACTTAGTGTCTCATTAATAGAGTCGCATCATTCAGTGCTTTCAAGGAGAATTCCTTTATGTCTCTTTCACGGTTTAGCTCCTCTTCCACTCCTATCCTATGTCTTCAGTTGTTCGTATTTTGTTTATGCCTTCGAACTTTTTCATGGCAAACAAAGCCACAGCCTATCTGATACTTATTTCTTGACTTTTCTCACACTAACATAGCATAAATTTTTCATGGCTATGGGAACTAGGACGAAGTGTAGCAGCACATTATAACTGTGATGTCACCTTATTTAATATCACTATCTATTCTCAGCTGTCTAGACTTTCAGAAATTTTCCTGATCTGCCTTTCTCCATCGGTTCCTCCCTTCGAAACCAATGATCATCTTCCTACATCCCTCATACCTTCATCTAGATACCCATGCAGCTACTTGTGTCCCAGCCACTTTTGTATGATGATAATGGACCAAAATAGTCATCACCACAGACTGCATTCGCAGCCTTCGAATAAGGCTTCACCTTGTACTAGCTCATTTGATTTGGTTCTTCTGGTTGCTGTAAGTATGTGCAGATGGCTTGGTACTTCCATCCTATTGGGTGTTATGTCTCATTTGCTCATCTTCTAGTTGCTGGTTGTGTCTCATCAGGAAGGGCATGATGAGTGAGATGTTAAATCTAATCTCTCTAGGTATTTGGCACCTGGTTTTCTCTCTAGCTGTTGTTACTTCAGTGGATTGTTGTCGGGTTTCACTGCTAAGTACAGCTTATCCTATCCATTAGCATAAGGCTCGTCTTGTGACAAAGGTTATAACTTGCGTTGTATGCGAGCATTATTTCGGTGGCTATAATATGGGCTGGTCAATGCTTTAAATGAGTGCAAAGAAAAAATGCATTCTTACATAATAGACTAAGGTGCTTGTCCTGAAAGTAACCTCCAAGCTATGGCATTAATGTAGGCCATCAAATCCTATCAAGAGAGGGACGAAATTCTAATTTTGATCCAAGTGGCCCAAAATTAGTTGGGTAAGTATCCAGGGTGCTAAAAAGTTGAGCTGTACTGATCAGGAGGCCTTAACGGTCGAAAGTACTTTTGGTCTGTACCTAGACACATCACAAATGCGTCAGAGATTACTTTCACGCTTAAGTGGAGTAGAAGCTCGGCTACATCCCAACTCAAGTAGACCAAAGGCCTAGGAAACCTGAAAACAGAGTTAATCCAGCTTAGGCTTGAGTTGGCCTATTAGCGTGTCTTAAACATTTCCTAGTTTTATTTTTCTGCTTTTATAATCTGTTCCCGCTTTTTGTTGTCTTAGATTTATTTGAACGGTTCAATAATAGAACTCTCCTTTTTTTTAGGGGCGTTGTAATAAAACCCCTTTTATTAGGGGCGTTCTAACAAACCTCGCTTTTTTTAAGGGCGTTTTAATCAAAGCCCCCATTTTTATGGACATTCTAAAAGAATTTTTTGGCCTACTTAAAGGCTCCCCTTGTAGCCCTAGTGTCATTCAAGCAATTACATGAAAATTTTCTTCTTCTGTGGTTTTTGTCTCCTTGTTGGTGGATTTTGGCACCTCCTTTGTGTATCCAGGGGAACTCTTTTGATCTTGTGGACTCAAGATTAAACCTTTCTGGATTTAAATGTCGAAAGTTTCTCTGTTCTATAGATTCAGGGTGAAGAATCTTCAAAGAAATCACGTTTCTTGTGGATTCAAGGACGGGATTTCAACTCTACACAACTTAAGTTGTGTCAAGTATCCTAGGGGAAATATCAATATGTAAACTCATGATGACGATATTGGGTGAAACAATGCCTAAGTGCTTTGTTTAATAAGTTCAGTTAGATTTTTTGTAGTATTAGTTTGAAATATAAATACGCCAACTATTCAATGTCCATTAAGCACATCACATGGAGAATGATTCTACTAGTTGATCATGCTGATTCTGTTCTTCTGATATCGAGGATACTTCCTGATTTTAAGAACATTTAAAGTTCTTTCATCAGCTAGAATTTATACCAATATGATTATTTTTTCTTTGGATCAAAGTTGCTTGTAGTGCACATTGTTTCTTTCTTTCTAAGTAAACATGCTTTGGCCCTGTGACAAGAAGTAGGTTTACTTGGTCACATACCACCCCAATTATTTCATGGTCCGGTCTTTAATATGAGGATAGATAAGACTTTCCTAATTCGACATTCCGGTTCTAGCTTGTTAGGATTGCTAGTTAGTTCATGCAAACAATGTTGTTAAGAGGCTGTTAGGAGGATATGCTATTATCAAGGGCTCTAGGCGAATTCTCGTATTTAAGTGTAATGGACATCCGTGTTTTGTCCCTTTTCTGATGTCGACTATGTGGTGTCCACTCTTTTAGAAGGTTTGCGTCAGGATAATGCACTTTTATTGACGGAAATCTGGCGACTTGAACAAGAAAGACAGTGTTGTGGGTCAACCAAGTGTGGAGACGAGACTGAATATCAAGCTGAGGCTCATGCTGTGTGCGGGATGTTGTTGCTGAAGTCTTGAATAGAGGATCAAGTTGTTGTCTCTTTTTGAGCCTAATGTAGAGCAGAAGCACAAGAACAGGCCAAAGAAAATGTAATCAGGAAGGCTCAAAGGGTGAAAAATGGAAAGCCCAAAATTAGCTGTGCATTCCCTCTGCGAGATCTATTATTTCAGCATATTTTGTTAGCACTTTTCTCCTTTTTGGGGATCCTTTTTTAGTGGTAGTTGTTGGTAGTTCCTGTTTCCTTGTAGATTCTGAAATATCATCTTATTTGAAGAAGAGTGTACTGTAGAAGGGCACATTACTGCACATTGAAGAACAACACCAAGTAACTCTCGATGTTGAGGTAGAGGAGAGAATCAATGGAGCAGAAAAAAAAGCATTCGGGACCCTAAGCGGTGACAGTTGAGACGTTTCTTCAATGCCCACTTTGGTAATGCTATGAACGATATGTGGATAGTGGGCCGGCCGAAAGGTGGCCCAAGTGGGTCCAAGGTGCAATAGGCTCAGACGCCCTTACTACTTCCCAACTTTTCTTAACACACATAAGACATTTTTCTTCTTGTTTTCTTGTCGATTTATGGTTCTTCTCTACTCTCTCTACTTCCACTACGTTTGAACCTATTGCCATGCATTATGGTCATCAGGCTGCTATTGACAATCATTGTAATCCTGTCTTTAATGCATTGACCAAACATCTTGAAGTTGATTGTGAATTCATCCACATCCTACTATGTCTAAGAAGATTTGAACTCTAATTACAGCTTCTGAAGACCAGCTACCTGTTTTATTCTCTAAGTTCTTGACTCCACTCATTTTTCTTTCCTTGTGACTATCTAGTTATAATTAATAGTTGTGCTTCAGTTTTGTGGTGAGTGTTAGAATCTAATTGTTAGATGTTGTATCATCACTGAGCTATGCTATTGTTTAGTTACAACATAAGCAGTATTATGTATATAGAGTTATAATTTAATCTTTTGTTCTAGAGAGTTTTCACTTTCTTTCTACTCCCCACTGTCAGCCATAAAAAGGATTATTGGTAGCGTTTATTCTGTTGTGGAATGTAATTTGTGATGGTTCTCTGCTTTTTCTTGTCATATTGTTCAGAAAAAGATATATTCATCCATATCGGTGTTTGTTGATTTTTGAACACTAAGTATTCCTTCTTTCCGATGAATGCACTCATGTGACTTTGACATGCCATTTATTGAAAACCTACAAAGAGGCAGGTGTGGTCTGGATGCCTTAAAGGGGGTTGATGGTATGTGAAATTTACAAAGTTTCTTTCAGGTGACATCTCCGGCAGGCAACGTGGTACACTCTGCAAAGGGAAAATCTGGGGATAAGTTTGAGTTGAAAGGTCTAAGAGCTGGAATGTACAAATTTTGTTTCATCAATCCTTCTTCAGTACCGGAAACTGTGTCTTTTTACATACATGTTGGCCATATTCCCAATGAGCACAACCTTGCTAAAGATGGTTAGTTCTATGAATCTATTTTTCATACTCTGTTGCGATGCTTAAGATTTACTTCTGCTACCTTGCTTAAGATTTACTTATGCTGTGGGCATTCACTCATCACGATTGGTTTCCCTTATAGAGCATTTGGACCCAGTCAATGTGAAGATCGCTGAACTGAAAGAGGGATTAGATTCTATCACAGCAGAGCAGCACTACCTGAAAGCACGTGATACTAGGCATCGCCACAGTAAGTATCATAATTTTTACTTACGTGGTGACATTACTCTTGGAAGTGGGTTGTTGGTACTTATCGGATTTATAGTGTCTAGCTATATTTCTGTTTTGGCATTTCTGGTCACTACTATTCTCACTTGAGCCCTCCGTGTTCTTTATCTTGGAAGCTATGCTGATTTTGAGTGGCAGATGGGGTATTTTATATTCTTCTTTAAAGTGAAAGATCCTTTTCTTTGGTAATTCGGTCCAAACATTGTCACTATGCATCGTGATCATTCTGCATCATGGGTCTCTTGTCACTACAAGACAAGAGTACAAAGCTGATAAATGGAAAAACCTCCCGGATGGTAGACTAAATGGTTCTACAGCGGAACTGTAGAAGCCTAACAGTAAGTATCGGTTGTCTGAAAGAATCTTAATGATAGATCTAAAATCTGTAGTGTAAAACGTTCCCCCGTGATTCTAAGGTCATATAGAATGGAAATTGTGAGATTAATTTCAGTATCATTTCCTACATTAGGTGTGATATCCACTGCTCCCTCCAAATCTGTTCATTGCTTTTGCAATAGCTAGACGAGCCAGCTGTTTGACTACAATAAAGAATGATGTCTTGTTTAAACTGTAAATTTCTCCTCAAGAACACGAGGGCACTTAGTATTTTTTTAATCTTGAAATATTGTTAGTTTTATTATTCTGATTCTTTCATAATTTCAGTAGCCTTTGTTCATTGGTGGGTCAGTCTCTACTTGGAAATTGGATGAAGTTCATTTCATGGGCAAGAACTTGGTAGAAGATAGGATGAATCCAATTTGGATTATTGGATAGGCTTTCATTGGATACTGAATGGAAGCCATTCCTCTTCCGTCGGAGCTCACTTAGATATGGGATGAAACTCGTCTGGCTTAAGAGATCAATCCCACTTGGATTTCTCGTGAAGCTCATTTTTGTTTTTGTAGGTTAGTGCCCACGTGTGTTTGGGATGAAACCCGTTTTCTATCTTGGCCCAAAGCCTATTTAGATGAGAGAAGATCATTTTTTTACAGTGGGGGGTCGTAGTTCACTTACATTTCGGATGAAGTCTTTTTTTATTTGTGGGCCCTAACCCGCTCAGATTAAAGTAACATCTGTCATAGTAGGGATGCATTTCGATGGAACTACTCTCTTGGCTTGGGCCCCTCACGCAGCTCCACAGACCTATGGCAGTTCAAAGACGAAGGAGAGGATGATTTACCAATATAAAGTCTCATCTATGTATCCCGCTAGGGACAGTTAACCAGTCACCCTCAAGATCCTCCATGGTAATAGAGTCCATTGAAAAAGTTACATGCTTTTCCCTCCATAGTAATAGAGTCGATAAACTCCAGTCTGGTCTCAGGCAAAGAGGCCAGTCTAGTTTTACCAAATAGAGAAGACTGCGCTTAGCAGTAGGTGGAGAGGTCTGTACAAGTGTTCACTTGACTTCTAGATTGTGAATATGTTCTTGATCTCCCTCACAAAAGAAGATTTAGAGAAGACACATGCAAAGAAGGGATAGGAACCATTAACATAAGAACTCTTCAGAGTGTTTTTCTTACCAAATATCTTAGGAAAGGTCATCCGAAGAAGAAGGGTTTGTCTTGATGAAGATTCTGTCATCTCACTCCTCAGGAGAGCAGGAGATGAAGATCACTCTTGGAGTCTTCCCCAAGCTTTTCTCTCCTTGTGTTTCTCTTACCTCACTAAAATAATTAACGTAATACAGATTTGTAGACCGTTTTCGTTTTCCTTCCTAGAATCTGTGCTCATCTTTTCTCAAGAAATTTCCTTTACAAATCAATTTTTTTGAAGGAACGGGATGAAACCCTTTTTCTGGCTCCTCTCTAGCAAATCTGGGCAGTACTATTCCTGGATCTAGGGTTTTATTTTCAGCTGTACAAGGGGATCATCAATTCCATCTGTGTTGTGAATCAAATGCTTGTGTCTTGGTTCTTTTATCTTATCCCAGTAGAGACAGCAGCTTTCCATTATAGGATCACAATATATGGTATGCATATCAGTCAGAGGCTTATCTTTACCTTACAGAAATTTGGAGAGGCGAAGCCTAAATATCTTCTCCAGTATTTAAATATTTCTGCATGTAGCATTGATTAATAGAGAGTTATTGATGATTCTCCCAATTCAAACATCCTTTTGTGTGGGAAACATGTCAATACGTTACTGAATTTGGCCATTTTTCTCAGTCAATGCTATAAATCTTCTTCTGTGAGGGAGACCAAGAACATGTTCACAGTCAATGCTATAAATATTCGCGAGTTTGACTTCAACCTTTCTTCTTTTGTAGCCAATGAGAGCACGAGAAGACGCCTCCACTTCTACACATTGACCGAGTATCTTGCACTTGGCTGTGTCAGTGGACTTCAAGTACTCTACATCCGGCGCTTGTTCAGCAAGTCTGTTGCATACAACAGAGTTTAGGCTTTTGCCTCCTCGGTACACTCTCTTGGAGTATGTGAACATATCCATGCTTTTTAAAGTAACAAATGACCATCTAGTCATGCAGTTCATCGTGCGCATTAGCTCCTAATGCGAAGGTACAAAAGTCAACTAGTTTACTTAATGGGCCTGTTCATCTCTGTCGTTTAGAACTCACATGAATGCTGTAATCGGGCAGGGTCAAGTGACTAATTTCGGATATCCTCGTCAATGTTGCATGTGATGTTTTGTCCACAGATCTATAAAGCTGGAAATCTTTGCAAGTACCTTCCTATGAGATGGTGAACTTACTTATTTCTTTGCCTGATGAGTAATGGTGGGATCCGACTCGCCATAATCGTTATTGCCAAACTTAATCAGCTTTTCTCTTTGTCATCTTTCCATGCGTTGCCTATGCATCTCTCTTGATTTTCTGTTCATTGTTATTCCCATTTCAGCTGGAAATTTTCCTAATTAATCCAACATGAAACTCTTCTAGTTTTAATTTTTCATATGGAATAACTGTAATGCATGCACCCTCCCCTATCTCTGTACAGTGTTACTTATCAGTCATTTTCTCGGTATTTCGGCCAATCTAGAACTCTCTCTAAAAAACTCTTAATCCCACAGTAATGGGGACACAAAAGTGCAACTCATGGCGTGGCATCACACTGGAGTACTTAGCATCTACGGCAATCTTATGGCCCGGGGAAGCAGGATTTGGCCACTTTAAATCATGCTTTGCTCAGCTATATTAAACTCTTGATTATTAGTGGGTTTTATTATCTCAACTAAAGCTTCTGCCGTTGCTATTTATTAGTCATAAACTCCATGGATGCCGTGTGGAATGCTCTATGAAAATGTTGCAAATCTCTAGATTATAAGGGTGAGAGGCTGAAATCTCCCTTCATCTCAACCTCCCTCCACTTCTCTCATCCTGTATGTATTGATTACTCCCGTTCACCTCCCTCTTCCCTCCTAACGCAGCAGCTCTCCCTGAGGAGTTATCCATGGGAAGAGGCTCTTCTCATGTGTGATGTCCCCACAAGGGTAAGCTCTCTATAAAATGATGAATGGTTTTAGTTTCTGAAAACTAGGAAACCTGCCCAGAAGGCAACAGAGGCCTAATATGGCGGCCTTGTTCAACTCAAATTCATCATTTTTCTCCCATTTTGATCGGATTTAATTGGAAAAAAAACTATTATCAAGGTTAGTATAATATAATCCCTATATTGGTACATCCACTATATTGGATGTAAATTCGTTTGCAAATTTATAATTTGTAACGGATGAATTTCTTCACTAGTGTGCAACATGGTTATGATACGTCTTTAGGAAATGATTAGAAGCAAAGTTTACATCACATGTAAGAATCATGACAGGAAGCAAAAATGGATAAGTGATTAAATCAAAAGGCTGAGCTTAACCTTCAAAGGCTCAAAAGAATCTGTGTCGTGTTGTTCCAATAATTATAATATAATCAAAAATCATATAATATAATCTCTTTAGAAGATTTTTTCTTTTCTATAAAAGAGTACGTGGGCACATCCGCTATATTGAATGTAAGTTGGTATGTAAATTTATAGTTTATAATGGATGAAGTTCGTGACTAGTCAGCAACAAAGTTTTGACATATTTGAAAAGGATTATAATCAAAGTCTAGGGGGGTAAATAAAAATTATGATTGGATACTAATGATAATTTAACCTAGAATATTAAGACAAATAGTGCAAATAATAGAGAAACTAGAAGAATGAAAAGATCATAGGTCTAACAAAAACTCTAGAATAAAAACTTGTAAGCCAATTGATAGCCTTCTAAGAGGACTATACCTCTCCTTGATGTAAAGCCACTAATATTCCACTCATAATAGCTAGGATTCATTTTTCGTATCAATTCAAAGAGAAATAAAGGTGTGTCCAAACATTAGTTGACCATTTTGGTGAGTAGAGAATAGTAATATATAGTGGGCATTATATTTATGATTAGTAAACATTGATTTTAAAATTGTCTTATGACAACCTCTTGAACAAATATTCATGGGACTTCTTTGAATCTTTAAAGATATTTGAAAGATATAAATGTGTATATTTACTCAATTCATTAGCAACCACCATAATAGAGTTGTGACCTTCTAATCAAGATAGTTATACTTTGAAGTTTGCAAATAAATCTTCTCAAATTTGGTCAAAATTAACAAAGACTTGAGGAGTCATATTAGATGGGATTTTAATATTTTGTTGACATATTGTTGTGACTTAGTCGTTGTATAATAAATCACGTAAATTTAAAATATATAAAATTAAAAAAATATCAATTTTCAAATATTTAGAAATATTTCTGAACAAATATATAAATTATAATTCAATAATTTTTTTAAAAATCGTGAAAAGTTTTCAAATCAATCATAGGGATGTAATATAATATTGGTTAATTTTTCAATTTTTTTTCAAAGAATATAATTTTTTATAAATTTTATACTAAGAAATAGAAATGAAATATATTTAAAATTCACAAAAAATGAAAATAAAGGTGTGAACATCATGATGATGTCAACGCCTGATAAATGCAAACAGAAATAGAATTTCGTCTATTGATTCTTACATAAATGATTATAGACGATTTAATTGATTAAATTAAGATATGTAAAAGCGAAAAGAATTGTAATTGAATGAAAAATAACTTGATAAATTTAAATCACACAAATTATCACTAAATGAAGTGAAAATTAAGTTGAAAGTAGGAAAATAGAGTTCTAACATCACATTGACAATGTGTTAACGATACATCGAAATCTTGAACATCGAGAAGGATTTTCATATAGTGTCCACAGCCTCGAAGGCTCTTATTAGACAAGGACGACGTAGACAATCTTTAGATCTTATTGTAAAGTCTAGAGATTAATAAAATAGTTCATCAAATTGTCTTTGGTGGCTGTCATTTGATAGAGCGAAAAAATAGTGACTTTGTTACTTTTCGGTGGCTGTCACCCAACGAAAAAGAGCTGGATAGAGGTGAGGCATGTGTTAGAAGGCTTCATCCTCAAGTTCATGCAACAAAAGGAGGCTCTTCATATCTTGTATGCTTTTAGGAGGTGATGACTCGTCCTAGTGAATCGTCTTTTTATTGACGGCTTGTTCATCGATTAATTATAGATGAGTTACTCGATAGATTTATAATTTTTTTATCATGAATCATTCAATAATTTTAGTAATAATGCTCTGCGAATCATGTTGACAAGATTTTTGCCAATGATCAAGTGATTTTGGTGGCTTAATCCTTCACCAACGATCTACAGGAAAGTCACGATTTAATCAAATAAAAATACGAATTTTGATTCTAATAGGATTTGAACCCACGCTAATTGTCTGCTAGCATGAGAGATTGAAATAAGTATTCTAATACCCTTATAAAGTGACATCATCATAATATATCTTTGTTATAACTAAGGGGTATTTTAGGTATTTAAATAATCGACATCATTCTGAGAAAGGTGTGACGTGGGTTTAATCCTACATTGGATGTACGCTGAAGTTTTGAGTGAATATATAGTAATATCAGATTTGAAAGCAATGATTTCTTTTCTCACATGTACAACCACTCTTTGTCCACAGCCAATTGGCCACTGGTGATGTGAAAGGGAAGTGGCATACATGTGCCACCACCGGCCCATAGCCACTTTGAGCCCTTACTTGCGGGTCCACCCTGATTATTCTTTCGACTTGCTTGCGTGCCTGGTTGGCCAGCGGGTCCTCTCCTTTTTCTATCTTTTTATTTTCTTTTCTTTTTCTTCATTTATCTCAAAAATAGAATTATAAAAATTATATAAATTCACATAAAATCACATAATTAGCCAAAAAATCATATTAATCAATTGAAAACCATTTTTCATAATTTAAAATAAATATAAGTCTATTTATCATGAGTTAAGGCTAAAATTTTATTATTTATTAATTATTAACTCATGATAATGAAGACTTATCACATATCAAACACTATATTGCACACCTTTTGATCCTTTATTTTTTTCTAGTGGATGATTTGAGTTAGACATTTGTAGATGTGCAGAAATTTTAAGTGACCTCCCACAATATTTTTAAGCAACATTTGTAGTTGATATTACTTGATTATTTCTTGAATTGTTAGAAAATATCATTTCAACACCATAAAATAATAATTCCTACTATAGTTAATATTTAGGCCACTCTTCCAACTCTTATTTCAACTTTTTTTATTTGCAAGTCAACTTTGTATTTTTTTATATTTTAATAGTATCCTTCGAATGTTAACTAATAAAATTTATGATTGTTGCTTACACTTTCATTTTATTGTGAATCTTTATTTATTCTTATTTTCAATCTGATCAAACTAGTTTTTTTGTTAAGCCCATCAATGAATTCATTGAAAATTCAATATTTTTATAATAATCGCACGTCTATCATAAGGTCTTCTAATTTGTTGAATGGTTTTACTATCTCCTTTGAATTAGAAACTAATTTTTGATCATCTTCATGTACTAGCACAATTTTTAGCTCCTTGCAAATAAGGCTATAAATATATGTTTCATCACAAGAAAAAGATAACTTGTTTGCTCTTTTGGGTTTGAATTTCTATGTCAAATGGAGTTGCTGTTTGATGTCCTTATATTCAATGTTGGAATAATTTTCATCAGTGGATGGCATATACATTCTCTAATATATAACCTTATGTGGTTATGTGGCTTTGACCTTTTCATAACTTTTATTAGGAATGTGATTTCTATATTTGGTCCCTTCACAATGTATGTGTGAATTTTTCCTCTCATATAGCACATGATTATATGGCATTAGACTAGATTTCTTGGTTGGTATAAGAGCATTATTTTTATTTTCTACAAATTAAACACTCTCCATTATTAATTTCAACCTGATGGTTTATGGAGTTCAGCTTCTACTGTAGTGTCTTACTTCAATCTTAATGAAACTGCTCCCTAATACTTCATTTGATAATTGTTTTATAGACATTGACACAAATTCAAAATTTAATTTTAATTCTACTATTGATCTATGCTGCTTAATGTCCATAAATCATTTGCACAAGTTTAATGTTTGTAAAAATTCAAATGTCTAGGAATTGTTGTCTCGGATCTTAATTGTGTAATCCATTACATTTGTTCATTATAAGCAAGCTAGAACCTTATCTTTGAAACTTATTCTCACTATCATGAGCTTCTCAACCTTGTTATTTTCTTCATAGTAAAATGTACATATGTTTTCAAAAAAATCATCCATCTAAGTTTTCTCTACTGAATAATGACATCTCTAGTCATTTTCTACCCGTTCATAACTTGTTGTAGTAATTCTAACTTATCACCATAGTGAATTACTAAGCTTTTTTTCAATTTAAGTCCCATCTTTTGTAGTTATACTTTTTCACTTGAAATCTTTTCTTTCACCTCATACTTGATTCTCAATCTACTAAGTGATTATTTTTTCTTTGCCTCTATTTTCTCCATCAATTAGATTAGCTATTAGATCTCTTCTATTGTTTTCATGAGTTAGGTTTTCTATATTATTTTTCAACTTCAAATTATTTTATGGCTTTTTTGATCTCTAAGCATTGTTGCAACTTGTCTTTACATCTATATCTTCTTCTTTAGGTTTTAAATTCTTCAATCACTGAGACTTGTGTGCTAATGAACTTGGATCTGACAGTAATGATGAGAACATGTGGCTTGAATAGCAAGACAAATAGTGAAAATAATTGAACGATAAAGAATGAAAGAATTAAGACTTTGGCAAAAAGCCTAGAGCAAGAACTTGTGAGTCAAATGATAATCTTTTGAGAGGACTCTCTCTCTCTCTCTCTCTCTCTCTCTCTCTATCTCTATCTCTCTTAGGCAAAACACCACTTTCCCCTTTTTTCTCATTCATGATGCTCGAATATTCTTCCCATTTATTATAACAACCCTCTAGCTGGTCACTTTGTCTTTAATCTTTCTAGAGTATATTGGGCCCATCAGGGGCCCATTAGAGAGAAAAAGGGATAAAAGAGTAGGGGGCTTAATCCACCCCTATCTATCTCAAAAAGTATTGACAAAAGGCTGAGCTAAAACTCTGAAGTCTCAAAAGAATTTGTGTGACGTTGTGGGACACAATGAGTAATTCCTTTGATGAATTCTAGTACCTTAGCTTCTCAGAATTGTGAACCATGAGAAGAGTAGCAATCATATATGCTTGCCTTATTCCTCCCTGGTGGGTATGTAACCTTCTGTGCGGAATGATAGCGGCTTAGATGGTCCCCAAGTTCCTCATCGAAGGCCGCTGGGAATCCTAAAAAAAAAAAAGGCGGGCTGGGGGGAAAATGCTACCGTACTCTCTCTGGACTAGCTTGGGTTAAGATCATGTCGCTCCACCATTTTGGCTTGATCTTGAAGATCACGACAAGCTTGGGAAGTCCATGGCTTGATACCACAACTGTTCTTCTGGATGGGACAGGGGAGAGCTGCCGGAATCTTGGTTAGTGGGTAGGTGAGGAATGACGGTTCTCGTGGGAATGAGGGAGGGTGAAGATGAGAATCTTTGCCGTGGGCCGTCTCAGTCGGGTCTCACTCGCAAGGTGCAGCGCCTTTAAAGCGGGTCTCTTCCCTTGTGCTTCCTGCTTCTCCAGGTTCCTGCGGGCTATTCTGCGCAGTGTCTTCGGGAGTGGTTGACGTTGGAGGAGATGGAGCAGCAGCAGGGCGACGTCCGGATCCAGATGCCGAGAGTGAAACTCGGCAGCCAAGGGCTGGAGGTTCTGTCACTCTCTCTTCCGATTCCCGTTTCCGTTATCACTCTGCTAGAATCTCTGGTTCATCTTCCGTCTCTCCCTGTCCGTCCATGTGTTCGTCTCGCTGCGAGCGTACGCTACCTGGTGATGGATTTCTTCTTCTCGTCCTGTTCAGGTTTCCAAGCTGGGGTTCGGCTGTATGGGCCTCACCGGGGTGTACAACTCCCCGGTCGACGAAGAAGCAGGGATCGCCATCATCCTTCGGGCCTTCGAGCGGGGCGCCACCTTCTTTGATTCCTCCGACGCCTACGGTCCCCTCACGAATGAGATTCTCCTCGGCAAGGCATGAAGAAGCAGATCCTCTTCCTCTGTTTCTCCCACTCTCTGTTTGGGTGACGAGGGAACGAAATGGGCGTTGACTCCCGTTCCTTCTGTATCAGGCCCTGAAGCAGCTGCCTAGAGAAAAAGTTCAGGTGGCCACCAAGTTTGGGATTGCGAAGATCGATCAGACCGGATTGGTTGTTAAAGGCACCCCTGAATATGTGCGCGCATCCTGCGAGGCGAGCCTGCAACGCCTCGGCCTAGACTACATTGATCTCTATTACCAGCACCGGATTGACACCTCCGTGCCAATTGAGGAAACAGTGAGTTCCTTGACAAGTTTAGTATGTTTCCTTTGTGATCAATCTGGGAAATAACCTCTCTTTCATGACTCGTTAGATTGGGGAGATGAAGAAATTGGTGGAAGAGGGGAAAGTGAAGTACATCGGGTTGTCAGAGGCGAGCCCTGATACCATTCGTCGAGCTCATGCAGTTCACCCTGTCACAGCCCTCCAGATCGAGTGGTCCCTCTGGACCCGAGATATCGAAGAAACCATTGTTCCACTCTGCAGGTAGTATCGATCACTGATCTTTAGTTGTTCCATTTGTGGGTGATGCAAGACCCATATAGTATGCACCATGTTCTTCTTACACTACTTGAGTTCTTACTGGTTTTGGCGTTCTAAGTTGAATAATGTGCATCAGAACTCGCATTTATTGCATGAATTTCACTCTCGGAAGAGCTGTGAAATACGTTTTCCTCTGTTTGGGCTCATTGGGTCCTCAGGGATGACGTGCAAAGGGAATGATGGAGGCCTAAACTCTAGTTCACAGGATATATTAGCCCTTGTATACATTGGTCAGGTTATAGGCCGTGTAGTTGGCTGTGTTGAGACGATGTGATTTTATAACGCGAGGAAGAAGGAAATGGTGAATCTGGGGCCTGGCACATGTGATGCAAGGAAGGTTTAAGCGATGAAATCTGGTCTGACATTTTTGTGTTGCTGATCTTCTCTCAAGTAGGTGGATTTTTATGCTGATGGAGTTGTAGTTTTCCTTCTCTCAGAAAGCTACGTTGTTCGTCAAGAAGCCGTTTGAATGGATGGTACTATATTAATATGTACGAATGCAAGTGATGAGACACGTCTTGATTTGCTCTAGCATCTATTGATTCTGCTGGCAATGTCCCGCTGGGCTTAGTCAATACTAGTTTCTATGAGAATTGGGGAACATGAACCTGAGCCAAAATCATCGTACACCTCAACTGAGCTAAGTTAGATCAGTCTGGTTGAAGTCGAGTACTTTCTTTGAATCAGACTACCATCACTTTCACTGTGTATACTGCATCCTGAAAGGTTTACTTCAGGTATTGCATCCACCATTATTAGGCAGCAATCATGCCAGAGCATCCACACAAGACTCTAGTGACCACTGAGGTGAGAAACCATGGGAGAGAAGCTACAGGTTTTGGTGGTGGCGACCTATTGCAGATGGTACAGGGAAGATGATTCTGCCCCTTCAGGAGTGTCTTGGATTTGAGAGAAAGAGTTGGGGAAGCCCAACATTGCTAGAATACTTGGTAGAGTGTTTACAGTCCTGTTAAACCCTCCTCTTTGAGCTAATTCAATCTCAAATTTGTGCAAGATCCAAACTAAACATGTTTTTCTTAAGGGCCCCAGAAATTCGGAGTCTCATATCAGAGAGAATTACTTGAAGCTGAGCTCAGAAGCATGATCTGTTTTTCTTCAGACTGTCCCCTCTCTGATACTCCATCTTTTATTCAGGATTTCAGTTGAAGGGAGCATGATCGTGGACAAAGGAAAACAGATGAATGGAGATAGATGAGAGTGTTGGTGGCCTTCAAAGTGAGATAAACACTGAAGGCCTAGGGTTGAGAAACACAGATCTGTGAAGTTGCACAGATAACGCAGCAAGAGTGAAGACATTGCCCTAAGGGTTGAGAAATATATAGCTACACTGAAGGTCTAGGAAAAGGTAGTTCTATTAATTGTTAGGAATGTGATTCAGATAAGCAGTTAGATGAAGATATTTTCTACTTCCAGAAGGTCATTCGGACTCATTACTGGCAGCGAATAAATTCTTTAAATTTATTTGAAGAATGTAGCTTGTTAAAATAGCTGAGAGGCAGGAGGGAAAGGTTGGGGGAGGGAAGCAAGTTGGGAAAGGGAGCCTCTTTATTATGTAATTAAAAGCTCGTATCCTGAGATGAATGAATACCCGTAATATTAGTGATCAACTTGAAAAAAGCAAATAAACTTGCTGCTGGAAGGGATCACATCATGAATCAGAACATTGATTGGATCTATTGGCATAGGACTAAGAGGGATGTAATTTCTAGAACAGAAATCAAGAAACTGGATGGAAACATATCAGCAAGCTGGACGGTATTTGCCCTGAGGGAACCTAATAAGGGTAGGCTTTAGTTTAGAATGAAGAGGTTTGGGCTGTGGAGATCTGTAATAAATGTGGATACTGTATTTTATCCATGCTTAGAATGCTCAAGAGACCGGCCTTGAATTCTGTTAAACCAATATAAACGTCAGATTCATAACAGGATCACGATGATTTATCATTATAGCCATAGTTGAAGCTCTAAAGTCAAACCAGTTTCATCTATTTTCTCTGGACTTCCCGACATATGAACAAGCTGAAGTGTGAGAATACTTTTCCCCAGAAAATATTCTTTTGATATGACCCTTCCGGCTCATTGGATTCTCTGGCAATTGATAGTGATAGCTTCTGATGAATAAATATTGAATTTTTTTAATTAATGATTCAGTTCCCTGATTGGAATGAAGTTTTTCTACAATGACAAATGAAAGGCCTATTTTTAAGATTGAATAATTTCTGTTGACTAAATAGGACGGTCTTTCTTTCATAACTGATCATCCTGAACAATCTGTTCAAGATCTTGATGTCTTAACCAGCCAGTGATTTAGTGACTTTCCCCTGTAAGATGTTTTTTTCTGGATTATGGGTTTGATGGAAAGAAAGAAATTATGTTCGAGCTTTAACACATGGAAGTTTGCCAGGATCTTTTTCTATATGGTGATTTCAACTTTCTTTATTTTGATTGGAAAAGGTCTGGCCATCACAGATGGTAACAAGACATAGGGATATGGTTGGCCAGTGGTTTTGAAGCAGTCTTTGGGTTGAAATGACTGGCATATGATTTGCATTGGTGTCAAATGCTGAATAGAAGTTGATTGGATGCTAATCTGAATGGGAGTGCTACTGCAGGAATTTATGAATGAAATAAGGGGTTTGCCATATATGCTTTGACTTAATTATTCACTCTTCATGAACGTGTACGTGTGTCTCTATTTACCTGCTTCCCATTGTATTTTAGTTCATTGGTTGGCAGTAAGGTTCATTCATTATGGTTGCTAGATGTTCATAATGGTCAGAAAGCGAAATCTGAGAGTAATATTTTATTTCTCATGATTAACGAGAATTTTTCTCTTTTCGGTCAAGAATATTTTAAAGTGCAAGTTTCGAAATCTCAGATATTCTTGAATGAGCGAACTCAGAACTGTCTTTCGTTTCCCTCAATGTTATAACCATGAAACTGCAGACGTGCATTTTTTCATATAAACTTGCTGATAAATTTTTTTCTCGTTTCTATTATTTTTCTTGATAGTTTTCATCTACAAATTACGTGCATGATGCTTTACAGGGAACTTGGGATTGGCATAGTTCCTTACAGCCCCCTTGGTCGTGGATTTTTTGCTGGAAAGGCTATAGTAGAAAGTTTACCAGAGAATAGTGCCCTTGTAAGATCTTGGCCTGGAAACTGGTTTTTTTTTATCCAGTGGGTTATATTTTTTGCACAGTTATTAATTACATGTATTATTGAGAGGGAATCATTGCTAGCATCTTAAGTTTCAGAATGGTTGAAATTTATATTACGGTGCTTACACTTATATGATAACATAAGATAATGGTTATTTTATCAGGTTACAGGTACATAATATTTTTTTTATTTTTTCTATTGTTTGGCATGCTCATTTGTTGGAATTTTTATTTTTTTTTCTGTGATAAGAGAATGGGTATGAGATGCTTCATGCGGTAGTGAACCTTTGCTTATGCATCTATTGTATTTACTTCGTTTAGGTTACGCATCCAAGGTTCTCTGGAGGAAATTTCGAGAAGAACAAAGTTCTGTATGCACGCTTAACAGATCTAGCTGCGAAGCACCAATGCACCCCTGCCCAATTGGCTTTGGCCTGGATTCTTTATCAGGGTGATGATGTTGCTCCAATTCCAGGTGAGTGTCTGCCTCTGTTTCTTCACACAAATCACTCTTTCTTCCTTCTGAAAACGCTGTTAGTTACTTACTAGCGCTTATCTCATGATTTAAGAATCTTACCAGTATGCAGAATTATCTGAATCTTTATCTCACCAGTTCGAAAAGCAGTTTTAGTCCAAATGGGAAGGGGACACAACAGGTAAACAATGCCATGATGAATCAGATCCGCCAAAGAAAAAGAAACACATATCTCATGATTTAAGAATCTTACCAGTATGCAGAATTATCTGAATCTTTATCTCACCAGTTCGAAAAGCAGTTTTAGTCCAAATGGGAAGGGGACACAACAGGTAAACAATGCCATGATGAATCAGATCCGCCAAAGAAAAAGAAACACATCATCTGAAACTCCTAGGGTGGCAGCAGGGTGATTCGAATATCTTGGGATCAGGTGGTCTGGTGATCTGGGCCATTAGTAAAAGATGCTAAATTCACCAGTTTCTTATTAAAGTTTCCCACATTGTGGAGAAGTTTTGTTTTAATCATCTTTTCTCTGTGACCACATGCATGAGGTTTATATAGAGTTAGTAGACATTCTTGTTGTAGGAATGATTGCCAATGAAGTAATCCTGGAACAGCTATCCTCTCCTGTGAATGGAAATATATGGCATACACTTTCCCAGGTCAATGGCACAGAAATTGTTCTTATTGTTGTTTCTCTTGCTTGCAGCCGGATTCTAGATAAAAGTGGAAAATAATATGTGAATTCGATTAATGTAGGTAATTAATCGGAACAAGAAAAAGGTAAATGGCTCAACTAGGCGGTAACCTGTCTGTAGGAATAAAACGAAATTTCCTTTGAAAAGATTGGGGAATTTCTTCTACAGGAAGGTGAGTGGACTGTACGTTCTATATTACCAACATATTCAACATTCATTTCGTATTATGTAATCATCTCATGGCAAAAACCTCTCAGACGTTATATATAAACTGTAGAAAGGAATTTTTTGGGATATTCTTTTCTGAAAAATTTCCTTGGATAAGATTCATATATTGTGACACAAATTTTACCTCTCTCCATCTTCATCTTGTCTTCTACATTTTTCATCTCTGGTGAACTTCGAGGCTTGGCCCATGCTGTATGAACTTGTGTTACGAACGAACAAGTTTTCTCCCTGGCATGCGGTACCATCAGACATGTAATATTGGCAACCAGTGGACGAGTCGTGTTGAATCCTTGAATCCTATACTATATTTGGTCAATTCTGGACTGTGGGAAGCATTTATATTATGCTCAAGTACGATATGGATAATTTTAGCTCTAGACTCTAGATGCTTAATGCTAAATGTATAATTTTTGATCCATTGGATACTAGTCATATGGAGTTGAGTGAGTAGATTTTGTTGACAATTAGTAATAACCAACCTCAGACTTGCTCGTAGATTTTGTTGACTATTAGTAATAACCAACTTGAGACTTGCCCTTGTTGCAAGAGGTATCTGGAGCTCCGTTGGGGCATTTTCCAATCAGCCCAGTGCCATGGATATGCTTAGATTGAGTATCATTGCTGTTTTATAGTTGCCCTAAATTCTTTTAGAGAAACACATCACTTCCTGACAAGTCTTTTCGAAATCAAGCGGCCATTGTTGGCAGCGCCTTAAGAACAGTGTTTTCTGTTGCCAATGTTTTCAGCGAAAAAGCAGGCCTTCCTGACTCGTGTGGCGCTTCTATCAGGGCATCGAAATTCTATGATTATTTAATGACAAAGCATGCCATAATGGAATTGAAATGCTCCCACAATTCATTGTCATAATTCATTTTCAGCATGTGTAAACTTTGGGTTGGTAGTTTGAACTGTTTGCTACCTGCTCCGTGTCAACTGGGCTGTCAGAAATCGTCGTCTCTTACTGGGTTTCTCTCATTCTCTACAGGGACTACAAAGATCAAGAACCTTGACGACAATATTGATTCTCTGAAGGTAAAGCTTGCAGCTGACGAACTGAAAGAGATTTTGGATGCAGTTCCTCTAGAAGAGGTGGCGGGTCACAGAACCTATGCTCATGTTAAAAATGCGACATGGGAGTCCGCAGATACACCATCCCTTGGTGGTAGCAATGCTGCTGCACCCTAGTGATTGTACTTCCTTGCAATGATCTGTTGTCCTTGAAAGCAGTAAAGTAAGGCAGTTTTGATAATCAGACCATTTGCTTGTATTATATAGTTATCTGTTAGATGAGGATGTGCCTCTCAAGGGTTAGATCTTATGTTCTCCTGTTGGGTATATAGTTTCACTGAAGAAGATTCAATGAGGGCATTCCTGAACGTTAATGAATTTATTGTCTCTGTGGTCCTTGATTCTCAATCACTAATTTATGGGATTTCTTCCTTGATGATTGATTCAGATTTATTCATCTTGTAGATATTTAATCTTAAAATTATTCGACCATTTACTGAGGGAATAGAAATCTTGAACATTTTTAGTAAGAATTCAGAGATTGGTTCCTCTTGTGTGAAATTCTGATATCGATTTTCCATCAAAACTACTACCATTATGCGCTGAGATTGAAACCATTCCCATGACAAAAAGCGTGATAAAACCCTCTCTTTTTCTTGCTTTCGCCTACACTTCTCTTCCGGAGTTGATCACCCAGCAGTTTCCCTGACACTCCTTTTGTGCGGACCACTGTGCGCACAGGATGACAACCCATGTGGAAGATATATGAAGCAGCAGAAGTTATTGAATTTACTAGGCCCAATGTTCAGCCCATTTTTTATGGCTAAATATATGAGTGAATCTACCACTCTATTGTATTTCATAGGAGATCATACTCCTTTATTTATAGTTATTGAATTAACTGGTCCGGAATCAATTTCAAATAATCAGTGTTAGTTCCTTCTGGAGTGAGATAGAACTAAAAGTAACAACATAATCAAATGAACATATAGCAGTTTGAAAAAAAAAGGAAAAACTCTCCGAGTCAACTCTTCAGAGATACTGAGGAAATGATGGGCTTGGTATTGGCAGATCATGTTGCTGAATACGTCGCTCCTCGGCATTCTGCCATTGGTAACAGCAAGACTTGTTCATGTTACGAGTATTAGCAAAGTTGTAGGAGAAGAAGTCAACGTGTTCATGAATCTGTCCTGAGTCAATATATTCGAGATGCACAAGATCGTCACCGGTCCTTGGCCCGTGGCACCAATAATCCGATAGTACTCTTGGATAATTCTTTTCATTACTAAGTAGTTGGCGACCAGAACGTTGTGCTATTTAATCGTATGTAAATCATTAACCTCAATACTCTCAGCTAAATAACATATTATTTATTGCCCAATAAATAATATTGAGATATTCTCAGTAATATAGATTTATTGGACTTTTTTAGTATTTTTGTAAGCATTCTTTTGTCTTAGTTTGCATGGTAGGCAGAAGCTGGTACTCCTGATAAGGAGCAGCCCTTTGGAATAAATGCCTTCAACCCAATCCACATTTCGCCGGGAAGTCTTCAGTCAAAGAAGTCAACGCAAGTACCTTTCAAGGGGCGCCGCCCCACTGAAATTCTGTGTGTATGTGTGTGTGTGTCTCTCTCTCTAGCTGTCCGCCGGTCGCTCTCGCCAAGTTAGTCAAGTCCTCCACTCCCTAAATATAGTTAATACATTTTTATCTCTATCTACGTTATAAAAACCGTAGAAGCTCCCTGGACCGCACTCCAGCGGCTGTAAGGCGCAGCTGGGAAGAGATTCTCCTCCTCAAAGTCCGGCTTCACTGTCCCTTCCGCTGCATCGAGTATGCTCCCGTGATACCTGGAGAATTCAGTCGTCGGGCAGACAACAAAGATAGAAATAACCCAGAACAGCGAGAAGAGAAAGAGGAAGAGAGGAGGAGAGGGGAGATGGCGGTCGACGGCGCCACCGGCGGTGTCTCCGGGATGGCGGATTCTCTGCGGTTCACCTCCTACGTCGTCCGTGGACGATGGTTCATGGTGTTTGCGTCCATGTTGATCATGTCCGCCGCCGGCGCCACCTATATCTTCGGCATCTACTCCAAGGACATAAAATCCTCTCTCGGTTACGATCAGCAGACCCTGAACACCCTCGGGTTCTTCAAGGACCTCGGCGCCAACATCGGCGTTATCTCCGGCCTCATCGCCGAGGTCACGCCGCCGTGGGTCGTCCTCGCTATAGGCGCTGGCATGAACCTCTTCGGCTATCTTATGATCTACCTGGCCATCACCGGAAGGACGGCAAAGCCCCGCTTCTGGCAGATGTGCCTCTACATCTGCATCGGGGCCGACTCTCAGTCTTTCGCCAACACCGGCTCTCTTGTCACCTGCGTGAAGAACTTCCCCGAGAGCAGGGGGGTCGTCCTGGGGTTGCTCAAGGGCTTCGTTGGCCTCAGCGGCGCCATCTTCACCCAGCTCTTCTACGCCTTTTACGGGGATGACTCCAAGTCCCTCGTCCTCCTTATTGCCTGGCTCCCCGCCGCCATATCCATCCTCTTCATCCCCACCATCCGCATAATGAAACCCATCCCTGGAAGCGGCAAAAGCGAGCTGAAGGTCTTCTACTACTTCCTCTATGTATCGCTGGTCCTGGCCGGCTACCTCATGGTCGCCATCATCGTTCATAATAGCGTCACCTTACCACGTCAAGCCTATGATGCTAGCGCCGCTGTCATCCTCATCATTCTCTTCCTTCCTCTGATAATCGTCTTCAGAGTGGAGCTCAAGTCATGGCTACGCAACCAGGAGCTCCACGGCCTCACCATCGAAAAACAATCGACTCCGGCGGCGCCCCAACCACTGCCCAAGGTGTCCCTATCGGAGGAGACAAAAATCATGAAAACGGGATGGGGAAGGGTGGTGGAGGTTTTCCGGGGCCCCGGGAGGGGGGAGGACTTCAGCATTTTGCAGGCTCTGGTGAGTCTGGACATGATGATTCTCTTCATCGCCACAATCTGCGGTATCGGCGGCACGCTGACGGCCATCGACAACATGGGCCAGATCGGGGAGTCGCTGGGGTACCCACAGCGAACCATCGGGACCTTCGTCTCCCTGATTAGCATCTGGAACTATCTTGGTCGCGTCGTCGCCGGGTTCTGCTCCGAGATCTTCCTGACCCGGTACCGATTCCCCCGGACGCTCGTGCTCACCCTCGTCCTCCTCCTCTCCTGCGTCGGCCACCTCCTCATAGCCTTCGGCCTTCCCGGATCGCTCTACGTGGCGTCCGTCATCATCGGCTTCTGCTTCGGCGCCCAGTGGCCGCTCGTCTTCGCCATCATCTCCGAGCTGTTCGGTCTCAAGTACTATTCCACCCTCTACAACTTCGGCGCTGTGGCAAGCCCCGTGGGATCGTACCTGCTGAACGTCAAGGTCGCCGGCCAGCTCTACGACCGGGAGGCCGAGAAGCAGAGGGCCGCCGGGCTCGCCACCGCCGTCGCCGCCAAGGCTGGCGGGAAGGACCTCACCTGCATCGGCGTGAAGTGCTTCCGCTTGTCCTTCCTCATTGTCACTGCCGTGACTCTCTTCGGCGTGCTGGTCTCCTTAATGCTGGTTTTAAGGACGAGGGAGTTCTACAAGAGCGACATCTACGCCAAGTTCCGGGAGGGTGCTGCCGCAAACGGTGAAGAGACGCAGATGGTTCCGGTGGCTGAGAATTCAGCCGGCGGCGCCACCACCACCACCGACGGCGAGCGCCGGATAAAAAATGAAAGCTCGGAGCAAACCCGAGAAACAAGATGAGATGTGCCTTGGGGATCGGGCCACGTGAACGTGAACAAAAGGACAGAAGCCCACCGCTACTCGTGTTTTCTATACTCTTTTACTGTGTAGTGCAAACAGCACCCTAGGATTCGATTAAGCGTGGAATTGTGGCGATCAGGAGAGCCACCCTCTCTTCATGTTGTCTTCAACGTAGCGACAGACAGGGAGGCCTTTAGATCTAGATCAACACGTTGTTAGGTTCTTTCTCCGCTATGCGCGTTGAACCGGAGATTCTACGGGACTTGGTCAAATTCAGAACACGCCGGGCCTATCAGGAGCTTAGTGGGTACAAATGACGGACGCCGTCGTTTCTGCGGGGTTTCCTCCGAAGAACAGGCTCTCCTCTTTCCCTTAAGTGGGAGAGCTTGTAGTGAGCAGTCAGATGAATGCTTCCGGGTATTAAAAAGAGTAAGCTTTTCGAAAACTCCTTGTAAAGGGATATCCCCCCCACTACCAATTGAATTTTTTTCAAGGACTGGTCTCCGGAAAAAGGCAGAAAATTAACGGTAGCCTGCGGATTGTGAAGGGGATTCCGGAGCATATATTGATGGGCTTAGGCGTGGTGCTATTCTGGAATATGCTCTGGAGTGGGACAATGCCGACAGTTCCCATGGCCGTGAGCGACAGGTGGTCCTACTTCACAGGAGTGGGCTTCCTAGACATTTCTCCAAGGTCACTTCCAAGTTCGGTGAGAGGAATCAATTTCTAAGATGGTAGTATTTCACTTGATTTGGCAAAACTATATCAAGTTTTTTTTTTTTTCTGTCGTGATTAATATGCCGTGAATCATTACAAATCAATACTCGATTGTTCTTAAGTATGAAGTAGACTAGCACATATCCATGAAAAATGCAGAACAAGGGAAATATACTTTTCCAAAAGCAAAGCATTATATGGACTGCGATGAATGGAGCCGTCTTGAGATGAACCATCATGTGGTACTCAATCAAGTACAATGAGAATCAAGTGGAAGAACATGTCAACGGATAACATTCTATGACATACATGAGATCTCCTACTCTACTCTCTTCCTATTGGTCTTTGTGATCGGTCTTTTTTCTCTTGACTTCCAAGGGACAATGTAAATACATAAGGTTTTACCAAATCAATGTGATTCACTAATTTTTTCCATTTTTAAACCTGTCACATTGATTAAAGCCCTTATGTCGTGAGTGAGCTAGCTGATGATTATATCTGTGATTTGTCTTCTTCTTAAATTTAAAAGCTGACCGGCAACATTTTTATCTGTAGCATTTTGAGATGGTAATTTCCATGGATGTTAGCATTTTCTATGGAGTGAAAGGGACAAGTGTGGCCGCCCAAATTTACAGGTTTCATTTCCTTGTCAAAGTTGATGGTACAACAGTCGTTCAATACCATAAAGTGGAAGCCCATGGTATCGGGTCAATGCAATCTCAAAAATACCATGGAAACCACACTCCCTCTAAGACTACGACCATTCTAAAGTCAGGGAGTTCGATGAGACAAAAACCGCCTACCGCAGAAGAAGAAAACTTGCAGAGTGGAGATCCGGGGGTTAAGGCTAAAGATCAGAGAAGGAACTCGATGTCTCCCTTACGCGCAATTTTGATTGCTGCACAGGAATCGGATCCTGCGGCCGTCCTTTTTCGTCCTGTGGCCAAGAGAAATCATGATTAAACAACTTCAAAGCGCGGAATTTTTTTCAAGGGAATTTTACCGCGGAACCATACTCTAATTTTTGTCAAGGGATAAGGGTCGTTAATGGTGAACAAGATAAAAACTGAGCCCAGCCGTACATTCTGAGCTACTGTCGCATCTTTCTTTCTGTCCATTGAATGCCTTTTATCCGATCTGTGGCCCGCATAGGCACCAAGATAAATCTTTCCAACTTCAAATTTATTCATACTAGCGATGGGTAGTTGTGACGTCCTGTATCCGCGGTGCTCGGCCAGCTGACGCCGATCCGGAGAAAACGGAGAGACAGCATGTGAGTCAGCGAGTCTATCACGAAAACGTGGAAGCCACGTACGTGATTGAAGTCAATAAAGTCTGCGCGCATCCAACGGCGAAGAAACATCGTCAAGGCTACGACCTCGTTTAGATTCCTCTGGAAAGCTTAGAAGATTCTTGGTCAAGGAGAGACGTACCCCTCAATATACTCCACATCCTCCATCGAAATTTGGGCTACGACTTCTAACCTGAAACTCTCTCTCTCTCTCTCTCTCTCTCTCTCTCTCGTTTCTTGTCAGATAGCTGATCCGTGGATTTCTTACACGAAGCTTTGCTTGTACTTGCAGCCCCTTCCGTTGAAAAAGATGCCCTTTCGTAGTGGTTACCAAGGCATTTAAGACGAAATAGGTTGGGTTCAATGAACTTTTGAAACTAAATCTTCACTTCTATATAGTCTAAATCTTCACATTCAAGGAATCGAGTCATTAATATGGACAAATATTGTTCAGGAAATTAAGTTCTCCGGTCCCGATTCGGTATCACATGTCCAAGGACCACTACTCCCAAATTGCAAATTTGGAAACCCTTGTCGTCTTTAATGGGCCACTTCGCCTGCCCTTATAGTGGCCATGTGGCTATAAAGAATTCTCATGTGGAATGTTCTGCACACAATGATGTTGGAGGATAGGCAGGCATATTTACTGGTGTAAGTTAACATGTGCCAGATAGAGATGTGGCGGGGAACCCACATCATCAGCCTTCTCATGCTCAGTGTTCATCCACGGCATTCCAACTGATGACGGACATGAAGAGCATGACGCAGATGTGCTCGTATTTCGCAGCGTGCTCATACTTTCCGGGTCGAAAATATCTTCTCTGGTTGTCTGTGGTAGGAATAAATTGTCATTGAAATGACGACAGATGGATATTTTCCCAACTACTGACGGACGTTCCTGAGAAGAGAATTTTGGGCAGTGTGCCATTTCCTACTCTTAGTATTTATTTTCCCGGACGATGCCCCTCGCATATTTGTTGACTCGGAACTTCGTCTCAAATTCTCATCCCGTGAGATTACCAGCCACGGCGACTGTCATCGCTAAGGAGGGAAGGAAACAGACTCCTTGTGGCTTATATTTAAATGGCCTTTCCAGCGCTTCATGGTGGGGAACGGCGGTCGTCCGTGTTACTCGTGGAACGAAGCGAGCCAAGCGATCGGCTCCTCGCCAGCTCGAGTGGGAAAGGGGGCAAGGAAAACAGCCCGGAACGGACAAAGATATCGCTGGCGCTAATAAATGAGAGATCATTATCGAAGACTTATGGCAGTGGCTCATAAAGTACCTGTTGACCTTTATGAGACTAACTCGGATTGGAGATAGTGGACGTACTCCTTTTAACAGTGAGATTTTGTGAATTCTGGGATTAACAGTAAAGAAGGTGTCAGCGTCCTCGCAGCTTTTGCTTAGACGCATCATCTATCACAGTTGCGTGTCTACAGATGAGAGAAGGAAAGAGAGATAAGGATATAGATTAAGAGAGAAAACGCACATGGACGTATATATATATAGGTAGATAGATATAGATATATATGTAAACGTAGATGGACGAATCTACGAAGTAAACAAGAGAGAGAGAGAGAGAGAGAGAGAGAGAGAGAGAGAGAAGCCGACCGCAGATGTCATCCCTTTTGAACTCCCGAAAGATGACCCCATCTTTGTCAAATTATCTGGCAGTAGTACTTCGAGTCGTGTGGAGATGTTAAACTTTTTGGTCTTCAAAAGGCCCAATAATACCATACTAACGTACATTATAGCATGACCTCACTTAATTTTGCAGAAAAGCGTTACTTTTTATATAACTTTTCTTCCGATTTTCAGAAATAAATTTCCAAGACACTATATTAGATGCCACTTCAGGGGGTGAACAATATGCAGAAAATTCTTCAATTAACTTCAAGATCATAAGGCTTCAGACAAAATTTACATTTTTGATCTACTTTCTTCCTTTCTTCCATTTCTAGTATGTCACATGACTCATAAGTTTTTGCCATGCATGTGATTTTTTCTCAACTACCATCTGATTTTCATGGTCACTAAATCCTCCAGTTTGATCCATTAGAGGAAAATCAGAATTAAATTTTAAACACCAGATTTCTGAAATTTAGCGCGATTGTTTCTAGCCTGACTACATTTCATTGACATACTCAATCATATGGGGATATTTTAGCAAGTGCACGGGCCACTACATTCTTGCACCAATGATTATTTGAGGCAGTTTTCTCAAAATTTAGAAATGCATATTTTAATATATCTAAGAAATCATCAAATGAAAATAAACAAAAGCCTTTCTCTTCATGTCCAATTTCAAACTTCTAGCTAAAATGTTACAACATAGATAGTTACACGTAAATTCATTATTTATTTGATAAACTATTGTATATAAATAACCCTTGTAAAGAGGCACACTCCAATATTAAACTCAAAAGGGATGCTTAAAAAGAAGCTTAAAGTTATTAAAAAGTGTACTCATAATAAGAAATATTCGTCAAATCCATTTAATGAATTTATCAAAATTGTGGCTCAAATGAACATTTATAAATTTTTTTTCAATTTTCTATACTTTTAATGGTTAAATCAAAAGTTTCACGAGTTTGATTTCCGACTGGTTCTTGGTGGGTTTCAGAAACTCAAGGAAGGTCAAATTGCAATACTTTGGACCGCAATGGACAATAGGAATATTTTGTGAATATATTCACAAATGTTTCTTATAGATTAGTGTCTATTTGGACAGTATCCCTCAAGAGTCTCCCTGATTTCAATGGGTTATCTTGGACATAGTACAATATTTTCACTTACCAAGTTATTGATAAGAGATAAGTACACATGATAGCCTTTAATTTTTTAATAAGATTACATAATATAATGAAACGCAAACTTCATTAACTTAAATAGTCTCATGTAAGAATAATAACACATAAGAAAGTACGACAGTTTGCTGAAACTTTGATGAAGCAGTTAACAGACATTTTGAAGAGAGCTTCTTCAACTTTG